CAACCCCAACCCCAACCCCAACCCCAACCCCAACCCCAACCCCAACCCCAACCCCAACCCCAATCCCAACCCCAACCCCAACCCCAACCCCAACCCCAACCCCAACCCCAACCCCAACCCCAACCCCAACCCCAACCCCAACCCCAACCCCAACCCCAACCCCAACCCCAACCCCAACCCCCAACCCCAACCCCAACCCCGGTTGTAAAAATATTTTTTAATTCTTTTTGTAATAAATATGAATTATTGATATTTATTAATTATTATTAGAATAAGAATTAATCAAGCTGATAATAAAAATTTTAGATTTTATTCAATATTATATCTAAAAAGTGATAAATTAGATTAGTCTATTAATGAAGAAATAAAAAATTATGAAAGATTTCAAAAACATTTTTTTGACCAATTAATATTTGAAATTTAAAAACCTAATTTTTACTTTACTACTTTTTTTTAATTTAAAATTTGATGTTAAAAAATATTATAATTTGTATTTTAAATTTTTATTGTAGGTTGTAGAAAATTTTTATTTTTGATAAAATTCTATAAACTTAATTTTAATTATTATTTTTTTATTTTATTTTAAAGTAATTAAACAATTTATTAATAATAGCAACATTTATTAAATATATATTATTTAATTAGTAGAACTAACTATTAAGTAGCAGTAATTAGTTTTGCAAATGACTGAATTTTTTTCAACTTAAGACAAAGAAGTTAAAAATCTAACAGATAAAGTTTAAAATCACTTTTCTAAGAATGTTTATTAAGGAAGACATAAAAATAGATATTAAAAGCTTCTAGAGAATAAGATGCTCTCTTCTGAATATAATTTGAAAGATTCTTGTAATATTTTTTCGAAAAAGTAGATTGATGAATAATTCTTTATAACGCTACCAGATTTAAAGTAAATTTATGAAAATGAAAAAAAAATTATTAGTCAGTGGGAGTAAATTGTTAAAGATAAATAGTATGAATCAAAAAAATAATCTGAAAACAACTCCAAGGAAAGAATTCATACAATTAGCTCCAATTTTGAAGTTTACGATGGAGATTTCAATAAAAAAATAATAAGGAGGAGTTCAACTTTAGCTTTATTAAATGCAGAGAGAAAAGATATTTAACCTGAGCAACATCATACAGAAGTTGATCAATTAAATAGTAATTATTTAAGGAGAAAATCAATTGATAAAAATTATAATTTTTTAGCAAAGTCAGCTTTATAAAACAAGGTAAAAAATAATTATGGCGTAATGCCTACATATAGTGACTACCAAAAATTAAAACATGATAGTTTATAGGGATTTGAAACTTTTTAAACTAACTTTTATTCAACCTTTTATGAAACCCCAAAATTAAATGAAAAAGAGAAACCATTTAAGCAGATTAAAAAATAAAAATTATTTTAAACTGCTAGAATTTAAGATGAATAAAAAAATATAGAAAATAAACAGATAGTTACTTTCCCTCAATAACAAAAGAAGTGCGTTTAAAAGTCTAATTTATTAAAGGAATAAAACGAAAGTGTAGATTTTAAATAAATTAGCTTTTATAATGATAGCAATGGCTTCTAAAAGAACAAAACCAATAATTAAAATAGTTCACGGTTTTCGTTTAGCAATATAAAGGATATATAAATCCTCAAGCAGACCCTTAAAGAATAATCAGATACCTAATAGTTACCAAACTAAAAGAAATTAAATGAAGATTTTAAGAAAAAATTTGATAAATTTAAGTTCATAAATAAAATAGATCTAGAAATGGGAGTCAATTATACTTTTGAAGAGCATATGGAAAGGATATGCAAAGATAAGGAGACTTTACAGAATTTCTAAAACCATATTAACAATGTTTAATTAGGACAGTAGAGTATTAATAATCCTAATTAAAATAACAATTAGTTTGATTCTAAAATCAATATATCTTTGAACTCTAAGCATATAAGTTCTTAAATTTAGTCAAAGGTTTAATTTAATTCAAAAATAAATGTTTCAAAAACAAATGCTTTAAGCTCAAGCTAAATCAGTGTAAAAGATGGTATTTTGCACTCAATCAGAAAAAAGAGAGAAGAATCAAACTACACCACATAGCCTTCACAATCTACTAATCATCAGCTAGTTCACAAAACAGTGAGTACTCCAGCAGCTATCATCGAAGTTCCTAACAATTTATTTATGAAGAATAGCAATAAGAGATAATCAATTTTATCTCTTTAGTAATCCTAGAGTGTGGTCTAAAATTTTAATTTCCCTTTCTAATTTTTGACATCTCTATCTAGAGAAGAATCAACAAAAATTAACACTGTTCAATCCTTCTTCCCTGATTTTATAAATAATTTGAGATTTTTAGAAAAGTAATTAAAAAAATTATTATAATTTAAAATAATATAATCTAAATTTTTAAAAGATATAAACAAACAAAAAAGAGGGCAGCAAGAGCACTAAAGAAGATCTTAGGATGGAATGAAAAAATGGCTCCTCTTATATTAACTGAGGATGGAACAGAGATTAAAAAAGATCTGGACTTTTAGACAGCTTTTTTTGAAGAAGTGATAAAAAATCAAAAATAAAATTCATTAAGAGATGCTGCATAGAATAAAAAAGATGTTGGAAACAAATTAAATTCATCAGCTAACCCAAATATCATAACTCTAAGCTTTGACGTAATATGGGAAAGCTTTTAAAAGTATTAATATCTAAACAAAAATCTTATAGAAGTTTTAGAAAGAAAAGAAAAAGAATTGTTTAAATAATATAGAAGTTCATTACTTGAAGAAATAGTGGATATTCATAAAATGCAATCCTAATAGCTAAATAAATATCCTCTGTCAAATAAGCAATATCAAATTTTAGTTACACTTCCTAGAAATATATCATATATATTAGATCGTAAAAATTATCTTTAAAAAGAGCAGGCTCTTGATAATTTAGTAATGTCAGAAATAAATTTAGGATAGTTCCCATTTTTACTTTAATTTGACAGGATAAGAAGCAAGTATATTAATTTGTCTAACCAGGTTATTCGTAATTATGAAAAGCATGTATGAAAAAATAAATTCTTATTTCTATATTTCTTTAAAATGCAAAATTTTATTTATTCTAAAAATTTTTTTCTCATTAAATTTTATTTTTGAGATTTAAAATTTTTTTCTTAATTTTAATGAGTTTTTTTATATAATAATATAAATGCATCATGCATGCATGTTTGCTTATTAATTAGTGCCAATTTTTACCACATGTCATTTTTAGAAAATTTTAAGAAAATCTAAAAAAAAAAATTTTTTTTTGAATGAACATATTTAAAATAATGATTTATTTTAATAATTACAATAAATTAATTGAATATTAAAATTTGAAACAAACAGTTAAATACAATAAAGGATATTATATGAATAGCTAAAATATAAAATGTAAAAAGATAAAACAAATATAACAAAGATTAAAGTATTTAAATATTTAAAAATTAAGTTAATTATGTAATTATTTTGTGATTTTTTATTATCTTATTAGATAATCTAAATAGATATATAATATAGGTTATTGTGAGAAGCTTTATTCTAAATGCTCTATTTTGTTAATAGCTTTTTTAAAAACTTTTAAAAGAATTGATTTTAAATTATCACTTTTTTTTTCATTTAACCCATGCACCAATATAAGATAAATCTAAGTTCATAGTTTCGAATTTATAGGCTTCGTGGAGGAAATTCATGTAATCTAAGAATGCAGGTTTACCTATTTTTTTAAATTTGTATTTGACTTCAATCTAATCTCCAGGCATTAAACTATAATTATTTGATTTAGCTAATACACCATTTATAAAAGGGAATATTTAATATTCATATTTCAAGACTTTGTTTGTGAGCTTTTTATATTTAGTATAGTAATCAAACTCGTCTTTAACATCATCTGTTGGTTTAAGAAGGTTCTTTTTTTCATCCCATTTTGTTTACTCTGGGAATAATTCTACAAAGATAATCATTTTTTTAGTAGGGGAATCGCTGTAGAAACCTATTTTTAACATTTCGTATTTTTCATTTTCTAAGTCATTCAAAATATGGTCAAGCAAATTGGTTAAAATTTTTGAACAAACAACAAAACTTGCATCTGCAAAAAATTGGTTTCCAAAACATCTAGTTTCAATTTCTTTAGTTTTAACATATTCAAATCCAAATATTTCTTTAGTATTATGATAAGCTATAAATGCACCATCCATTCTACCTATAATTTTTTTTAATTGATTTTTTAATCTCTTTGCTAAAATTACAATAATTTATTTATTATACCTATTTTAAGTTAAAATGCATATTTCAGCATTGCACCACGAATGAGATCATAATACTCTCTTTCAAAAGAAGAGTGTAAGCCAAATTTAGTATTTATTCTATAATCAATATGATCAAGATAATTGTTGAGATCGTAACGAATAGGACATACTGCTCTTGTTTTAATTTCAAAAACAAAAGGTTGTCCAGTTTTAGGATCAATTGCCTAACAATCAATCTAAGAACGTAAGCATATATCTATTTATTAAAATAAAATACATATAAAAAATGCAAATTTATTAGCTTTTTTTCTATTCAAAAATTATTCTATTTTATTCACAAAATCTGGATTAATTTAAAATTTACTTTTGTTGAGCTTCATAAAACGATGGTGGTCATCATCAATGAGCTATTCCTTAACAGGACTATTTTTTAATAAACCGTTTCTAAAAGTTTCAGGATCAAGAGTGAGTTATCTTTCCATAACCTTACCTAAGTCCATCAAGATCTAATTAGGAGTTTCAAATAAACCACTGTCACTATCAAGAGCATAAATACCATTTTTAGGATCTAGCTTACGGAGCATGTTTGAAGTTGGCTTTCTTTAAGAAATCATGTACTTTTTAGGTTCTTAGTCATAAGCAGAAGAAATATTATCAAAGTTAGGATTACGGAAAGAAGAAAACAAGAAATATATTTAAGAAAGTACATTAGAAATAGTAGAAGTACTCATAACATAACGGATATTACTCTATTTAGCAAAGTCAAGTAAAAGCTTATCATTAGAAGGTGGAATATAAGGAGGGATACGATCAAAGTCAATATCATCTGGTTGTGGAATAGTCTTCAAAAACTCACCTCCATCTGGTTATAATTAAGCAATATCTTCTAACTTATAAAGACCAGGACTATATACTACTTAATCTAAATTATGCATGAGTTTAGGTACTCTATGGAATGTTTATTCATTTTCAATGTTGATTATATTGACATCATCCAAGGGAATTTATATAGAATTAAAAGAAGAATTAAAAATAAATCTGCTTGATTATCTCTTTTCTTTGATTTCTTCTACTTCACCTTCTTTACCAGGTTCAGTGCTTTCAATTTTAAGAGTTTCAGCAAATCTCTTTGCATGAATATCTTCATCTTCTTCACTTTTTTTTTATTTGTCAGCTTCCTATTTGGTGACAGTTTGTTATTGCTAAAACTATTATTGCTATTGCTATTGCTATTATGCATATTGATTTTATTGATTATTTTGAGATCTCTTTCTCCCTTTTCTTAAAAATATGGAAATTAATATTCAATAGTCTTTGGAGATATTAAAATATCTAAAATAGATTGATTATAAGTCATATTTAAGATTTAAATTAACATCTCATCCTTCAAATATTTAATATAGTCATTCTCTTAAGATTAATAAATAATAAAGACAAAATCACAATGAATGAATGAACTAATTAATTTACTGTTAGTTTTAAGTAGAAAATCTATAGCTATTAATCAATAATGGATTAGTAAACTTTTTTTAAGTACAGAGTAGCTTTCTTAAAAACATTTTGCTTTAATTAATATTTGTCTATCTATAATGGTGCTTTATTTATTTATTGTGTTAATCTATCAATCAAATAAACAATCTTAATTTTTAATATATTTTTGGTTGAGTAGATTTTAAGAAATACAAAAAATTGTAGTACTTTTTAATTTGTTATTTGTTTCTTCTTTTTTCTAAATATTTCTTTTTACAAGATATGTACCAGCAATAAATAAATGAGCCCTTTCAATCCAATTAATTATTTTAGTAAAGATTTTTGATTGATAATTTAACTTCAATTTTTTTGTATTAATAACATTATGAGGAGCACATAAATATTTATTTTTAATTAGGGTTAAACTTCATTTTAGAATTAATAGTCTTATAATTTCAAATAAATGAAAAATTAATTACATATTGCTTTAGTAGAAATAAGTGAAAATTCTATCCTTTTAATCAATATTTATTTATTTGATTGGTAGATAGATATCTGTACATTTTTAATTTTAATTTTATAATTAATTTTAATTCATTTTATATAAAATATTTTAGATTTTAAAAAAATTATTTAATTATTTTATCTACAAATCCAATTTCGTTTAAATCTTGAAATTAAAAATTTTATTTTTCTTGAAAATAATTTAAAAAATATTATTTTATTTTAAATTTTTTTGCTTACTAAATATTTGGCAAATAAACAAAATAATTAAATATTTTTAAAAAGAGTAATAATAATTTTATAAAGCAGTAATAATGTATGTTACCAATTAAATTAAAAAAATAAATGGTAGAAATCTATTTATGATAAAATATATAAAAACTATAAGTGTAAAACCTTAATAATTTTATCTAAGCTATGGTTATATCATAAATACTCTTAGTAATATTATTATTCACATTTCACAATTTTATTTATTTATATAATTTAAATTAGATAAAATTAATATCATTTTATTTTTATAGTTAGTTGATTAAAAGCATCAATTTTTAAAAGGTTTGGGTATTTATTTTATAATGATTGAAATAAAATCTTTTTTTGGATTCAAATAAAGTAACTCTATCTTTAAAAGTAGACTCTTTTAAGCTAATATATTCTCACAATTTAATCTATTTTTATCTAAGTAGACTCAATTGTTATTAAAAAAATCATCAGTTTATTACTGATAAAATCTTTTTTATTATTATTATAAATCTTACACAAAAAACAAAAAATTAAGAAAAAACAAAATACAAGATTTACTAAAGAAAATAATGGATACAATATTTTAGCCTAAACTCGTAATTAATGCAGATGATTTTGGGTGGTTTTAATAAAGAGATGCTGGCATAATTGAGGGTTTTGAGACTGGGGCTATCAGTTCAACTTCAGCAATAGCTAATGGAAACTATTTAGAGGAAAGTTTAAATAAGATTAAAGATTGCAATTATGGAGTTGGGTTGCATTTAAATTTGACAGATGGTCCACCTGTTTATAAAGAAAATATTGCAGCTAATAGTTTAGTGGGAAAATACATGTGGTATCCTAACGATTATGAAGATTAAATATAAATTGATGGGTTTCATGGGCTTTTTCCTTTACACTCAATGATTAAGTAAAATAAAATAAAGGAAATTGATTTAGAAAATGAAATTAGAGCCTAGATTGCTAGATTTATTACACTTCGTGGAAAACTTCCAACTCATATTGACGGTCACAAGCATATTCAAATGATACCATTAGTTGCAAAGATTTTGGGATGCATCATGACAAGAGAGTTTGGTATTTATAAGGTTAGATTTTCTTTTGATGAAAGCGAAAAGTTATCTAAAGATATGAAATTCTAATACGAAGAATCTATTAAGATATATAAGAGCTATGGAATAAACTCTACTGATTATTTCTTTGGTAAATTTGGAGATGGAAAATTTAGTAAAGAAAACATAATTAAGAGTTTAGATACATTTCGAAATAAATTAAAGAAATCAACAAACATATCTGTTGAAATGATGTGTCATGTTGGATACCCTTCTGTTAATCCTCCTAAGTGCTTTTCTAGTTCATAGCAAAGAGTCAAAGAATTAAGAATTTTATAAGATGACAGTCTATAAAACTACATCAGAAATAATTACAAGCTAGAATCGTATGAAGAAATAGAAAATTAAGAAAAAATAAAAGATAAAACCTTAAGAGAAATTCTTTAAATTAATCCTAAAAAGTAGCTTATCTTATCTTATTGTAACTTAAATTTAGAAGAAGATTGTCTGGACTCATTGGATAACATATTAGATTTATTGAAAAATACAAATGATGTATATTTTGTGCAAGTGAAGGGATAGCAATTTGATAAGAATTATTTATAATAATATGTAAATAAACTGATAAAAATTAAACATGAAAACTAGAACATCAAAGATAGAATAATTTATGTGCATACTTTAGAAAAAGACTAAATTATAAAAAGTCTTAATGAAGTAGATATATTTTTAAGCTTTTCTCCAAATGAAAGTTCTACATAACTAGAGATACTGAAAGAATGCTTGTCTAAAAATATTATTTGTATTGCTAGAAATACAAAACTTAATCAAACTATAATATAAAATGAATAAACTGGACTTCTATTAAGTGATTGTCATAACATTAAAAATAGATGCCTAACTGTTCTATCAAATAAGGATTCAATTGCTTCTATTATAAAAAGTAATTTGAAGTCTTTAAAAATAAGCTAAAATTAGAACGAAGCTATGGACGAAGAATAAAAATAAAATTACTGAAATAATTCTAAAAATATAATTCTGTTTTTATTTTATCTTAACAATTTAAAAATTATATTCTTAACAAAAATGAATAAACAAATAAATTTACTTCATTTTTTAATCTAGAAAATTCATATCTAAAAAGGCAGAAAGATATACGATCTATTGATCAATTTATATAAATTATTTGTCTTTTTTCAATTACATTGTAATTAGTAATTGATCTAATAATATTTGTGTGTCTATTAATGTTTATAAGATGATAAATTGAAATTAAATTATAGGAAAATACTTAAATTAACTTAAATGAGAGAGGACTAAAAAATTTATATTAAGGACAAACAAAATATACAATAATAAAAGTGTATAATAAATGGAATAATATTATTAATAATTAATTCTTATTAATTTATTAATTGACTTTTGTATCAATCTTTTATTGAATATAGATAGATAGAGAGTTTTTATTAAATAGAAGTACATCTATCTTGTATTATATTAGTTATTAAATAGATGTATGTATGTATTTATTTATTTATAATCATAAAATAAGTGAAAGTCGTGTCATTTATGTTATACGTGTGAAGATTTTAAGCGGTTTGACTAGTAAAAAATATTACATTATTTTAAAAGCTTATAAATCCTATTTATTTCGGAATCAAACTATAGCAAGGCTATTTATTATTTTAAATATTCTTTAAATAAAAAAATTAACTGTGATCAGTCGATCATTACTAGGTTTCGTTTGTTTCATTTAAAACACTTTTAGATTATTCTTTTTCATGATTAATTTCTTACATCTGCTATTACACACCCATGTTATTATTTAGTTCTTATAATTACTATTGTACTACAGCATCATCTGGCTTACTTTATTTAGTACTATCTATTTTAGATATCTATTTGTTTTTTTTCGAAGGAGTTATCATTTTAAAGAACTTTTCTGAAATTTCTTTCATTTTATCAAAGCAGTTCAACTATTTAGATTTATGAGGGATTACTTTAAAGTTGTCTTCAGTTTAATTTCCTTTATGTTCTTCGATTGCAAATGCACATTATTTTACCAGTGTATCAAAACTTAAATTGACTGATTCTCCTGTTAATGCACTATTTATTTATTAATTAATTATATTTTATATAAATTGCTAAAATAACATTTAACATAGATTTTTTTATTAAGTAGCAAAATAGAAAACAAAACAAAAAACTTAAATAGATTTTCACTTTATCACTAAAGTGTGTGTACCAAAATAATAAAATATCAAATTAAAATAATGAGTTTAAATAAAATATCCTTTACCTTGTTTCAAAGTAGTTAATGTTATATTTAGAAGCAAGATTAGCTCCCTAAAGAGCACTAACTTTTCTATCCTAATTGATTTAAAAATAATTTAGAAATAGAAGAAGAAATATTATAAGAAATACCTCGTTCCTATCAACTTTGTTACCGATTAATATTTTTTTAATACTTTTGTTAGAAATCTCTTCCACTTATTACAGCCAGTATTCTTCAATTTCTTTTAATTAAAATAATAATATTTTAGCGTCTTCACAAAATATATGTTTGTAATTGAAGTCTGTAAACGTCATCATAAATTTAATTTATTAAAATATTAGTCTATTGATCTATATGTATTTATCTCTTTATTATTATTGTCATACTTTTAATCGGTAAATCAGTCAGAAAAAAAGCTTTGACATTATTTGTATTCAAGCTTAAAATACTCAGTTCTTTGAAGAAAGCAAAACATTACTGATAAAAGAATAAATAATATATTATTTTTCAAATTACTTCTAAAACTTTCATAATCTGTCAAGTCAAAAGTCAGAATAACTCCATCAGCTTTTTGGAAGAATGATTTAGTAATAGCACCAAATCTTTCCTAACCTGCTGTATCCCATAAATCAATTTTAATGCTCAAATCATTTACTTTGATTCTTTTTTTAAAATGATCAACTCCAATAGTAGGATTTGGTTTCATTTCCATAGGATCACAGCCATTAATTTTATTAGGGTTCCCATTTGCTTTAATATTTCATATTATAATTACATATACTATAATTCATTTATTGAAAAAAAGCTGAACAATTATTTAATTAAATGTATATTATTATCCTTATTACTTTATTCATCGCCATCATTTTCATTATTGTTATCAGAAACATATTTTTTAGCTAAGCATGTTTTACCTGCCCCTATTAAATTAATTAAATGTAAAATATTTTACATAATCAATCATTTATTTTTTTTAATAGCTTTTAATTTTGCGTAAATTTCTTATAATTTTATAATTATACAATATTTTTTCCATTTTAATCCTTTTTTGTAATTTTTGTTGAAATACTTAATCAAAAAAAAAAAATTTTAAATTCCAAATATGCTTTAGAATTTACCTGAGTTTCCAATAATTATAATATCTATTTACACCATCGCTTATCTTTATTTATTATGTGTATACTAATTCTAATAAAAGTTGATAGAGAGTATAATTGCTAATAAGATTTAGAGGTAAGAGCCTTTAGTATTTTTTTATTATTGATTTTTTAATTGTAAATTTCTTAATTATGTAAAGTAATTATTTTAATTAGCTTGCTTTAATTAATATAAAAAATTGAAATTTGTTATTAATTCTGAATATTAATTATATTATCAATTTTTAAGCTAAGTAAAGTTTATAAATTGCAATCAATAGGCATATAATAAATATAAAAATTTCCTCTATTTTTCTTTTTTTCATCTCTATTAAAAAAACAAACAATATCAATTAAAAATCAAATAAATTTTGATCAAACCATAAAGAATTGAGAAGGTCTTACTTGTTTTCTTTTAATTGTAATTTGAATTGAGATTTATAAATTTGAAGCAATCAATATTTTAAAAAATTCAAAGTAGTTAAATACTACTACATTATATTATTCAAATAAAAAATAGAAACTTATATGACCTATTAAAATAAAATATTAGAATTCAAAAACTATCTAGAAAAGTGTTTAATCTTATTAAATATTTAATAAAATCTCTCGAAGGTATTAAAAAGATAATCTATTGCATTTCATTATCTATCTATCTGTCTATCTGCTTGAAAAATTTTGCTTTTGTGTTGTTTAAATAATAAACAGCCAATAAAAATTAGCAAATAAAACTTCGACAAGCTTTTAGAATCGAACACTTGATGAATTCTTACAGAATGAATTTAGAATTAGATATGATAGATAATTAAAATTATTGAAAAATACATCTATTTAATTTTGAGCTGTTCTTTCTCTATACATTTCGATTTCCGAAAACATTGATAAAATGATTTTAAATAAATTAATAAATAAGTTGGTTAGTTAGTGTGTAAATTATAGATTCATTCATTTTTTATAAAACTCTAATGTTTTTTAGTTTGGTATCCATGATTTATTGCTATCAAGATTTTAATTCATCACATATGTTTCTGTTCCATTGGCATTTTCTCTCCCTAAAATGTTTAAATAGACCAGGAAGTTTACATAATTCCATATATTGTGGATCTTAGTTGTGTGACGCGCAAAGTTGAATCCATTTTTTTCAAACTCCCATTTTTAAATGTCGCATATAAAACATACATTTTCTATATCAAACTCCGTTTGATGTTATTCATCTCTCAAATCTGCAAATGCATCAATGATAATACCACTAATCACATTTAGCATGATCTGAGAAATAATGATGAAAAATGAAAAATCAAATATAAAAGTTGTATAGAAATCATAGTTTGAGTTGGCAAAGCTCATGTTATACCCAAATGTACCAATACCATTATCTTCTCTTAACCCGTAGAGAACTAGAGATATTAAACAATGATACGGAGTGTCGCAAAGCTATTCGTCAATGTACTCTCCTTGAGGCCCAAGTACATTAAGTTAAAATCTCTAGCTAAAGCTTGTAAAACCAGTGAATGCATACATATTTAAAAGGATAAGAATTAGCAAAAATATACCTAAATTGAATTGAAAAAAAGTTAATAAATAGCATATTTATGATTAAAAATTAAGTAATTTCTACTTAGTTTTAAACAAGCATTCTATATAAAAAAATAGTTGTTAATCTATGCATTTTAAATTCATAAAATGATAAATTTTAAACTAAAATTTGAATGTTAAATAGTTATGAATATTAAATAATTTGTTCATTTTTACTTAAATTTCTTTTTTGAAATATTGAAATATATCAAATTTTATAAAAATAGCAAGCATTAGTTCAATAAAGAAATAAAATTTACCTAAAAATTTTCTCCAACGCATTTTAAGCGCCTGTAGTACTGAATTCATGGTTTTATTAACGAAGACAAAGCAGAGACAGAGCAAGTAGAAGAAGAATTCACTAATATAAATACCACACAAAGAGAGAATCAAAATTAAAAAGAATGGGAGCAAATCTTTCCTTTTGAAAATAGAATATATCAATAATATTTTTTATATCTACATCCTTATCTTATTCTCTTTACTGTCCTGTTTCTTATACTCTTCTTTATTAGCTATATTTTATTATGTTTATAACTCACTTACATCAATCCTATAGTATATCTTAAATCTTAGAAGAAGATAGAAAGAAAGTATAATCATAGAAAGATAGACATTTAGTTTTCCTAATACCTTAACAAACGTAGTATGCTCTCTAACAACCTTTTGTCGTATTATTAAAATGTATATTAATTTAAATAAAATATTTATATTTTCCTTAAAAATAAATATTATTAAATAATATATTTGAAAATAATCAAACTAAAATTATTTATTTTCAAGCAATAATTATCTATTTATTTATCTTCATTAAAACAAATTTTTCAAATATTTTAATAAAAAAAAGATCACAATTTTCTAAATTCAAAAAATTGAGGATTTAAATTATTAAAATAATTATTTACTTTCTATTACTTCTATTTTTTATTTGATATATTATTTTAGAAAAACTGAATTTGAGTAAAAAATTATTTCAATTTGATTATGATATATGATAATTTATGTTTTTTAATTTAAATTATACCTATCCATCCTCAATCTTATAGGAGAAACTTACAAAGATAGTGATAATAAAGTTGATAACGGCTAACAGTATGACTGGCTTAGAGTGATCAGAGTCAAACATAACTATTTGCAATAGTTTAGGCCAGAGTGGAGAGTAATTTTTGAAAAATTTTCTATTTTCTTCCATTTCTATCATAAAGTGTGGAATTGCATCAATCATAGATCCTAACTTAGAGCCATTATTAGATCTATCAACATTTTCTAAGAACTAATTCTAAGTTTCACTAGTAAAAGAAAAAATTTAATTAACATATCTTTACTTTCAAAAATATTACTATGATAAAAAGAAACATTATGGAGGTATAATATATTAGTATTCTATTAAGTTTCCTAAACTATCAACCAATTCTATGGTTTAAACTATACCATCTAGAAATTTAAATCCTGTTGTTATTATTCCATTATAAGTAGTTCTGTAATTTGCTGGATCTGATATTCTTTTTTTATAGAAATTAACATAGGTTGAAACTTCTTAGGAAATCTTTTTATAGTTGTTTAAAATTTTTGAAATAGAAACTAATATTTTAATAGGCTAATTCTTCTCTTCCAAAAGGACTGACTGGTGAAGATTCTCACCTAGCTAGTACTTGTATATTTGAATTAACTTTTCAGGGATAAAGTATAAATTGGTGTTGTCTTAGCTGCTTTCGTTTATTTCAATATTTAAGAAAGTCTATTATTTTATGATATGTAAATATGATTATATTGAAATTTAATAATTTACTTTCACTATGTGCTTAAAAGTTTGTAAGAATGTTTCTTCTAATACTTTATAGTTTACTACTGAGCTTATATTTTCTAAAATATAATTATTCTATCCTTCGAGCAAAGATATCACCAGTTCTAGGACATAAACACGAACAGTTTGTAAAGTTAACATGTCACTAGTAGCCTTTTTAATCAAAATTTTTGTTATAATCTACCACATTTTTTATTAGTTGAAGAGCTGGATAGTAAGATTTTAATTTTCAAGGCAGGGACCAAGATGCATTTCAGCCAAACCAATCATAGAATATGTAAACAGCTTTATAAATGTTTATGAAATACCTCCTTCCATTAGCTTTTAAAAATAAAATTAATAAATTTAAATAAATAAATAAAATTTTACTAATTAGGCCTATGCTTTTTTACTAGTTAAGGTATCAATTTGCCATGATTTGAAAAGTAATTCACATAAACCTATCATTCTTCTAAGTATACCTTACTCACCAATTATTTTCTGTAAATATTCATGCTATTCCTCAGCAAGGTATCTGAATAATTGAATAAACTCAACACTTAAGTCACCAATCTTATTAAATTTTTTTCAATTAATTTAAATCAAATGATTTTTAAAAATATACCCATCTTAGTGTATTATCTTCAAAGTTCGTTTCATAATTCTTAACTAAAGAGAAAAGCTAAGGCATATACTGGGCAACTAAAATGATAAATGATGATATTCTTAATAAATAAAATTTATTTTAATTTAATATTATATTTTACCTATTTACAGAATAGAAACAAACAATTCTTTATTTGCAGGTGATTCTTCCAAATATTCTCTAATAATCCCTTAGAAAAGAGTTGTGTCTAAAATGAGAAGACGATTCATTAATTTAACGTGATTGCACATAGAGTTGTAGTTATAATACTCGCAAGATTATAATTTACTGTAAGGATAAAGAGCACTGGGTTGCTTAATTTAATTAAGTATGTAATTCATAAAAATACTGCTTATTTTGCAAAAATTTTTTAGTTTTATCTGTTAATAATGAATTTAATATAAAGGAGATTTCTCGATCAAAATAGATTCATTTTATTTATTTCCTAGATTATCTATGAAGTTAATTATTTCTTTATAAAAGTCATAGTATTAAGGATTTATGTTTTTAGGTTCTACTATACCTGAGGAACGACTCATGTGTTTTCTAAAAAATAAAAAATTTATTAAATTAAATTTAAAAATTATAAAATATTTTACTTATATATTTTTATGTATTTCTTGTTCACTAACCTCTACTCATACTTTTCGAAAATGTCTTCTATTTTTCCAAAGAGCTTACCTTCTGGAGTAGATGACTTCTATTCTAAAAGAGCATTAGCTTACTATTGCTTTAAGTTACGAGGTATTTATGATTTGAGCATTACATGAGTAAATAAGTCTCTTATAAATATAAATTCGATTACCAACTCCTATATCTTCATAAGCTCTCTACCGTTAAGAAAATTAGCATCTCCTACCAGCTTTGTAAAACTGATTATATTTTCAAATGGCAAGAATATAGCGTAGAGACCAAAGTCCTTCAAAAAGTTCAGCTACTTTTTAAGCATCTTTTAAAAAATTTTAACTTTTGATACAAATCCCTAAATGTTAGCCCTAAGTAGCTTCTCAAGATTTTAGATATTAGATTTCAGAGCAAATATTTTTGTGGAAAGTTTATCTACCTTTAGGTCACTTCCAATGAGCAAATTCATTTCAAAGTTTCTTTTTTCAAAGCTCTAGATGACATTTTTAGCTTTCAAAAAGTGAATGTTAAAGAATCTAAACATTTCAGTTTGAATATCAATAAAGTACTCTGACTGTTATTATTTAAAAAATAATAAAACTAAATGAGAATTTTATATAAATCAAATATAAATTACATCCTAATAAAGCTCTTCTAAGAAAGCAAAGGTTTACTCACTTAAATGTGAATTACTCATATCAGGAAATATTTCAGTCAAGATGTCAATGTTTTTTTAAGGGAAAATAGTTTCATTGTTTTCCATAAGAATATTAAGTAGCTTCATACAAATTGCAAATAATTAAATTGTTTTAAATGCAATGTGATCTTCTTAAGTCTGTGAAATTTCTTTTAATTTAGTAAAATTGTTTGAATCATTAGCTGTGATCACAAAGCAATCATCCTCCAAGATAGTGTTAAACTTGTTATTTACATGCTTTAAACTTTCACTTATTCCCTTTTTAATATATTTATGTGGTTTCATAGTTTTTTTTGAAAATAATCCCCCTTCAAACATCTCATCAACTATCATCAAAACATTTCTAGATATACCTTATTGTTATATATAAAATTTATTTTTATTAATTGCTTTTATATTTATACTTACTTTAGAAGCAATGATAAAGAACTGAGCTCTTTTCATAATAATCTTCTTTTTTTTTAGTTCTCGAATCATACTTTTCTATAATAATTAAAATTGATTCATACATATTTGTCCTGAATCTAAGAAGGTTTTGGTAAAGGAAAGAAGAAAGTTCAGTGACATCATAATACTTTGTGTCTACGTGATCAAGCACATGCTCAAAATGATCAAATATTAGTAGAGGCTATGGAAAAGTTTCTTTTTCTTTCAAAGAAGTTAGAAGATCATGATAAAATGTGCTGAATTCCAAATAAGAATCAGTTTAGTCTATTAGCTTTTATATAATTTCAAGATTATTTTTTTACATCAAAGCAGCCATGTTATCAATATTTTCGTATCCATATACTTTCAAAATATCAAGACACTTATTTAAAACAGCAAAAGGTTACATATAATTTGGAGAAGAGTTTCTAAATGTGTGAATATTTGTTTTGACACTTGATTTTGGATGAATAAAAAAGTAATACTTTTTTTTAAAAATAAAATTGCTTAAAGTAAATTTATTTTTTAATAATCTAATTTTACTTAAAATAACCTAATGATAGAAATGTCTATTCCTGATCTAACTATTTTAGCCTAGAATTCTTTCAATTTCAAAGGATAATTTTTTTTATCTGATTTTGAATAGCTGGCAGAGCTTTTTAGAGTTTTATTATTAATGAGAATGAGGAAAAATTCATATTCGTCTGTGCTTATTATCTAATTTAGAATATCAAACAACTCATTCTTCAAATCTTCAATTATCTCTGGAGGAGAAAAAGAATCTGTAATCTTTTTACCTGTATAAAATAATATTTGTTAAAACTTATGTAAACAATTCAAAAAAAAAATATAAAAGAAATTTAATTTACCTAAAACATATTTGTCTATCAATTTATCTAAATTTTTTCTTGGCTCCTTCAATACATTTTTCTTTGAAAAAAGATCCTTAAGGATAACGTAAGAATTATAAGATTCCTCAGTACATCTTCTAATACCTTCAATATATAAAGTAGAGGAAACACATTATTCACGCATTAGCTTTTGAATGTTTGATTGTATTTTTTAGAACCCTTGAGGTGTTGAATCTAAAAACTTTTTATTCATTTAAATATTCAATATTGTCCCAAATAATATTTTGTAAATGTTCATATTATTTTAATCATCTCCTTCATACAAAAAGTAAAATTTCTTCTTTTCTACTGTAATATCTGGAAAATTCATATCTATCAATTATTAAAAAAAAAAATTTTAATTACTCAATTTATTTATCAATTAATAAATTACCATCTGCTATCTTTTATCCTTCAGAATTTTTAGACAGTTTTTCTTAAAATGTTCTTTTAAGCAAGCCTTGGTTCACTAACTCAGTTTCAAATTGCAAATCTTTTTAGTGAAAAAAACACAATACCAAGATATCTGAAAGAAGAACTAAAGATTTCTCACTGATAATTTCACTTGCTTCTTCAGTGGTAAACTTCTATAGCTCGACATTTAAAGTGTTAAGAATTTTTTTTAGAAAAGCTTACTCTTTGCTTCCCTTAAAAAAATTAACAAAAATAAATATTATTTTTAAAGTTTTTAACAAGTAAATAAATAAATTTAAATTTTACTGATATTAGCCTGCATTTAAGTATTGCTTTGATTATCTTGAGAGAAAAGTTAAGTAATTTATTTTAAATATTGATAGAGAAATCAATTTCAGATATCAAATCAATATATTGCTTAATTTCTTTAGAAATATTTTAATAGTTTAAGACAATATAACCCTTTTAATTGTAGTGTTAAGAGAAATCTCTAATTCCCATTCTCTAGAAAGGAGAATAATTTTCTATGGTCTTCGTTTCGATTTTTCTTAATTAAGATATATCATCTTTAATCAGTAAAATATATATTTGCATTAAGAATTCGACAATCTTTTCATACCAATTCATCGAATAAGAATCTATTACTTATATCGTATTTGGCATATTCATTATGATATTATGAATATATTCAGTAGTAGTTATATTTAAAAACTTGCTATTTAGTTTTAAGAAACGTTTTTTTGTATTATTATGTAAATTGACCAGTTGCAAATTATCATGGATAAACACATAATCTAAAAAAGAATTGTCTTCAGCTAATTAAGCAATTTAATTTTCATTTCCCATCTTAGTAAACTTCGTTCTCATCAGACTCATATGAGCTTCAAACTTTTAAAATAAGCCCATGTAAATAGCTTCATTTTCAAACAAGAAGTTAAACAGTGTATTAATTATACAATCTATTTTTTAATTTAAACGTTGGTATTAATAAAAAACCTTTTCTCAACAAGAAAAATATTTAAAAAATTCATATTTTTTAAACTTAATTTAAATAATTTTGATAAATGAAATTCAATTTTAAAATAAATCAAATTGATTTATTTCAAATAAAAATATTTTTTTTTTGAATTTAGAAATCAAATTTATTTACTCCAAATAAATTTTTGGTTTATTAATTCTTATCTCTTAAAGATAATAAATTTTTATTTTAATATTCTATATTAATTTACAAATTTTAATGGCATTTATTATTAAACTTATACAATATCCTATGCTTAAATTTTTTAAAACTTTAAAATATTTTTTGATATTTTGAAAAATTAATATTTTTACCATCTAACCTGTTTTAAGTTATAATTTGTTTGTATCTGGTGATAAATGAACGCATTCTTGAAACTCTGTGATGAGTGCAATCATCACACTCACATTTCTAGTTTTTGTTTGTTAAAACATATTCTTACAAATTATCTGTTGTGGGAATTCTAGTAACTATTTGTTTCATCTTTTTCATTTACTTTCCTTTCATAAATAGCGCACTGGTGTTAAGATTACTTGAAGAAAATATTTAATCTTAATTATTGTTTAAAAATATGCTTTTAGATTCTAATCCCCTTAATTCTGCTCTATCATGAACTTCAAAATGAGCTCTATGTTTAGAATCATAAGCACAAAAAAAACACAGGGAAATGTTACATCTAGGGCACATGTAAAATTTCTTTCTAAAATTTGTATCAATATGGTACAAAAAACAATCTTTGACAATGAGAATTTCCCTTTAACGAAATTTATGACCTAGCATTGCACAATCGCAAAAAAAACGCGACTTTCTGAAATATTTAATATTATGCCCTTCATGGCAATATCCTATGCAATATTTACATACTCCATACCTTTCACTTGGAAAGCAATCCAAACAAATATATTAATCCTGTAAAATACTCTTCTTTCCTGTTTGCAAGAAAGAACATGCATGTTCCTTTTCTACTAGATTCTGAGCTTCTATATGATAAGTATAGTGATTTTCTAATTCGAACAATAACTTTTTATTCATGGATTGAAATCAAAACTAATTTTAATAGATATATCCTAATTGCTGATTATTTAGTTGATTTAATAATCTAGTTATTTTAAAGTTAAAATTTCAGACCTATTATAAATATATTCCTTTCCTTATATTAAGTAGTATCCTATTTACTGCAGTTTGATTAAATTTAAAATAATCAAGTCTTTACAAAAATTCTATTAATTGATATACAATAATTAAATGAGTGATAGAAATAAGAATTTCTTGAAAAAACAAATAAAAAATATCTAAAATCGTAAATTTTCCAAGTATTTATAAAATTAAATTCAATTAAATATTTATTACAAATGTTTAATATTATTTAAGATTAAAATTAAAAAGTAATTTAAAGGTTTAAAATAGAACAAAAAAAACACAAATTAATTATTTAAGACTAACATAAAATAATTAAATTTAATAAACAATTATTGAATATATTCTTTGCAAGTAGGTTTAAGTGTAATAGCTCCAAGTAAATATTACTAAAAATATGATTTTTTAATTCAAAGATAATTTATTATTGCAATTAATAAGCATTTAATATCTTTGTTTTTAATTAATTTAAAGTGTTTTTATTTCTTCAATTTAATAAACATTAATTTATTTGAGTGCTCAGAATCCATATTTTTCACTGTAAGGAATCTTCATTTGATATTGGTTATATATTTTATAATAAAATAATGATAAATCAAGATATTATAATTTAAAATAATAAAAATTCTAAAAAAGATAGATCTGATTTGTTAAGTTTAATAGGCTTTTTAGAGTTTTAAAATGAATAGCAAAAAAAAAAATGTAAGCTTGTTTATGGTGTTCAGCAATTTAGTGTCTGTCATTAATTTATTATCATTAGCAACCCTTTTGAAGTAAGAAGATACTCCATTTGCTTTGAAGATAATAGTTAGTATTTTGTTATTAGCTGTGTTATTCTAAGGAAGAAACATTCCTCCTATCAAAGAATTTGGAGTGATATTATTTTTTTTAGATATAAATTTAAACATGAAACAAGGATTAAATGAATTTTAGTTAAATAGCAGCAGTATTTTAAAAGTAATGAAAATTTTTTACTTTGGTATCTACATACTGCTCCTTTATTGCAATATCTAGTATTAAGTAGTTTACATGATCGGATTAGTCGGAGTCGAAGCATATTTTCTAATTTTAGGAAGAAATAGCATATTTTTTATAATATAGATTATAGGTTTATCTCTTCATTAGGCTTTTTCAAGACTTTTATTTCTCTAACTGCCTGCATATTAATTTTTTGCCATACCCCTAGCTATTTATGCTATTTCTAGTGTGCTATTAGTCTGCGTTTTTAAAAATTTTAGTGTTTTTACAAGTTTCAAGGAAATATTTTACACTATTTTTGCCACTTTTATTGGAATATTTTCGCCAATCTTTAAGGACAATAGGAAAATTATAATCCGTATTGCTGGTGAAGTGTTAAATAAGAGAGAAGGTTTCTTTGCTGTCTTTGATTTAGCTTTTGGCTATTTTATTTTTTAAGATCTTAGTTTAGAATTAAAAATATTATATTTAGTCTGCGTTCCATTTCTATTCATAAAGATTTATTAGCAGATAAAGTATTTTTTGGAAGGACCTTATCAAATAATAGTAAAAGTAGATTAAAGTAATAAACTTAATGGTGCATTTAAAGTCAAAAATTAATAGCACCTTGCTAAATTTGAATTTAGCTAATTATAAAACGATTAAATTGAGTTATATTTATAGGATTTTATGGAATTTAACCCAAATACATATTTTGAATTTAGTAAAGATGGTATTCCACACCTTTAATTAGATTCAAGCAAGTATTTTTACTAATTTAATCCTGTCGATTTATCAAGCTTTAAATTACAATTTAAAATGTTTTACAAATCAAAAGTTCTTTATAAGCAATTCTAAGTATTCATATAATTTGACAAATGTTATTAGTTACTTGGGAAATTTAAAACAGATAAGATACTTTTAAAATACCCATTATCAATATTGTATCGCTATGGAAATACTGGAATAAATTATCAACCAAGTGACTTTATAAGATAATATTATCTAATATTAGTAAAAACTTTATACTAAAGAATGTGCTTTGAGAAATGTATTTCTTATCATATTCCAATTAATAAAAATTAATTATTCTATGACTTGTTTGATGATTTCTATTGATTGTTATTTATCAGTAATCAGCAAACTTACACTAATTATTAAAAATCTCGCATTTTCAATAAAAAAAATATATTTGCCAAATTAAATTATCTTTTACTTAATTTGATAAGAAACAATTTATTTATTTATCATAATTTTTTTTAACTACTTTTTTGATTTTTTTACTTTTTTAATATTAAATGAATGCTCTTATTTTTCTACTATTAACTTACAGCTTAAATTTTTTTAATGTAATAATAAAGTGTTACTAGTTTGTAATATTTTAAAAATAAAGAATATAATTTTTATCTAAGCATTAATAAACTCTTTCTAAAACAAGAAATAAATCAAATTTTTGATAAATAAGAATTGCCCATTTTATTTGCAAAATAAATAAAAAAAAGCAAATTAATAAATAAATCAAATAAATAAAAAAAAACGAATTTAAGTCAAAAATTTAAAGAAAGTTTATTATTTTATCTTCTTTCAATCAAATATTTCTGTCTTTTTTAATAAGCAATATTAAATATATTTTTTTAAAAAGTATTCATTTTGTTAAATAACATATAAAACCATAAAATGTAAATTAAAAGTAAAATATTGTTTAGGTAAGAATCATCTTAAAAGTAAAAATATTGAACATTCCAAACCAAAAAAAAATATGTTAAATAATAATTACCTATTCTGTTAATTCTTTTATAATGTTTACAGAGATTTACAAAAATTGAACAAAATTATAGTTCAAAATTTATTCATAAATTTAGATCAAATTACAGCAATCAAGATATTTATTATGTATGTATAGCATTTCAAACTAAATTCTCTTAAAATTAAGTTAAAAAAAAAAAAATTAGCTGTTTCTAATTTTAATATCTATCTAACTATCAGCAAATAAAACCTTATTTAATTATACCTAATGTTTGAAACATATACATTTTCCCTTATTTTAAGTAAAAAAAATCTTTTATAATTATCTGATCAAAAAAAACTAGAATGTAAACATGTATCATCAGGTGAATTAAATATAATCTGATAAATTATGAGGGTGAAAATGTTCATCGACTAAAAACCCTTCCATTATTTAAATAGATCTTAAGAGAAACAGTTTTTTAACATTATAAAAATATTTTTTGTGATATAAACTAAAAATTTTCTATATTTTAGTTTAAATGGTTATTTTTCCTAGGCTATTTATAAAATTATATTGATTTTCATATTTTTTTTTATCAAATTACTTATCAAATCTGTGGAAAAAATATAAAAACTAAATTCTTTTTATTAAAAGTAATCAATATAAAAGTCAAGTTTTTATTTTAATTAGATATAATTTATTAATAATTAATTAAATTTATATTTTCATATTTTGAAACAATAAAAATCAAAAGTTAAAATGGATCAATAAGAACAAAAATTTGAAAGCTTGGAGAACGTAATTAATAATAAACTTTTATTTTGTTTGATAATATTTAAAATTTGGTAAATAGTTTTTAGAATCTTCTCTCTCTACTCATACAGATGTATCTATTGAATTATTGTAAATATAATTATAATTGCTTATTTATTTTTTCTTTGAAAAATATGCTTTTTTTAATTGTTTTTATTTATATAATTATATTTATCTAAAGATATCAGTCTATTGGAGCCAAAGGAATATCAGATTTAAGTTCAGGATTATAAAAGTGTTCGAATTTAAAATCTTTGAAGCTTGACCTCGAGTAATATATATATTTATTTATGTTTACTTTGCATTTTATTCAATTATTATTGCAAAAAAAGAAGTTAAAAAATTCCCTTATTTTTAACTTACACTAGCTATTTTTATCTATTAATTTATTATTGAATTAGAAAATAATTAATTAATTTATACTTTATAAATAGATCTAACGAAATTGGAGCATAAGATGCAGCAATTTTAGGTTCTGGATTAGTAAGCTGTGATAATCTCACAAATTTGTATCTTAATCTTGGGTAAAAATAATAATAATAATAATAAAGATATATTTTTTATTTAGATTTAATTTACTTTACTGGATAGTTGAATAAGATTAATATAATAATTCATCTTTCTTTTAACCTAAATTGTTTTATTTTGCATATTCTACAGTTTATTAATTAAATTATAAATTTTAAAAGCGAAAATCACATTGGTGATGAAGGTATATCAAGTATAGGATCTGCTTTAGCTAAGTGCACTAAACTCACCACTTTATCTATGAATTTAGAGTAAAATTAAATTTTTTATTCAAATGTTATTAAAATTATTAAAAAATGTATTAATAAATTATATTTTAATAGCATTTACATTAAAATTTTAGCATAAATAGTATTATATTCTATTAAAAATACATTTTTAATATTATAAAAGGAAAAGTTAAATTGGAGCATCTGGTATTCAAGAATTTGCATCTTCTTTAGGAAAATGCTCTAATCTCTCATCTTTTGAATTGAATGCCTTGTATTAAATTTAATATTTTATTTAATGATAAAAATTGTAAATAAAGAGATTATCATATGATTATTCAATTAAAATTTTTTTACTTTATAAGCTTAGTGAAATTAGCTCTTTTTAAATTTATTTTTAACAAAAATTTCATTTAAAAAAATTTTATTCTTAAACAAAAAAAGCCGTAGTAGCATTGGAGAAACTTTTGCATCTAATTTAGTCTCTGGTTTAGCTAATTGCTCAAACCTCTCAGCATTAAAACTCTAATTTAAGTATATTATTTAGTTTTTTTATTTAAGCTCTAGTTTCATATTAAATGGAAATAAAAATAAATTTATTTAAATTTCCGAATACTAATTAATTATTTTTCTATTCATTAAATCCTTAACAAAATTCTAATTAAATTAATAGGAATAATGAAATTGGTAATTTAGGGGCTTAAAACTTAGGTTCAGCATTATCAAACTGTAGCAATCTCTAAAATTTAACTCTTGACCTCTCGTAATATATTTTTTTTATTTCTTGCAATCATTTTATTCTGTAAATTCTAAATTTTAGATTTTAGAGAAATACTTATTTAAAAATAAACTAATCCAATTATTTAATAAAAAAATTCAAGGAGTAATTCTATTGGTAATGAAGGATTATAAGATTTAAGTTCAGGGTTGGCAAAATGTTCTAATCTCACATCCTTGGTTCTTACCCTTATGTATTATAATAATGATAATAATTATTTTAATTTTATTTACAATTTTCAGATATAATTAAAAGAAAAATAAAATAATTTAATGATTTTAAATTTCCTAAAAAAATTTAAAAACAGATTATTTAACAAAATTTTAAGTAGCTTAAAATTAAAATTTTATTTAATTAAACGAAAATAGGGAAAACAATATTGATGAAGAAAGTACCTCCTGTTTAGGTTCAGCTTTAACAAATTGTGTTAACCTTTCAAAGTTGATTTTGGAGCTTAAGTAAAAACGATTTACTTATTATTTATTTTGCTTACTATCTTGTTTAAATTTTAGAATTATTATTATTATCTTTTAATTTTATAAAATTCACTTATATCCAAAGAAAATGTCAATCAAATTTTTTATTTAAAGTATCAACCGCATTGGAAATAAAGGGGCATTGAACTTATGCGCAGCTTTAGGAAACTGTAACAAACTTTCAGATTTACATTTAGATTTGACGTAAAGCAAAATACTTTTTATTTTACTATCATTTAAAAAAATTTTGGAAAATAATTTAAAAAAAAAATATTTACACAAGTTTTTAGTAAAATTATTCTTTTTTAAATTTTTAATATAAAAAGAGAAAATAATATTCAAAATGAAAGTGATTTTGCAGCTGCTTTAGCAAAGAGTGCTAGTATCCAAATTTTGACTCTTCGTTTATGGTAAAAATAAATTTTTAATTGTAAATTTACTAATGCATATTTGGATAATACTTACTTCTATTTTTAAAAATAATTTTTTAACTTTTAAAAACTTAAAGGGATAATAATTTGGAGGCTAATGGTGCTATAAACTTATGCTCTGGTTTAGCAAATAGTGATAAAATTTAAACTTTGAATCTATATCTTAAGTAAAAAATATTTGTTTATATTACTTTGAATTCTTTCAATTATAAAAAAGAGAAAAATAAATGAAGTATTTAATGATTCTTTGTTGAGATTTATTTCATTTTAAATTTAAATTTAAAATTAATTTAATTAATTCATTATAAATTTAAAAAAGTGAGAATAAAATTGGTAATGAAGGTGCATAAGGCATGAGTTAATCTTTATCAAAGTGCCTTAATTTATCAAGCTTGACTCTTGAACTTTCGTAAAATAATATTTAATTCTTAAAAGAAATTTTCTTCATTTTTAATTAAATTTAATTAAAAAAGTAATCAAAAAGCTAATTAAAAATCTCAAAAAAATTTTTTTGAGTCATGATATTTTTCAAGTTTTTAAAAGAATTTTAGGATATTTTCTTATTTTTAATGTTAAATTTATTGATATAATAAATAATATTAAAAGTGGTAACTCTATTGGTAACAATGGTGTATCAGGTTTGGGCTCTGCTTTAACAAACTTTTCTAATCTCTCAAAATTAAGTCTCAATTTAGGGTAATAGATAAATACTTCTTAAAATTAATTTTATTTGAATTTTTATTTTTTTATAAAAAAATTGCTCCTTTTTGATACTTTTATTACATTTTTATTTGTAATACTCAGTAAATTAAATTTAAAAAATAATAGGATTAATGATATAAGCAAAGAGGGAGCTGAAAACTTAGGTTCTTCTTTAACAAAATGCGCTAACCTTTCAATTTTAGATCTTGATATCTAGTAAAGCCATTTTTTAATTAAATTATAGACTATGTTTATGCAAGAAAAAACATTATTATTAAATAAAATTCAAGTAATAATAAAATTGGTAATGACGGAGCTTCAAGTTTAGTATCTTCTTTAAAAAAATGCAGCAAGCTTTAAACTTTGAATATCAACTTATAGTAAGGATACAATTTTTTTTAATGAAAAATTAAAAAATTTATAAAATTAAACTAAAGATTAAAATTAAAAAATAAATCTTTAAAAAAAATTGTTTTTTTAGTAATTAATTAATAATTTAATTGAATCATTATTATTTTAAAGCTAAAACGAGATAGAGTAGAGTGTTTAGATAAAACTTAAGAATAAACTTCAAAAAATTAAAGGCTTAACTACCTTAATAAATATTGTTGAAGATGTAGATGATGAAGATCTTTGAAGAAAATAGCTATCTAATTTAACTTTATTAATAATGAATAATTAAATTATTTTAAATAATTATTTGTAGGGCTTTATTTTATAAGATTTTTTATTTGCTAAACAACATTTTAATATAAAATACTTTTTAGAATACAAAGATGTAATTTATTTTTTTAAATTTAGAAACTCTCATTTTCAAAACACAAATTATATTAACTCAATTGTAATTATAAAAATCTATTCTTTAATAATATAAATTATATTTTGATAAATTTTAAATAATATTTAAGTAAAAAAATTAAATATTTATTAAACTTGAATTAATATTTAATTGATTAAAAAATATGGATTGATATAAAGATAGGTTGGCAGATAATTAGTTTTATATGAAATTATAGAATTATTTTAAGGATCAAATTTTATATTAATTGAATTTACGAATAAAGAACTCTATAAATTAACAAAATATTACAATTTCTCATTGAAAATCTATTTCAAATAAGATTTAAATTTTTTAAGATTAAAAAGTTTTGAAAGATATTTATTTAATTCTTCAGAAATACTAAAATTGACTTTATTTCTCTTTATATATTTTATCAAAGGCTTCTAAAATATCTTCATCATTAATCATATCTCTTTCTTTATGAATACAATTATATGCACTTTCATTAGTGACATTTTCTAAATCAGCACCACTTAAACCTTCACTTTTACTAGCTATATCTTGAAGTGTTTCATCACTTACTTTTTATTTTTTCTAATTAAATATTAAAAATTTTATAATGATTAGTCTATTATTAAAAGTCTCTATAAATAGGTGTGATGTAATAAATTATTTATAATTTACATTTCTTAGGTGGACTTAAAGGATACCTTTTCTTTCTTCTTCATCAGGAAGGTTAACCTTGATTTTTGTATCGAATCTTCCTGAACGAAGAAGAGCATCATCAATAAGCTAGAGTCTATTAGTTGCAGCAATAACTACTATATTTTCCATTTATTAGAATCCGTCCATTTCAGTAAGGAGCTTAATTTATTATTAAAAATTATAATTTCGAACATTTTATTATCAAAGTACTTAATTTAAGGTAGTTGCTCTTTCCATTTCTGCTCCTTATTGTTCAGATTCTTTATTTTTTCTTCTAGAGCCAACGCCATCAATTTCATCTATAAATATAATACAAGGTGCAAACTTTCTTGCTTTTGAAAACAAATCTCTAACTCTCTTAGCACCAACACCAACATACATTTCTACAAATTCACTTGCAGTAGTGAAAATGAAATTGGCATTTGATTCACCGGCAGTAGCTTTTGCCAACATAGTCTTACCAGTTCCTAATGCAAATAATTTAGGAATAAATTAAACTAAAATGAAAAATTAATTACCTGGAGGACCATAAATTAAAACACCTTTTCTCAATCTAGCTCCAACAGCTTGATATCTATAAATAAATTTGATAAAATTACATGAAAAAAATTCTTGAAATGATAGTAAAGTACTTGGAAGGATGCTTCAAAAAATCGATAATTTCTTAAAGTTAAGATTTAGCATGATTAAGTCCATAAATTTAATCAAATTTCACTTTCACTCTCATTTCATCATCAATAGGCTTAATTTCTTTTTCTGGCATAATATATCTATAAAAATTATAAACAAATTATTGAGTTTTCATGTTTATTTCATTAAAAATTTTAGTACTTTGATGCTATTTTAAATGTGAGGTATGCACTTGCAAGAGTTATTAATAAGTTGGCGATGTTAATGCCTTTGTTTTTCTCTACGCTTGAAAAAACAATTTCTGGCTTTTCCCTATTTATTTTTAATAATTTTTTAGAAAAATTCTACTTGGATGCATAGAATTATAAAATATTCTATTTTAATCTTCTTCAATTGAATGCTTGATTGAATAAATTAGATTCTACAATAATTGTATACTTTAGTAAAAGGAAAAGTCTATCTTTAGAAAGCATAGAAGCATCGGTTTGATAATAATTATTACTATTAGTAGATCTAAATAAAAGTGTTTTTCCCTCAACTAATACCTTCATCATTTATATTTTTATTATTTACTAATTTATCATTTTAATTATTTACTTCTGATATTATATTCTAAGATAAAGCTAACAAGAAATAGCTTAGTTTAACTTTTGGAATAGATTATGCTTTACTTGCTTTACCTAAGAAATAAAATGATATCACTAAAGCTATACCAGCGTAAACTGATTTATTATTTGAAAAAGTTTTTTTCAATTTTTTAATCCAGCTTTTTAAAAACTACATGAATGCTAATTATTATAAATTTTAACTATTAATTTTGTTGCTTTATACTAAGTGTTTGCAAATCTATTTATCTATCTATCTATGATTTCAAAATTTTAAAAATCTTTGTCTTGATATTTTAATGAATATTTTTGTTGCAAGCTTATCTAATTTAAGACTACCGAGCAAAACCTAATATTCATATAATTTGATTTTATTTTACGAATATTCTCTTGGATTCTTCAATTCTACACTTAGTCAGTCGATGATGTCATCTTATCATTTCATAACCACTTTAGAATTTATTTATAATTTTAGAATATTGAAGAAAGCTCAGATTCATATTTTTTAATTTTTTTCAAAAAAGCATTTTTAAAAAAATAAATTTAATAAAAAAATAATAAATTCATAAAATATTAAAATATATTTATTTTATTGGAATATATTAAATAATTAATATATATTATGTAACCATACATACATACTTTATTCCATATTCATTAATTTAATTAAAAATATCATTCTATGGGCTCAGGTAGTTTAAAATTTAGTTTTTCTGGGTCAGTAAAATCCTCAAGATCTATTAAATCGTTTTCTTATGTGCACTTCTCTGTGCAAGTATGATTTATAAAATACTTAAAGATACCTAGATAACTTTAATTCTAAAGAGTTAGGAGAACTTTTGGATCTAACGAATAAACTAAAGGTTTGAATATTTTACTGTTGTTTGGCGATTAATAATAATTAGCAATCATATAGTAGCCATAAGTTCTCTGATAAGATTGGTGTCCAACAAATTATTTATTTATCCCATCAGAATCATATCCAATCTCTTGAAAGCTAGCAAATTTGTTGTAATTATTTAGGTCTTTTTGGAAAGGTTAACTAGAAAAGAAGAGCTTTTTATTATTGATTTCTACTTCATAAATGCAAAAGTCAACAAACTTCTCTTTTTCATATATTTGCTATGCAATAATTATATCTTTGTTGAGATTTATGTAGTATTCCAAATCATCTTTTTAGCTCCTTTTTACCTTAATAGGAATTTTTCCTACTCTTTCCTCTCTATCTTCCTTCAATTTAAAAACGTAATTAGTATTTCCTTTTGCAAATGGAATACCTTCTATGCTAAGATTAACTTCTTTCTTAGTTTTGCAAATATGCAGAGGCTTATCCCATCTTACTATATTTTGATAATCACTGTCCTTTTAGATACTAAAATCGTATCTATTTGCCTAAACACAAGTAGAAGAAGAAGCTTTATCATCATTTAAAATCAAACTCTCCAATTTATCTTTTATTCCTTGAAGACTAAATAAGCTACTTGATTTTTAATTTTTTACTTAATATTCATTAATTTCTGTTTCTTCATCTCTTGCCCCATCTTAATCTCTGAAAGATTTGTTTATAGCCATAATTTCATCATACTTTATTTTGAAATCAAAATTACTTTTATTGAATTAGATATTATTCAGCATGTTATAAACTACTTTGTAGTATAATTTACTAGTGTCAATTTATTAAACTCCTTCTTCTTCTTGATTTTTAATTAGAGTTTCAAGAGCAGTTTTTACTATGAATTTTCCAAATTCTTTAACAGAATTTCCTAGCTCTCCTTATTATATTTCAACTCCAGCGTACTTTTAATATTCTTAAGAAAGCTTTTTCATCATTTTGTCAGTAGATGAGTTTATACGAGCAGAGTAAAGCTTTATTTTCTTCTATGCAAATATTTACATAAAATGCTCTAAATCTTCTCCACTAGGATCTCCATTGGGATAATTATCTCCACTTCCACAATCATTATAATCTTTACCATGAGCAGGAGCATCTGCAATAAAAACTGCATATCTAGCACCACTAGCCCAGTCTTATTCTAAAGAACTCTTAAATCCACCAAAAACGTCTTCAGGCTCATCTCCACCTCCAGCAGCGCTTACGCCAGAGACAAATTTTTTAAACTAACGCCAATTAGTAGAAAAAGGGAAAATAGAAAACCTAATTTTAGCATCTTATATATCTCTGTATCCACAAAAACACAGACGAATACAACTTGTTTTGAATTATTGCTTAATTTACTTAACGATAGCAAATATTTCATTCTTTACAGCTGTAATCCAGCTTCCCATAGAACCTGTACAGTCAACAATAAACATCAAGTCTAGCTCTGACTTTGGAAGCATAGAATACATGTATGAATTATAAGTCAACACATCATTAGCTAAATTTTTTAAAGTAGTTTAATAAATTTGGTTAGCCAATTTCTTTTCTTCAATAGCAGTTTTCATTTTTACCTTAAACTTTAAACTTTGAAATAGTTTTAAAACGATTTGTGTAATGTGTATTAATTGTATTTTTATTATAATTTTTATTTATATTTATGTTTATTAAACTAAAAAATCTTTGGATATTAAATGTTTAATTAATTAAAGTGTCTATAATTGGTACTAATATTAATTAAAAATCTATAAATTATCTAGATACTTTATATTTATTGATTTCAACAAAATATACCTTCTTAAATTCAGTAAGAAAAAATAAAAATATCTATCAAATTAATAACCTTATTAAAAAATTTTTTATATAGCTGAAAATAAATAAACAGGTAAATTAATAAAGTCTATTGTTTTATTTATATATTAAATTATCTTAAATTTAAATGATAGAATCTTTAATTTTGAATTTTAGTTTAAAAATTATAATTTTTTTAAAAAACTAAGATTTTATTTATTTTTTAAATTAAAAGTTTAAGAACCTTAAATTAATATCTTTATCATATCCTAAGATATTATGTAAGTATTAACCCTTTATTTGTCTAAGAAAACTTTTACCATTTGGTTTATAAAGAAATATTAGTGAATATCATTTTATAAATATTTTAAATTTTAATTTTTAAAATGTAAATACAAAAAATAAATGAAAATATTCAAATTAAATAAAAAATAATTGAGAAAATATGATGATTGGTATTTATGTTTTAATCAGTAGGCCTAATGGCATTAAATAAGTTAATTAAGTGCATTAAATAAAAGAAACATGAAAATACATAATTTAAAATAAAAAACATAGTTTGATTTGAAATTATTTATGTTATATTTAGTTAGTTTCATATTTTGATTTTTGTAAATATAATTCAATAAATCAATATTTTTACATAAATTAAATTTGTAAGAATACGATTTAAAGTTATTGAAGTTATAATCATATGCTTATCAATTTATTTATTAATTAATACAAATTTAAGTTTTTTATTAATCATTTAATTAAAAAAATAAATCAAGCTAATAAAATAGTGATTGTTTTGTATTAATGAAAGTTAGTTTTATATAATTTTGAAAATGTAATAATTAAATTAATTTCTTAATATTTTATTTATTAACTTACTTTTAGACATAATTAATTAGTCTTAGATTTTTTCAAATATTTCAAAATTAAAAATTAAATTAAATTAAAATTCCATTTATATTATTGTAAGAATAGAAAGAAAAAGAGAAAATAATTAATATCTTTTTATTATATTTATTCAAAGACACATTTATTAATTAATAAATTAAAAAAGAATAGATTAAGAAATCTTACTCCTCCTAAATTATTTTAATTCTTTCATAATTTTATTTCCAACCTTACTCACATAGGTTCAGGAGGAGGAGTTGGTGGTGATGGAGGTGTTGGTGGAGTTGAAGGCGTGTTTGGAGCCTACTCTTAAGGTGGTTATGGAGCATGTTAATTGCTAGGATTAATTATTTCTTTTAATAACTAAAGCCTTTTTTCTTCTTACTATCTAGTTTTGTCATCTAAAATTTATGTTGGTTATGCTATGGCTGATTTTACCTACTAATCTGATGGATTTATTATTGGTTAAACTCCTTAAATGACACCAACCTAATTGGGATATTGTTAAATAATTGGTATTTATTATGGTATGCCTAAGCTTGAGTTTTGAGCTTGTTAAATAATTTATCCAGGTTATTAAATCATATTTTAGTTAACAACAGCCATATGAGGATGATGATGAATAATTTATTATGGAGGTTAGGCAAATACCACAGCTTAAGGGCCAGGCTATCCGTAAACTAATGCCTAAGGTTGTTTTGCTTACATCATTTAATGTGGTGGTATTTATTAAACTATTTATTAATTTTACATTTAGATTTACCCTCCTTACATCCTATAACCATGAGCTTGACCATACATAGGTTATTATCCCATTACAATTTATGGTTATTAAACCATATTAGGCTATACTTGTTGAACTATTGCTGGTATTACTTACCCAGTTTATGGGTTTTATATCATTCCATATGGTACAGGCTAAGGTTAAATTATAGCTGACCCTTAAGGATTTGGAATTTATTATACCATTCCCTAAAAAATTTACTATTACATAGGCATTTATCCTGCTTAACCTGGCATAAATTAGTTAACCTAAACTTATTGAGGTAAAACTTAAGAACCTGGGTATGCTTATTGAGTTTATTAAGCTTAGCCTTATACTTATCCTGGTATTAATGGTTACATAATTTGGTTTTGTTGTTAAACAGGTTGAATTTAACCCATAACCATTATAGGAGGTTAATTAGGTTGTTAAGGAAATTGCTAAGGAATTATTTGATTTCTATTAGGTATTTAATTTTAAATTTATTGAGGTTGTAATAGAATAGCTGGAATTTATTACATCTACTGTTAATTAGCGTTTTAAGGCAAAGCGGTAGGAGTTACTTAAGATCCTATTTAAATCTATTAAGCTTACTAAGAAATAGGCTAAATTGCAGTAGGGTTTTAAATAACTTACTATTATTGGGATTACTAAGTATTAGGGTATTATGGAGGTTGGTTTGAGGTTTGCTAGCTCTAAGAATTCGGTAATTAGATAGGATTAGGTGGAATACTGCTACTATTTGTTAATATTTAATTTACTTAAATCTATTAAGATTAACCCTACTATTGTGAGGAATTTTAAAATTTTGAATTTGATTGTGTTTCGGTTTTTGAAATTTTTTTTATTTGCTCAAATTATTGAATATTTTATTTTCCACTATTCTTATGGGATTTATCATCTTATTAACTTTTGCTATCAGTTTAGCGTTTTTACCCTTATTTCTAACTATTCGCATCTTTGTCTCTGTCCATGCGATTGCTTTTAGAAGAAGATTAATTCGACCCATAGATGTTCATAGCTCTGCTTGAATGCATCGTACTAGTTATACCAATGTCATTTTGTGCTTCTTCCTCTCTATTTTAACATGAATGGCTGTCGTTTGTAGATTGTAGCATGCTTGAAGAAGATTGTTTGCTTTGTTGCATATCTTCTTAATATTACATACCTATTATACCACTACTATTCTTTAGTATATCGTTTAATTTAACATTCGACATTCCTTTTGATTTTTGTTAATTTTAATTTTATTTTTCTTCATTATAATTGCTATTATTATTGTTGTTACTTTTTCTATTATCTTAACCTGTCCTCATATTATTCATTTAATAAGCATTGCTGTTCATTTGGCTGCTTTGACGCAGTATACTTAAAGGGTCATTATCTTGTTACTTATTTCCAGAATTTACATTTTAGCTATTTTACTAGCTACTTATGGTATTATTATTATTATTGTTGCTGTTACCATTATTACTATGAAAACGGCTGCTACCTTGATGATTGTTGTTATTATTACTAGCATTGCTTGTGAGATTGGCATTTTAATTTGAGTTATTATTATTACTATTATTGTTATTGCTTCCATTATTGTTACTATTTAAATATTAAGAATTAAAATTATTGTTGATATTATTATTATTATTACTATTTTAGTTATTATTATTTTTATTTTATTTATTAGATTTGTTAGTATTTTCTTAATAAAGAAATCTGTATTCTTAAAAGCTTTCTTCGTCACTGAGATCATCTGAGCTAATAAATGAATTAGGTAGCTTAATCTTCTAAAACCTTAATAAGCTATTTTTATAGGTTATTTCTTCTTACTTGATTTAAGCTATTATACAATTTTATTTTTAATAAAAATAAATTATGAATCTATAAATATGTTACGAGGTAATATCTAGTCCTCAAACCATTCTTTTTTCATTCTGCACTTAAAAAGTTTACATCTTTTCAAAACATTTGATTGAACAAAAAATATTTTATTTTTATCATCTTTTGCTTACTGATTTCTCTAAAAACTGCATTTAGGGTGGATATTGCACTATTTTAGTTTTAATAATTGTTAAATTCTATTAGAATAAAATTAATATTGGATACGAATTAAGTTATATGAATGATATTGAATACTGAATTAGTTATGTTTAAATTAAAAAAATATTCATTCTAAAAAATTACTTTCACTTTGTATTTCGGATTCAACCAGTTTTATTTATGAAACACAGTGCAAGCATATTCACAATCCTCTACAGTTTCGAATTAAGCTATTGTACAATTTTAATTTTTTATGTAGGTTGGCTCCTCTACACACTTTAATTTTAAATGTGGATGCTTGTTAAGAATAAACTAAGAGATTTACTAAGCAGTAAATTTAGGTATATTACGGAAAATGCAAGCATAATAACTTTTTAAATACTCAGGATTAGCTCTTTTATCAAGAGCCCACTTAAATTTAAGAGATTTAGGAAGTAGATTACGATTATTTTTAGTAGGTAAATCAAGTAAGTGTTTACTTACGATTATTGAAGTGCTCTTTCTATAAAAATCAAAAATGAGAACTTTAACATTTTCAACATAAATGATACTAAAATTTCTAACTTTTTTCTTATTTTTAACAGCAGAAGTATCTAGTTTGGACAAAGATATTACAATTTTATATATTTCGTGTTCATCACACTCATTTTAGGGATCCTCTATATAAATTTTAGGAATATCTGGATAAAGCTCAGCCTCTTTTAATGAAGAGACAATATCATACGAATGAAAGTCGAAGAAATTTAAGTATATATCCTCCAAAGAAGCTACATCCTTACTGCCTTTATAATTGTTCCCATTATCGTGATTTAGTTTTTTTCTTAAAATACTCTTTTATTTTTCGGAATATTTTTTAGATTTTTTTCTATTAGGAGAATCTCTATGTTTTTTCTTATGTTTGCCTTTTTAAATCCCTTTTTTCTTTGAATCACTAGCTTTTTATATCTTCTTTTTCCTTTCTCTGCTACTGCTACTGCTATTTTATCTATCTTTCTGCATATTTTTCTTTTCAAGAGCCATTTTACTCTACAATTAATACAACAAATTCCCTTATTCTGGATATTCCTATTCAAGCAAGTGTTCTTCTTTTTCATCTTTCATATTTTAGCTTTTATTTTTCCTCTCCATATTATCTCTGTTTTAAAACTCACTAGAATCTTCCTCATCTGAATGATGTCTATTTATTTTTTTACTTTATTTATCACTCCTTTGATTTTCATCCTCCATCTAATCATTTTTTTTATGTTTCTTACGATTATTACTACTTTTACTACTTTCTCTTTCGCTATATGAATCATCATCACTGTTATCTTCACTATCATCACTTTCATTATCTTCATCATCACTGCTATCATATGATTTATCACTACTATTGCTAAATTCATTTTCATCATCACTCCTTCTATTATCCTAGTAGCTATCATCAGAGGAGTTAGTAAAATTATATTTTGGAGATTCCTCTCCTGATGTTGCTTCCTCGTACATCATATAATTTAAATTCTATTAATATTTTGTTTTTGTAGAAAATTTATCAAGAAAGGATACAATTTGATTGGATTATTTATTAGTTTTAGCTTATTCCGCTAAATCGATTTTATTAATTTTATAAAATCTATTTATATTCTATTTTAAAATCTTGGTAATTTCAAAAGTATTTTAATTTTCCTATTCTGCAAACATTTTGTATTGCTAATATTGTTGTTCGAAATTGCTTTATTGCTACTATTAACTATTCTATTTTTCACTTTAAGTTGAGTTCACTTAACAAAGGTTTCCTTCCGTCTAAGAAGGATGCCTTTGCCTTTAAGTTGAGCTTTTAGAGTTCGTTTATTATGTTGTATTCATTGTTCTCAATTTAATTATTATTAAGATAAAAAATAAATGATATAAAAAATCTATGCACTATTAATTAAATTTCTAAGAAATTAATTAATTAATTATCAACTTAATACATTTATTTATAAATATAAATAATTGCTTGTTTCGCTTATCAATTTAGATTTCATCCTTATCTATTTATTGATTTTTCTTGATAAATATATAGATAGATAAATAAATAAATTCATAAATTAAATTTTAAAAATCACACATATTTATTGAATATTAGAAATCATATTTTTTATATGTCTACTTACGCTGAAGATACATAAATACATTTGCAACAAGGAAAAATAATTTATAACAGAATAAGTTCTAATTTAGATCTTCTATTCAATATTTTAAAAATTTAACCACCCTAATAAAATTGTAGTATCTATTTTACATTTTATAACTTTTATTTTAATTTCAAAAATAGGACCAATTTTTTTTGTAAAAATTTGTAAAAACTTAAAAAATTTTATGCATTTTTTATTTATCATAAATAATCAAATTTAGATTTAAAAAATTAGTTTTTATGTACTTGATAAATAGTTTTTAAATAATTAAAGTTTTTAAATAATTGAAATAAATATAATTATATAAAATTGTTTCATTTTTAAAATTTTAATATAGTTATGTTTATAGATAGTTCATTCTAATTAATAATTATGTTTTTCAAATTAGATAAAATGTAATAATCATAATTATTTTTAAACATTTAAAGAACAAATGCTTTTGCTTTTTATTTTTTTATTTTTAATTTATTTTAGTTTTATTAATAGGACTAGAAAGCAAAAAAAAAAAATAGTACTTATCAAATTTGACCAAATCAAGATTATTTTAAAAATTGTAAAATTGTAATTATTTTTCATTTTTTTGTATTAAATTATAATAAATCATCGATAAAAAAATTTGCAATTTCATAAATTATAATTAGATTTAAATTAATAAAATTTAAAATAAATATCTTGTTTATTATTTTAATATTCTTTTTCACCTTATTGTTTAGTTAGAATTTTAATATAAAATGACTGAGGTAAATTTTATAAAAATCTAAATTAGATTTATTTTTTCTCATTTAAATAAATTAAAACTAAAATATTTTACTGAATTATTAAAATAAATTTCAATTAGATTATTGAAATAATTTTGAATAGTATTAATTATTTAGAATAATAAATAGCTAAAATTTAACAAGAGATATAAAAATAAGATGATAGTATCATAAGTATTTGTATTTGTATAATAACTGGAGTAATATTAATAGTTTTTTTAATAATAAAAGCTAAAAAGTTTTAATTGAAAATTTAATTTAAATCAAAAAAGATATGATTGTTAAAAGTTTAATTTATAGAAGTTTCTAATAGGTTAGTAGACTTTCAATTACTAACTCTTATTTCATAGCAAAAGTCAATAGCAATAAGCCTAAGTTAGAGAAATTTAGCTAGAAATTAGAATCTATTTCTGGAAAAAAAGAAGATCCTAACATTTAAGCTACCAAGCCTTCAAAAAAACAACAAAATACTCAATAATCTTTTAGAAGTAGAGTTAATAATAATATAAGATAAAAATAGAGAATTGAAGAAAACCCATTCAAAAGTGTTTAAGATTAAGATCTTGATTAATTCAAATAAGAGGACTTAGAATAATTTGAGTAATTTTCAGAATGTATTGATCAAAAAAAGTATGAGTAAGCAGCTATGATCTTATAGGATATTTTAGATAATTTAGAAGAATCTAAAGCACATTCAGATGCACTATAAATGCTAGAATTGTAGAATAGTTTATATTTATATAGTAGAAAATACTTAGATGCCTATTTAGTTAGGTCAAATATATCTAAATATATGGAATATGCCCCTACTAACTATTAAAAAGAGGAATTGTAAAATCAGGTCATTAAATATTTTTATCAGCTAATCTTTACACATTAGCTGCAAGCTGAAATGGATTTAGATATTTTATATAAAAATCACTATAGATAGTTGCCTGAAGAGAAAAAGGCTTTATTTGATCTTGCTATAGCTGTAAAAATTACAGAAATACTTATCTGTATAACTTAAAATTACTTTTATTTATCAAATAGGTAGGTCACTTTATTTCACCTGATAAAGAAGCATAAGAAAAAGGAGTTAGTTTCATATTAAATTGCATCAAGAATACTTAAAATAAGCAAATATTATGTAAAGCTTAGAATATAATTTCTATATTAACACCTTTTTAAAATTATTATCTTAGCATATGCATTTTATAATTTGGGAGTGTATTAATTTTAATTACTTGAAGACCCTAAAAAATTTATGGAAGAAGTCATATAAAATGAATAAACTTAAGACGAAATGAAAAAAAGAATTTAGAATGTTATGAATAAAATAAATTAGAAGGAAAAAATATTGATTAGCGATTTATCGAATTCTCTTTAAAATATATTAACAGCAATAAACTTAAATAATTTAAACGTTTCTGTTTACTCTATTTAAGATATTTTAAATAATAAACATAATCTGATACTTTGTGATAAATTTTCCACCAAAGCATTATTATTTTTAGCTTAAAACTATAACTTATTTAATATTTAAATTGCCAAATCAGTAATTTTTTTGATTGTTTGACAAAAACTAATTTTAAGTATATTTTAAACCAAATAGTTAAGACTTTAATTAATGCATTTTGCTTATTAAATTGCTACTCAAAGAAAGCAGCACTAACAAAAAGCTAATTTTTTATATGCATCTCTATTTGCAGATATATAAAAAGTAATCAAAATTATTTTTATTTCAAAATTAAGATTTTTTTAAATAAAGCCTGAAGAAGCTAAAAAGTTGCTTATGTAAAATCTACAAGATACATCTGATCCAGTAATTTTTACATTATAAACAAAAAATAAAACTCAATTCATTTTAATATACCATAGAATCAAGATCCAATAAGATATGAGACGCTTTAATTACTAAGTTTAATTGATTTTGAAAACAAATACAGTAATTTAATATTTTTTTAATAAAATATTTAGAATTTTATTTTTATTTTAATTATTAAATTTTTTCTATTTTAGAATTTAAGAAAATGGCAAAGGAAGTAATTGTAAAAGATAATTTATAATATTGGTGTCTTAAATTACAAGATTTTGAATTGTAACCTCTCCATATAATTCCTGAGAGCGAATTAAAATTAGTTTCTGAAGAAGAGCTTAGTGAATATAAGGATTATTTAGAAGAAGGGGATGGTGAATCAGATCAGTATTATACATCTGAAGGTGAAGAAAGCGAAACAGATGTAGAAGTGGAATATATTAAAAAGTGGGAAAAATAGCTTGAATAAGCAGGTTTAGATATAAATAAATTAAAAAGTAATTACTTAAAGTGAATCTGTGAAATATTTTTTATTTATGTTTCTCAATTTTCTTAAATTAAATAAAAACTATATTCTAGAATAAAAAAAATTAATTAATTTTAAATCTCTTGATTACAAGTGTTTTAAAAACTAAAATATTAAATTTATTGATAAGATATTTATGCTTGTATGCGCGTATGCATTACGTGTATTTTGATGAATAAATAGAATTTAATATTATATCAATACAATACGTATTACCTTAATGTGCAATTTAATAAATGATTGTAAATATGAACTAATTTATTTGTTTATTAATTGATGTATTTATAATTGTGATTATTTATTTAATTTTGTTTCTTTTAATTTTTTAGAATCAGATTATAATATACACTAAATAATATTAAAATAGATAGATAGATACTTTTATGTCAATTTTCTGTTTTAGTTAATTTTGAAAAATTTCTCTAGATAAAAAAGCTTTCTTTGCTTAACTCATTCAATTGATTGCCCAGTTTCTCAAAAGTATGTGTTTATGTGTAATTGTCATTACAATTATACTAAAAAACGAATTTAGAAAATTTTAGCTATTATTTTTTGATATCAGTATACATACAAATGTAAATACTTTTTAATTTTTTTGATGAAAGCATATATTCTTTAATTACTCTACATATATTTAATTTTAAAAATCATATATATTTCTTTCTGATAAGACTATCCATATGTCTAATTCAATGTTTTTCAATTATTTAATGTGTCATTTAATGCCTTTATTACATACATATCAAAAATATATAAAGCAACAAATAAAAAAAAGAACTAATTCAGTATTAAAATTAAAAGAAAAAAAATTATTTATTTAAAATAAAGGTGATATCATCTCTATAATTAATTTTATTAGTAGCAATAGATCTAAAGCAAATTTTTCTAATAGCAAAAAGGTTAAGAGAATGAGCATAAAAGAGCTTATTAACTTAAAAAATGAGTTCTTGAATAAATTTTTAAAAGATTGCGTTGAGCAGGATGTTATAAAGCAGATTAGAAAGGTTCTTAAAGAGTTTAAAGAATAAATATATGGAGGAGATAATTTGTAGAAATTATTGTCAGCAAATGTCCAAAGCTCAATATGTACAACTTAAAGTACAGGGTAGAGTATGAATAGTACTATAAGTACCTCTAAAGGATACAGTAAAGCAAGCACAAATTATTAATAGGGAGCGAATATTTAAAATATTTAGTCAGAAGTAGATGCTGCAAACATATAATACAATACCTAATAAAGATTTCTATTGGTGGCGGCATGCGAAGAAATATAGAAGTTGCTCAAATATATTGTATAGCCTTACATAGTAATAAAATCATGCATAATGAATTTTGAAAGCAGCTAAAAAAGTGATCAAACTGAATTGGTGAACATTATTAAACAAGAATTTGCAAGCATTGAAAAACGTATAGTCCATGTTGTCAAGAATTATTCTGAAGTTCTCCCTATTAATATTTTAGATACTTTGGAAGATCTTTAAAAATATTATATTTAGCAAAAGGATGAATACATAGAAAAGAAGCTAGAAGACTTGGAGAAGCTTAAGCAAACTAGATATTTTCAAATTTAAGCTCCTTACATAGGATATCACTTAGTAGATGAAACTAGAGTTTCGTAATTATTTGAAAAAGCATCTATCTAAATTGAAAATTTAAAGATTTAGAGAGTCGGAACAGAATTTGTTCATCACTTCCAAAAATACTTGACAACCTATGTTTTTAATAAACTCCTTATGGATACAGATATCCTTTCAGGTGTTGTAGTCTGCATCAAGGATAATAAAAAGAAAAAAACTTATTTTTTCATTTAGTATTGTGATTTAAAAGTAGAAGAAATTGAATCAACTTCCTCTGTCGACTAGTAAATAGTAGTCACACTAAACAAATATGGATAAAAGTCTCCTGATTAGCCTGTCCCTACTAAGTAATTTATTTGATATAATATGGCTTTAAATATTTTATTTAAATACTCTCAATATAAGTACTTAAAAAGATAGAATTAGGTTAATTTTACAACAAAAAATAGAATTTTTGTAAATAAAATGATAAATTTGTAGAATAAGTTTTATTGCAGTGGCAATATTTGTTTCAAAAATAACAATTATAATTTTTTCTAGCTTTAGCTGGGACTAATAGAATTTTTCTTCTCTATTTAGCAATTTTATTTTTAGTTTACTTATTTATTTTTAATTTTGTAATAGAAATGTAGATATGAATAGCTTTTTTAAGCAGATTGCTGCTTCATTTTTAAGCTTAAGCTTTGAAAGTTTCATTCCTAACTACGGAATCTGCTCAGAAACTGGTAAAATTTATAGGCATTAACTAAACACTACTAATGAAGATCGTACAGCTCATGCTGGCATTAAGAATCCACTGTACTTTTTTAAGGATTTTTTCATGATGGAAAAGAAATCCAGCAAAGAGTTCTAACAATGTTTAAATTTAAAGTAGTGTAATATGGCTAACTTCTTAGAGGCTCTGACTTTACTGCATGAATTCTAAAAAACTGACTTTAAATTTGAATTTAAGAAGGGAAAAAAACTTTAGAGTTTGTATTTGAGCAAAGATCACATTAACTCTCTTTAGTCTATAGTTTAGGAATTTAGCAGAACTCTTGTCTGGCTTGAAGAAAGCGTGTTCCCAGTTAACGGCAAAGTCTGTTTATTACAAATAATGAATTAAATTTAACCTCTTGTAATAGAATTCTCAAATCGTATAATGAGTAAATCTATGCAAGAGCATTTAGGTTTTATGAAGAAAATATCAATAGAAGACTTTTTAATAAAAATATCTACTAAAAAGGCTTTAAAAAAGTATATTCAGTAAAATAAATCATTTGAAGATAATCGCTTCTTGAAAGAAGAATAAGTTACAGCAGGAGAATCAATTAGATCTGCCAGTTAAAGTGGTTAGATGCAAACTCCATAAGCTAGCAGTGGTGGAAATACAGGGTAATAAAGTTAAACTGGATAATAATAAAATTTAAATTCAGCAGGCACAAATCTACCAGCTTAAGGTAATTCAAGCAATGCAAGCACATTCTCAAATTATTCTAATTCTTCAACTTAATCTTAAAGCCATAGCTTAAATTAGTAACAAATTAATTAATCAGGAATATAAATAACATAGTATTTAATGGAATTAAATTTGTTAAATTTTCATAGAAAAGAGAGAAAAGTTATCCTTAAATATGCAGCTGAAAATCTATTATATCTGCCTATGATTTTAAGTCTTGAATACACTCAAGATTTAATCAAAAAATTTAACAAATCTTGGAGAAGTACATAACTTTGGTCTGATAATTATTAGTTTGTTTTTGATGAAATTGAGGATGATTCAGTTTTATTTTAAATTTAAAGTAAAATCTAATCTTAAAATAAAAGCATTTCCAATGTGGTGATACCACCAAATATTAATTAAAATTACAATAACTTATTTGCAACTCCAATAAAAAGAAAGTAATCTAATAAATTATCTTCAAATTACAATGATATTCCCTCTAACGAAAATATTTGTAGTAGCAGTCATCGCTTAAATGAATAAGAAAAGAACTCAGAAAGCTATGATAAATCATAAAGGGATGGCTCCAAACAACCATAGTAGTAAAAATAAATTTTTGAGAGTATTTTTGTTGAGCTACTTGGATTAGTATTTAATATGAATATAATGAGTATTTTAACAAGCTAAACATTCGCAAATTTGAAATACTTTGATGAATACAATTCTGATCATATTTATTTGATTAAAGCTTATTTCAAATTTCCATAGGTTAGAGGAGATAAAGGATATAAATTATCTGAGACTCTTTTAGAAAGATCAATTAAATTAAAAAAATATAAATTAGCTTGTTTACTCCTCAATTAAGGAGAAGGAGTTAATATTACTAAGGATATAATCTTTAACTATTTAAGCGAAGAAAAATTGTAGCCTCATTAATATAAAAAGGTGTTACAAAATAATATAAGGTAGATAAGCAGTGGAAATAAATGCGACTCTCCTATTGCTTAAAAATGTGAAGAGGATGCATACATTCTTTCTAAAGAAAGTAAAGAATACGATGAAGAAATTATATTAAAAATGGTTTAGGATAGAGAAGAATTTGATTAATAGCTTCAATAATTAGTTATTAAGCATCATGCATAGTGGTTAAATGAGTTTAATTGGGAAAAAATGTGGAGATAAGAATTTAATCCAGAAAACCACAAAAAGTTAAACGAGTAAAATATTGATGACAATGCTATCATTGTTTATACAAATGAATATGGAGTGAGATGTCTTCCTATGGAAATATGGACACAAATATTTGATTTTAAGAGAATTGATTCTAAAAAATCATCTTCAGAAAATAAAATTGAATTATCAAATAATAAAATTGATGAAGAGCAAGAATCAAGTGATGAAAATGCAGCAACAGCTAAATAAAAAGAAGGTAAAAGTGATACAATTGAAAAAAAATCTTCTCTTACAATAAATGATTAAAATCTTGAAATGCAATCCAACTTTTCAAAAGAAGTATTAAGAGGAGACTCTAATAAAGAATCTCCAAGAAGTTAATCTTAAGGTTCTTAAACTAACATCAGTGAAGAGGGTAGATAATCAAAGAAGTAATCTCCTAAATAAGAAAATGAAATAGCAATTCAAGAGATAAAAATTTAGCAATAGTAATCAGAGGATGAGTAAAAAAATAATGGATCACTTAATTAATCAAATGAAGACTTAGAAGGAAAAAAGAAGAAAAAATCTGAGGATTAAGACTAAGATTAAAACTTAAATTAAATTTAAGAAGATTAACAAGAAAATGAAAATAAAACTGAAATTCATGAAGAAAATGAAGAAAAAACAATTTCCAGAAAAGAAAGCCAAAATTAACCTTCCAGAAAATCCTCAAAGAGCTCAAAAATTGATAGCTAGTCTCACTCAGAATAAAAATCATGTAAAGACGTAGAAGAAAATAATGATAGCTAAAAATTAAATGAAGATTAGAATAATTAAGGAGGCTAAATCTAATCAGAAAATTAAGAAAGTTTATCATAGAAAAATGAATTATCTCCGAAAAATGAAATTGAAGATAATGAAAATAAACATGTGTATAAAAAATCTTTGAATTTAAATTTAGATGAAACAGAAGATGTGGGAAATGAAACTGTTAGACTATCTCCTTTGAATTCCTAGTTTAATATTTTAGAGAGTTTACAGGAAGGGATAAAATTGAATGGAATATTAGAGATGAAGAAATTCTCTTATTAAGATGAAAAAAATTATTTCATATCAAATTACTTACATTTATTGGAGAATTCTTCGGTTCAATTAAAGTATAGAAAGCTTGTCATTGTTCATTGCTAAAACTTAGATTTTTTGGTGGAAGAATGTCCCTAATATCCTGGTTTGGCTTACGCAGAAGATAGATTTATTAACTTTTTTAGTAGCCATATAAAGCCTAAAAGAATGTTAGTCAGAATAAATGATGTTGATTACACATTTACTTAAGTACTCCACAATTGTATTTCACTTTAAAATGCTATAAATCAAGGACTGTGTTACAATTTGGATAAATAAAGTATAGGAGAAAGTATCCTCTTGAATATTTTAATTGGTAAGTAGCATAATGGATTGGAAGATGAAATTCTTGAACCTAATCCAAATAACCCAAAAGAATATAGACTTGTCAATATTTCAGTATCCTAGCCGTTTTCTATGCAAATATTAAGATTTAATTCAGTAAACTATGCCATTAATAATAGAAATGTTATCTTTTGTTTAGATCAAATGAATGAAATTGTTGACTCCGCGCTTATAATGAAATATAGATAGATAAATCCTGATAAATTATTAGATGATTGGTTAAATGATTTGTATTTTTTCTAATAAAAAATAACCTAACAAAGAATAATTGTAAATAACCCTAGATTCATTATAAAATCCTAACAAAATTAAGAAGAGCTTAATGCTTAATAAAATATTTAAATGAATTAAGCCATTCTTTTCCAAAAGGGTATGATTAAAGAGCTTTACAATAGATTATCTAGATTTACTAAATATCTCAAGAAAATTCATTACGACGACCATTCTAGCTTACCTAAGTATCAAGATATATTTGAAGCAGTAAGTCCACATTTAGCTGATATGTATAAAAGGGTTAATGCCTAAAAAGATGTTTTATTACCGAATAGGTTTGAGTAGATCCTTTAAAATTTAGATAAAGTAAAGTCATTCGTAACTTGCGATATCCCTTCATTTTACTCTCATTTCACTTTGGAAAAAATCTATAACTATGAGTCTTTGGAAGAAGTCATCTCAACTTTCAAAAGTATAGGACCATTATCTTCCAAAGAGATAGTCAAACAATTATCTAAGCTTCAACGAAAGGATAATTTATAATGGGATGATATATTTTAAAATGTGAGTAAAAACTCTCAGATAAGGTATTAATTAATTAAATTTATTTATTTATTTTTAACTTCAATATTTTTATTTGTTGATATTTTATTTTAATAAATTTAATAAAGAACAATTATGATGAATGGGTATCTCGAAAATGATTGGAATGATAGCAGTATGGTTGAAAAGTTTATAAATTAGCTAACCGCCTTTTAGCAAAAACCTGTTGCAGAATTTAAGCATCTATTGTCAGATTTAATCTTTTATTCAAGTGACATCGTTTCTTGGAAGATGATAAGAAATTTAGGCCATGACCGTATTACTACTCTATCTCTCAAGGGGTGCACGAAAATAACTGATACTGATGTTGTAAAAATTTCAGAGAGCATGGTTAACTTGGTTTATTTAGATTTATCAAAAAATCAAAATATTATTAAGTTTAACCATTAAATAACTTCTAAGTATAATTAGAGTAAGCCTCTCTAATTCCCTTAATTAAAAACTCTTATCCTTGAGGAATGTGTCAATTTATGCATTTGTGATATTGAAGGTTAACACATTCAAAATATCAATTTGAATACTTGCATATAACTACAAAATTTAATGACTGCTACACCAAGCTTAAAAAGAATATGTCTTAAAACTTGTCCCTCTTTACTTGAAGAACATGCAATTCTTTATATAATTGAAGGCACAAATTGTATGATAGATGAATAAACAAGTGGTGGAGCTTTCAGATAAACTTTATTGGCTATGACTAGAAGCACGCATTCTAAATTAAGCACTTATAAAATTTATGTTTTGAGTATTTTTGGCCGCCTTTTTAATAAGGTATTTCATTAATTTTTAATCTTTCTTTGAATTTTATTTCTAAAAATATAAATTAAAAATAAAGATTAAAATTTTACAAGACTTGTATCCTTTAGTCTTTGCACTTAATAGAAGGGGTTTAAATAAAGCGGCTTAAAATAAAGAGTCAAGTAGCTTCTTTGGATTTTCTAAAAAAACTACAACAACTTCTGATTCTTTAATTAAAAACTGCAGAATGAGTGCAATTAATCTACTTCTTAAGAACTCAAATATTCGTGAGCTTAAATTTATGAATATTTGCGAGGAATTTAAAGACCAGAATGTTTCCTAGATTCTGGAAATACTATGTGAAAAATTTTAAGAATCAGCTCAATCTACAAATAAAAACGAGTTAGTTACTGATATAGATACAATTGACCTTTCAGATATTAAGCTATCAGAAAAAAATATGAAACATTTAGGAGAAATAATATCGCTTATTAAAACTACTTCTTCCCAAGGTTTGTCTATATTTATCTAAAACAGTTAAGAGACTTAGAGTAAAGGAATGAAATATTTCTGTTAGGTAAAAACACTTTATAATTTTATTTTTTATTCATTCTATACTTTGATAAATCAGGGTGCTTTGAAAAACGAAATAAACAAATTGGATATGAGCAAGAATAGATTTGGTGCAGAACAGATGGAAGAAATATGTTTGATGATAGAAGGAGTAAGCAGTGGCTAAAAATTAAACTAGCTATTTTTAAAAAATTGTAGAATAAACAATGATTTGCTAGCAAGATTAAGTTTAGCAATAAAGAAAAATGAAACTCTTAGACTCCTCGATTTAAGTGATAATTTATTCGATCACGAAGGTTTCAAAATATTTATGTAGAGTTTATACGATAATACTAACTTAACTAGCTTAGTGTTAGATGGAAACTCCTTGAGTGGTTAAGGTTTTTCATATATAAAGAAAGGAAGGTTTTTAAAGAAACTTCATTTGGAATAATGTTGGCTTGAAGAGTATGAAATCTAATAAATTTGTGAATTATTAAAGGAATAGCAATAACTTAATTATATTGATTTAAGTTTTAACAAATTTAATATAAAGAGTACTTAGCACTTAGTTTCTAGTATTAAAAAATCGAATTGCCTTAAAGAATTAGTAATCAAAAAGATATTTGATGAAGAAGAAAGTATTCAAAATGCTTCACATATTTCTGAAATCTTAGTTAATAATACATCTTTATAGACATTAGATATTAGTGGTAATTCAATAGGAAATGATGGATTAATTCAATTTGGTAAAGCCTTGTAATAAAATTCTGTTTTAAGAGTATTACTTATTAATGATGATTGCAATTTTGGTCTTAGAGGTATTGCAAATCTTGCTGAGTTAATTTAATATAATAACACTTTATAGGTAACTTTTTCATCATTAAATATAGCACTTAGTTTTATTTATCTTAATACCAAAAAAAGGTGTTAGAAATATAAGGAATAGAGAACAACTAAGAGAGTAAGTTGGAAGGATTCTAAGCTGCTTGGGAAATGGTTAAATAAAAATTGCATAGAAATAACTTGCTGCGTTTGTCTAAATTTTCTTCAAAAAAAATTAACTCTCTTCAAATGCCATACCAAAAAAAAGGAAATATTTCTCCTACACATAAATCTTTAGATCAATCTTCTTTCTTTATGGGTGGAGAAAAGTTAGATTCTACAAGAATTAAAGGAACATCTGATCATTATAGATTAGGTTTGAGTATAGATGGAGGTGGTATGAGAGGTATTATACCTGGTTGTATTATACAATACCTATGTCAAAGTAATTGAAATTATATTAAGAATAAATACTATTGTATATATTAAATAATAAAAAGATACAAAGAGAGAAGTTCATGAGATATTTGATGTGCTTGGAGGTACTTCTATTGGAGGAATTCTTGCATTGGCATTAGTTTGTAAAATATTTAAATTTACTCACTTTTTAGTAAAACTTAATATTAAAAGGTACAATTGATGGTAAAAATCCAGTGGCAAGAGGTAGTGACCTTCCTTCTTTCTTTGAAGACAATGGCACCTAGATATTTAACTCCTCAAAAATGGTTGCCCTTTGGAATAATTTAAGAGATAAAAGCAAATATGACCCTGCTGGAATAGAATCTATTTTGAAAAAATACTTTTAAAATTGTAAACTTTCAGATGTTATTAAAGGAACTAGTGTAATAACAACTGCTATGAAGAGAGAAAATATTCAAGGTAATTTTTATTTATTAATATATAATTTAATTAATCTATTTATTATACATAAATAAATATCTTTTAATTAAGGTAAAAATATGGCTAAGATTTTTAGATCTAAGGAAGCTATGTTTTCAGATGATAAAAACTTTTATGTCAGAGACATAGCTAGAGCAACATCTGCAGCACCTACCTATTTCCCTTCAGCTGAAATCAAAAGTATAAATGGAGTTAAAAAATATTCGTTGATTGATGGAGCTTTGGGGTAGAATAATCCTTCGAAATTAGTTTTAGATGACATCAAAACTGAAGCCTTAAATAGTGGAAACGAGAAAAACTTTTTCCTATTATCTTTAAGTACCGGAACGCCTATAACTACCTAATAAATATCATAAAATGCTGGTATTTTTAATCTCGTACCTATTATTAATAGTTTAGGTGAAGGTGCCCTTGCTTTCTTAGATAGAGATATTGAAAAGAGTGCAGACGGATAGTATTTAAGAATAAATCCTGATATTCCAATAAAAAAACATGAAGCAGAACTTGATAATACTGATCCAAAAATAATAGAAATATATAAGCAATGTGGCTATAATTGTGCAGAAAAGTTTTTAAGTTAAGATTTAAAATATGGTCCATTTAATGACTAGAATCTGCTAGATTGGTTAGCTGAGAATACAGCTAGAAAGAAAGACACTTATATTTGAATTATAAAGAAAAAAACCTATTTCAAATAAATATTTTAAATAATATTTCTTCTAAATTTTAACTTTAAATTTATATCTTTAACAAAAATACATAAAATAAATAACCTAAATATATAGATAGATTCATACAAATATACATTAATTAATAAGTATCAAAATTTAATTATTAATGTTTAAGACAATTACTCAACTCAAATATTTTAAAATTAATTTCATTTAAGCATTCATAATATTTTTTAATTATTTATTCAATTTAAATTCACAAAAAAAAAATAAATTTTTTTTAATTAATTAATAGATTTCTTTACTTTTGCAAAAAATAAAAAATTTGTAATTTTTTTAATTTATTTATTGTTTGATAAGATAGATAATTCAATATAATTTGAAAAATCACATTAAAAAAATTAAACTAAAGATAGATTGGTTAGCTGAGAATACAGCTAGAAAGAAAGAGACCAATATTTGAATTATAAAGAAAAAAACCGATTTCAAATAAATATTTTAAATAATATTTCTTCTAAATTTTAACTTTAAATTTATATCTTTAACAAAAATACATAAATAAATAAAGCAAACAAACAGCCTAAATATATTAATTCTTACAAATATACATTAATTAATAAGTATCAATATTTAATTATTAATGTTTAAGACAATTACTCAACTCAAATATTTTAAAACTAATTTCATTTAAGTACTCATAATATTTTTTAATTATTTATTCAATTTAAATTCGCAAAAAAAAAAAATTAAATTTTAATTAATTAATTCATAGATTTTTACTTTTGCAAAAAATAAAAATTTTGTAATTTTATTTAATTATTTATTGTTTGATAAGATAGATAATTCAATATAATTTGAAAACTCACATTAAAAAAATTGAACTAAAGATAGATGATAGAAAATATTAATAAAACGGAAATAATTATTTTGGTAAATTTAGCTAATTTATTTGCTTATCACTCTAAATTGAAATTGAAACAGATTGGAGTATTTAAGTGAAGCTTAAAGAGAAAAGTTTTATGTATGTTTTAATATTTTAGACTCAACATTAACACTATTTGTCTTAAGTTTACTTAACAGGTGCATCTTAGTTAGTACTTAACTATATTGTTCCTCCTGCAGTAGTGCATTTGCTATTATCTTGATTATAAAATTAAAATATTTCAAAAATAAAAACATATATTTCTTCAAATAATACTACTAGCTGCGCCTTTAATTCCCAAATCCATATCAGTTTGATCAGATTTTTCACTTCCTTATAAAAGTTAAGCTAAATTTTTGAAAACATCATTTATATTATTTCCTTCCTTAGCAGAAACTTCACTGAATATTAAATTTTGTTATTTTGCAAATTGCTATCCATCCACAGTTTAAACAGCTCTAATTAAATATACACATATTGGTTAAATTATTTAATTATTAAATAGAGTTACCTTTAATCAGGTAAATCTAATTTATTTGCCAATAAAACTATCAAAACGCCATCTCCTCTTTCTTCTCTTACGTAATCTAACCATTTGTTTACACTTGCAAATGAAGCTTAGTCTATTGATTAAAAATTAATCTTAAAATTGACCAATATTATAATAGTTCGTTTTATATACTTGTTATATCATAGACAATTATAGCTGCATCAGAATCTCTGATATATGAGGGTATTAAACTTCTAAAACGTTCTTAACCAGCAGTATCCCATAATTATAATCTGATTGTTTTATTATCTAAATGAAGTGTTTTTGCAACGAAGTCGATACCAACTGTAGGCTAAGTTATAAAATAAAAGAATTAATCTTATTCATTTGCTGTTTATAATAATGTATCAATATAATCCTTAAGTAAGTTTGTTTATTAAGAGCTTATGTCAATTAAATATTTAAAAAATGTTTAAATATCAAAATATTGCAGCTTACTTATTGCGTTCCCTAAAATGAGTCGTTTATAAATCTATTGATGATTGAAGTTTTTCCAACAGACTAATCTCCAATAAAAACTAATTTATATTTTTTAACTTATTTTGTTATGCTTTAATCTTGCATTTCTATTTCTATCTGCTTAATATTTTTGATGGACTTATTCCTATTATTTAAGGTTTTAATTTCCTTAGTTTTAGATTTTTTACTTTTAATTAATTTATATATCAACGACCATAAATATTAATATTGTTTTATCAATATTTTTTCCTTTAAATAATTAATCATTCAATCATTTATTGATTCATTCATTCATTCCTTTTATTGTGTTAATAGACCAATACTTTATTCAATCTATACTTTTAAATTCTTATCTATAACTTTTTCAACTCTCTAAAAGCTGATATTAAACAACTACTATTTTAACTCATATATATTATTAATTATTCGTTAAAATAAATAAAAACTTGTTTGTTTTTTGAGATAGTAATATTTGTTTGCTTTTAAAAGTACTCATTCATATTATAAAATGTTTAAAATTTAAAAAAAATAAATTAAATATTTTAATTTAAAAATTTGATAATTATATTATAAATTAAAAATTAATAATCAATATTTTTTATTTTAAGGGTTATCCTTAGTAATACCTTAAAGATAATCAATAAATACTGGAATTAAAAATTTTTTAATAAAGCTTGTTCGAAATAAATATTACAGCTTGCTTTAATTTCAGTAAAATTTTGAATTTACTTTTAGAAAGATGACTTAATATTTTTTTGGTGTAAAATCTATCTATTAAAAGACTATTCAATTAATTAGTTTGATATTCTCGTTTTAAATTATTTTATTGCTATTTTTCAAAATTCAATTTTATTTATTTTTATATTTTTTTGGGATAGATTTTTTAGTTTAATTGATAATTTCAATAAAATGATATTTTTAATTTTTAATAAATTAATGGATGATTTGTTTTATTTTTAATCAAATACTAAATAATCATTATTTGAAATAATTACAAAAAGAATTACAATAATTCATACAATAAAAGCTCTGATTATTATTTTTTTAATAAAATTTAGCGCGGAAATTTTAGTTTATTGAATTCGATGGGTACTATCAGAATTTATGTTGATTAACTCTATATTAGATTTTAATAGTATCAAATCTTTTAATTCGATAGTATAAATAAAAAACTTATATATACAAATAAAGATATTAATAATAACTTTGACAAACATTTTTACAAAAAATAAAAAATAAGTTAAATAAACACAACAATAATCTTTAAAAATGTCAACTGACTAAGAAAAGATAATAAAATAAGTATTAGATTCAATAGCAGAGCAATAGGGAGATAGTAGAGATGATGAAGTTTATGTGATAGAAATAATGTCATTACGCTTTGAGAAATTTGATAATCGAATTAAGTAGAAGATTGAAAGATTTACATCTCTTTAAATGCTAACAATCAACGATTGCCTTATCTCTGATTTAACTAACTTCCCTCATGTTCCTTCTTTGATTAGATTAGACTTGGTCTTTAATAAAATTACTGGAGACTAGCTTTAATATTTGAGAGGATCAAGACATTTACAAACTTTAATGCTTGGTGCAAATTAAATTGAAGAGATCGAAGACTTGAAGAGACTCGGTTAGATGAGAGAATTAATTCAACTAGATTTATTGAATAATCCAGTTGTTAATACAAATAATTATAGAAATTTAGTTTTTAATTTGTTTCCTTCTTTGGTAATATTAGACACTTTAGATAAAAATGGAATTGATTAAGAAAAAGCAGCTCTTGATATTTCTGCTTCAAGAGTGCCTGATAACTTATTTGATAAATCTAAGCCTGTATAAAATGTTTCCAAATAAGTAGTTAAAAATGCTAAAGCTACTTAAAATAATCTTTTCAGTTCTACACAAAAAGTAGCTTAAGTTAAATAAATTCCCAAAATTGTACCTGCAAAAGTATCTAAGCCTTCTCAAGCATCAGTTTAAGACAACAAATCTAATGTAGTTTAAGCAAAAGTTACTGCTGCTGTAAGTGTTGGTAGAAAAGCACCTGCATCAAGAAATGGTGGAGTACCATCAAAAGCTGGAAAAGGCAAAATGAATGCTTTTTCAAAGTAGTCTACATCTCAAAAAAGTGGTTTAGTATTTCCTTGTGGAAGACTTAGAAGATACTTGAAACAGGCTTGCAAACAATTTAGAGTTTCTTCAAGCTGTAACATTTACTTAGCTGGTGTTCTTGAATACTTAGCAGCAGAAGTCTTAGAAACTGCAGGAAATATAGCAAAAAACAATAGGCTAAGTAGAATTAACCCAGTTCATATAAGAGAAGCTTTTAGAAACGATGCTGAGTTAAACTAATTTGTAAATGGTACTATTATAGCTGAAGGAGGAAGCACAAGTACTAATTTTGTCCTTCCAATTATTAATAAATCCAAAAAATGATTAAAAAAAAAATTCAAGTTAAATAAAATATAAAAATAAAAATAATCACTAAATAATTTATCAATATAAAATAATTTAAAAATAAATATAGTTTATAATATTAATAAATAAATAAATAAATAAAATAATCATTAACATTATTTTCATTTTATTGTCATTTTATTTCCAAATTTAAGTCCTAAAGTTTATTGTAATATCAATGAGATTTCTTTAAAATTTTAAAAATTCGAAAATTTAATGATCAGAATATAGTAAGTTTAGAGAAATTAATTAGTTAAAAAATAAATTAATTTAACAAAATAACATTTATTTACTTACTTAATTAAAGATCAAATATGATTTTAAAATTTGAACAAGTAGATTTTTAGTTGGTTAAAGATAAAAAATAAATTAAAAAAATTAATACATTAAACATTTATTTTTTATAGTTAGTTTGATATCAACAGTTGAAAAAAATTATATTATATCAACTATCTATCTAAAATAATTCATTTTTTTAAATTAAAAACTTATTGTTAAGAGGATATGCTTAAATCTTTTATATAAGAATTAGAATTGCTTTCTTTTTGTGATATTTAATTAAGTAATGAAGGCATCTATTGCTATTATGTCTACTAAATTTATTTCATTATTATTAAATGATGCAAGGCATTAAGTTTTTTAGGAGATACATTCATGGATTTTGTATCTTAATCTGTTGTTTAAGGAACTGAATTGGCTGAATTGTATTTATTATTCAATTAATTTTTATTGTATCTCATCAATAGCAGTATATGATATGTTTTTCTTCTTTATTCTTTAAGTATTATAGAAGGATTACTCTATGGAAAGTAATAGGAGTAATCTTTGTATTTATCAAATTAATCAAAAATGTCAAAATATTTAGCTGGAAAATCTAAAATGTGGTTTTAGCCTAACTATTTCATAGAATACTTTAATTTTTAACCAAACATTTAAATGTTATCACTAATATCAATTTTTGATAATTTACTATGCTCTTCTTTATTAAAAATACTCATTTTTTTAGAAATCTAATAAGAAATTCTTCTTTTGCTTTCAGGAATAACTTTTTTTGTTAAATTGGTGTTTACAGTATTTTAATTTAAAGTAGAAGATGCCTCACTTTCCAAACTTTAGTAGTCTTTTGTTTCTGAACTATTTTTTTTCATTTGCCTAGAATTAGTCATATCTATTGTTTTTTCGCTTTAAAAGTCATCTTAGGTACCACATTAAGCTTGAAATTATTTTAATAACTGAGCTTAGTTATCTTCTAAATTAGCATGTATAGACATTCGAGATTTAACTTGGTTTAAACTTTTAATTATAGAGTGTCTATTTGAAGGACTATCAAAATTTTAATTTTATAATTAAGGTGAAGAATGTTGAATTATATCATGTTGTGAATTGATAGAAATAGACTTATTCCTTAAATCTATATTAGAATCTATTTATTTAGTAGAAAGCCTATTCGTGTAAGGACTATTTTATGCCTACTATATATTTGACAATGTTGGCTCTTTTTTTATATTACTTTGTGTTTTTTATTAAGATTTTATACTAGATTAGTTGGAATATTTATTGAAATCAGAATTTTAGGAAGAAGTTTATAAATCATTCTCACTATCACTTTCCGATTCTAAATAAAATTAAGAATCATTCTCTTATTAAAATAAATTTTAGTTACAACCTTATGATTAATTAAAACTTTCTAAATACGACTATAAATCTTTTAATTTAATCTTTTTTACATTTAAAAAAAATTTTTTATCATCTTTTAAATCATTAATTTTATCATCTATGTTGAGTTTAGATTTTTATACTTTAATATTACTTTCTTCAAGTTAACATTCTGAGTCTGATTTTATTTCATCTTTATATGTATTTTCATCATCATTGTCATCTTCATCCTCATCTTCTTCTGAGTAATTATAAATTTAACTTATATAGAATAATCTTAATCTTTTTAAAGAAATTTAGCAAATTTATTTATGAGAAAGCGCTTAGATAACATTTTTTCTTCTTACAGAAACTCTACCCTCTTATTTTCTTTTTTATTCAGGACAATAAATGTGTCTAAAATTAATTAATTCCTTATCAACTTTTAGATTATATAAAACACATTTAGAAGCTTAATGGTCAAATTTATTGCATGAAAAGCATGGCAATCCTTAGTGGTCATTGTAAAGATTAATTGAATCTTTAAGCATGCAATATTTTTCCTATATTTTTTAAACAAAATATAAATTATTTTGAGATAATATCATTTTAAAATGAATTTAAATTTAGATTCATTTTTACAAAAAATTATTTAAAAAAGTGAATTAAAACCTCATTTTCTATTTTAATTAATTTAAAATTAATTTACATAGTCAGATTCAAATAACTTGAGTGTCTATAAAAAATCACTTTCTGAACAATAAATCAAATGAGAACCATTTAGGCTTTTTGCTGACATATCTTTAGGATTTCCAGTTAAGAAACTATTAATACCTAGCAAGGATCCTTTCTATTTCGAAAATAATAAAAAAATAAATAAGGAAAATAATTTTTTGTAAAAAATAAATTTACTCCAACTGAAATAAGATCAAAATCATCCCTGTTTTGTGATATTTTATTATTAAGATATAACTAAACTTATCCACTACAAATGAAATAAAATGTTCTATCCAAATCTCCTTCTGAAAATATTATTTCATTTGGACCAAATGTTTTTTCCTTCACATGGCTTGTTAGTTTCATAATAAATTCCATTGAGAAATTTAACCTAAACAATTTAATATCATTTAAGAATTTTCCAAAATACTCTCGATTTACTTCATCTCTAAGTGATTTTGATATTTTAAGAAGAATCTCTTCTCCTTTTTAGGAACTATCCATTTCTTGACTTTACTCATATTCTAAAAATTTTATTACTTTTCTTTAAGTTTTCTTAGTAATATTTCTTTATTACATCAGCTTAGTAATCTCAAACTTTTTATTTCTATTATTATAAAATTTAATTATTGAATTATAAATGATTTTCTTTATACTGTCAAACTTTTAAAATAATTTGCACTGTAATGCTTACTTTTACTTTAAAAGTATGTGGAAACACTAAATATTTTTTTTGACATTTTATTTTTGCAGTATTTTTTAAAAATTTTTGTAATAAAATAAAAAAAATTGTTTTGAATTAAAAGCTATTTTTTTAAGAATTATTTTATTGAAATAATTAAATATCTATTTGCTTGCTTGAAAAACTTGAAAATCAGTTAATACCTGTATTTAGCTTCACTCAAAGCCATTTCACTAAAAATTCTACCTATAGTATTTATAGAATAAGCAAAAACACCGCATGTACCTATAGTCATGAATATAACATATATCTTTTCATAAGAATTGATAGGAGCAATATCTCCAAACCCAACTGTTATCATAGTTATAAATGTAAAATAAAGGGAGTTTACATAGTTTGAATACCAAGCATCATTAGAAAATCCATAATGAATAATCCAATTTGGAGAGTAAAGCATTCCGATATAATAGTAGCCACATGCACAATAATGCCCCATGTAAAAAACAAGCAAACATAATTTCATAAGATCATAAGAAGTAGAAAATCTTTATTCAATTTAAAAATGCTCATTTATAGTTTTTATATTAATTATTATTTTTTTAATAGAAAAAATAGCAAAGAGCAAATCAACTATAAACATCCCATTGTTGTAATTTAATTATACTATTAAAATGCAAACAATATCAAAAAAAAACTTCTTTTTAAAATAGTTTTTAATAATTTCTTTTCTATCAGAAATAATTATTCCGTTTTCATAATAAGAAATATTAAAAGAAAAGCTTATTTCTAGCAAACCTATAATTATTGGAAATATTCTGAACAAATCTTCGTAAATTTAATTATTTTCGAGATCTTATATCTGAAATGAGCTTTTAAGTGGATAAATTATTAGCTAGAAAAACTAAATCAAAAGAACAAAAAGGTTCATCCACATTATTAGTAAATTATCAGGAGAAAATGTCTATTTTAATTATTTATAAATTTTAAAAGAATTTAAAAAATAATAAAAAAATTAATGTTTTGTTTTAAAATTTAAATAATTTCTTTTATTTATCATTATTTCAAAGTTTTTTTAAATAACCTAAAATAACATTGTATTCCAAAATATAAAAATTCATTTGTATGCACATTTTAAAACCCAAAGAAAATTAGTATGTTTGGAAAAATTTCCATAAAATTAATTTTATTGAATATAAAAAATTACTTTAATTCTGTTTAAAAATCCACCAATAATACTAGAAAATATTTAAAATATTTTGACTTCCAAAATATGGTTTTTAGTCTTATCAATAGGATTGTAAAAGTAAGCTTTATCATTTATAATGTTATAGTGCTCTTTTTTTAAAAGAAATATTCTATTTTTATCTAGTCTTTGCTTTAAAATATTTGTGATTTTTCTGATATAGTAAATTTATTTTAACAAATTCCTTTTTTAGCTTTTTTTATCTTTAGTTAAATAATCTATCACATTGAGTGCTTTGTTTTTACTTTCTTCTGCTTAATTTTCTTACTGATTACTGATATTTTAATTGCCTGATCCATTTATTTGTTATGTTTAAGGATTTAATGTTAAATTAGAGTTTCTGATAGCCAATAAAGTACTTCGTTTTTTTGTTAAACTCCTACAAATTGATGATGATCTAACAGAATTTTCTCTTTAAGTTGATTTACATATAGTGTTAGATTTATTTTAAATAGGAGATAGATATTAACTTTCATTCTATAATTGCTATTGCTGTTAGTAATTAAAACTGTTTTTCCAGGTTTAAGAACCAGAACGATGTTTTCTTTTGGATTGGTTTTCATACTTTGGTTAATTATTATCTTTCTTTTATTGTTTATCTATTTCTACTTATTGAATTGAGAAAGAAGGTGAATTATCCTATTAGCTTTTATCATTCGTGTTTGAAGAAGATTCAGGAGAATCTATAATCTCACTTGAATTATCTACCTAATAGCAGTCTTTTTTAAATTTAAAATCATCTATATTACTTTTAAATATATGAAATGAAGTAGATTAGTTTTTAATCATTTCTAACTAATTTCTATAATTAATGTCTTCTAAAGAAATCTCCTAATCATATTCAGTTGTTTTTATGTTTTAACGAAGTATTTATTAACTTTAATCAGCTTAGTAACTATTTTCTTGCTAAATAGTATTATTATTTTAAGAATATTCTATATATGGTTCACTTTAAGTAAAAAAATTCATAACTTTCTAACTCTTAACTTAGTAGAAGTATTATTTAGATTAGTATTTTAATCTAATTACAGAAAACTATTGTTCTCTTTTTATGATTATATAATAAGAATAAAGCTAATTGTAATTAAAAAACACTTATCATTTGAAATATATTGATTAAAAATGTAAATAATATTAACTTGCTTATCTATGTCATCAATTACATATATAAACTTTTTATTAACAAACAAATTATTTTAAATTTTATTTGAAAATCTATTCATTAATGCTATTAAACAAATACATTATGGCAATCTAATTAATATCATCTCTTACTCCGTATATTTGTGAGTGTTTAATTTGCTCAAAAACTTTTAAAGAAATCTTTTCTTCAAATTATTGAAAAAAAAACTTTGATTTAATTAAAATATTCATTTATTTATTAATTAATTTATATTCTATTTTATGTTTTTAAAATCTTCTTCTAAATAAATAAATATATTCATTCATTAATTCATTAATTAATTAATTAGAATGTTTCTTTTAAATTAACATAGAAAAATAAAATAAGATTTTACAATATTGCTTTGTAAAGTTTGTTTCATTTTTTACAATTTAGAAATTTAATTAAAAAAGTTCAAGAAAAAAGTCTATTTAATTTTGACAAAAATCAGTTTTTTTTAAGAAACATTGGTGGCTTTTTGATTGCTATGTTTGTTGAGCTTTATTATTATTCATTTTCTTAAGTAGCATTTTATGAACTAGGTACTTCATTATTTGAAGCTTATTGCCCTTATTCAACTAGATTATCTTTACTGCTTTGATTTGAAGACTTTTTAATACTTCTTCTATTTTAAGCATGTACAGCTGTAGATTTTCTTGTTAATGATTTGAGTCTTTCTTTGTTTTAAGCAGGGGAAGTACTTTTTATCCCTTCTCTAGAGGATTAGCGAGAGTGTCTTAACAAAGTATTATCTTCTGAAGCTTCCATGCTATTTTTTTGCATTTACTATGCTATTTAGCTTGCACTGATTTCTCCTTTATTTTCATTTGACTCACTTTGATTTTACTTTTAATTCTTTTAAGGTTCAACTTAGTTATTTTTTTATGAATTTGATTATGATTATTATTACTACTACTACTACTACTGTTAATTGCTCTGCTAATTTTATTGATTCGCATTATTATTTTAAGTAGGTTATGATTTATTTTTTTCTACGTTATCAGCTACTACTTTTGGGGAAGTTAAATCTGCCTGACTTTTTGGTGCTCCAGGTTTAATACTTAGGGCATTGTTAATTTTATTGTTTAGTTTCTTATTAGTGATTTCATTTTAAGACTTTTTGTTAGGAAGTGCAGCACTTTATGGTTCTTTTATTTAATTGTTACTACCATTATTATTTTAGCTAGAATTTTACTAATAACTTTCGCTGTTTGCTTTGTGTAATTAATTCTAGCTAGGAAGATTATTTGGGTTATTACTATTTGAAACATTGAACTCTGGTAACTTTTATTATTTTTCTTAGTTCATTGTCACAGAGTTAACATTACTGTTATCTGCCTCCTAGATAGTTGGCATAGAATCTTTTTTATAATTTTGCTAAACTTGCTAAGACTAATACGTGCTTTATTTTTGTTATGTGCTCTCTGCAGTACCTTGTGAAAATTATTATTGCTAATTATTTTGATTTGGTATATTATTAGTAGGTTCAAAATCCTAATCAGAATTTTATGCAAATTATTCCTGTTTATTCGTAAAGCCCTAGCTTTTTAAATTTTGATTGAATGGACTATTTTGTTATATCTAAGGGGACTGGCTATTTTCCACTTTAGGAGATAACACATTTTAATTATTTTGATTTGCAGCTACTCCAGATGAAACTTATGAATCATGATTACTTACACGGTCTCTTCTAGCTTTTTGTTAATCGATTTATACCTACTATTTATTCTGAATTTCCTCTTACATTTGCTATCTTTCCTTAAGTACAGAATTAAACCATTATTAAAGCTAACTTTCTTGGTATGAAGATCTCCTCATTTCTCTTTCTTTGAATTAAAGGTTATATTAAGTAGTTTCTTTGAAAAATGGATAATCATTCATTTCACTGATGATAAATTATGTAGAATAAATATGCTAGTATATTTCTTAAACTTTTTCTCTTGTTTCTGCAAGCTCTATATGATTTAAATTTTTATTTATTTCTAAAGTATAAGGATCTGTTGTTTCGATTAACCCAATTTCTTGAGGAATAACAAGCAAAGAATGTCTTTTAATTAATGAAAAAGTTAATAAAAACTCTTGCTAAAATATTGTTTTACCTGTATCTCAATTTAAAAAGCTCAGAATAAGCATACAAAGCATAGCAATCATCTTATATTCTAAGATAAGCATATGATATAACGTCTTAGACAAACTCATGAGCTCTAGGATAATCAAATTTTATACTTAAAACAGAAAACGTTTTTGATTCTTTACTAAATGTTTAAATTTTAGCCATGTTATTAGAAGTTGCAACTAGATAAATTATTTCCTCAAAGTAAATTGAATGGAGAGGTTTGAGTTAATTCTTTTTACTAAAAACATTGATACAAAAGGCATTTACAACAACATAAACCTACTCTAGCTCAGACTCATTAAGTTTGGCAGTAAAAAAAGATGATGCATAAAAATTATTTAATCTTAACTAAGCAAGTATATTAAATATAAGAGTATATTTATCAATTTTATCTATTTTCTCAATTTCTATCATCCTACTTATTACTAATGCAAATTCATCCTAATATGAAATAATTATATATCAAATTATTTTATTTTTAAATTTTTCAATTAAAAATCGTAATTAAAAGTATCAATAAGCTATTTCAAATTATTTACAATAAAAAATAATTAAAAATTTTGAAATATAAAAAAATATTTTTTAGTGTTATTTATTTATGCTTTTAATATATTTTTAATTGTAGTTTGCATTAAATTAATTTATTCATTGAATTTAAAATCCAAAGCTCCAAATTATCTACTAAAAAGCATGTCAAAGATTTTAAATAAAAATTTTACCTTTTTATATTTTATTGAAGATGGTATGAGATGTTCTAAGTTATTGAAAGTTTGATTTAAATCTATTTTTCCCTTTTAAGTACCTTTTGTTAGGTATGCTAGATAATAAGCAGCTATACGGATTAAAGAAGGAATAACTATTGATTTAGCATACAACTCATTTGTGTAGAAATATCTTAACTATTCATCGAATAAGCAATTAATTTACAATTAATGAATATCTCCTAGTCTGATTGTATGAAATGGCTAATAAATTCTACGCTTAACAAGTAAGCTGTAGCTTGCAAATTTAGTAGGATTTTGGTCCCATTAGCTCATAATCTCTATTATTATATCTTCAAACATAATTGCTATTTCTTCTTTATCATATATTGATGATTAATATATCCAGTAATTATATTTATCAGTTATTGAATTTTTTAGAAAATATGTCCCTTCCTGATTTAATTTAATTTTCAAATAATTATTTTTTTGAATAAAACAATTTTTTAAATAATTTTACTTAATATACTATTTTCATCAACTGCCCTGCTGTAATGAATGGATCTAGACTAAACTCTTAACTGGATTGGTTAGGATAACATATTTTAAAAATGAATTTTGTATAACCTCTTATTCTTTATTCGAGCTCGAAAAGAGATGGTACCCAATCAGGAATTACTATTTCTTAAATAACAGCATTTTAAAGATGGATTAAGGCATCTTGAGCCAGTCTTGCAAATCTCTACCTACCATAATAAACGAACAAAAAGTTTCTAATAAAATGATTGAGTTCATACCTATTTAAGAATAAGTTAGTAAATTTATTTGCTGTTTTGATTAAATTTATTACGAAGGAGGGCAATATATAGTTAAAATGGTAATGATTGCAATTAAATTGTATTCTGTGTAATCGTTTAGCATAGGAGAAGTAGAGTATTTTATAATTTATAAGTAAACTTCATCTTTTAAATGAGGAATGAATTTAGATTTGTTAAGCAAAGAAATCAATTTTTATAATTAAGGAGCAATTTTTTAATATGAATTAGATTCCCTTGAATAAACAACAAGACAATAGACTAAATAAGTCATAGCAGTTTCTAAATCTTTTTTGGCTTCAGGCACTGGAAATTGTATTAAAGGCTTAATAAAAGTGTCTTCATCTCTGTGAATAAACATATCACTTGGTTAAAGATTAGAAAGAGAAATTTCATTTTAAGTGTAGTAGAATTCAAATTTTCTTAAATAAATAAAATTTGTGAATTTATATTGCTATGAATATTGAACAGTATCTACAGGATGAAATACTTCGTCTGAGTTGATTTCAATGGGTTGTTTAATTTGTTGCAATTCAAATTAATGATAAATATTCCTACTTTAGAAATTTGCATATTAAATATTAAGTCGAGCACAAGCTAACTTTAAATCTTGCAAACCTTCAAAAAATATCTTTTCAAAAATGGAAAATGGGTTATCAGATTCAAGATCCTCAAAGTCTTCCAAAAGGTATTAAAGTCTTTTATATGCCAAATCTAAGTAATAATTAGATTCGTATTTTGATAAAACTAGCTCAAGCACATCATCATATTCTATTAAAACTTTTTATGATAATTTGCTGAACAAGGTGTAATCAGCTCTTGTGCAATGGCTAAAAAAGTTACCGTTAATTGAAATCTGAAAGATACCTAGAATTTTATATGAATAAATTATAAAAATCAAATTTTTTTATAAGTAATAACAAGTTCATACTTTTTGGAACTTTCTTTCTGTCTTCGTTTTACTTTAATAATAAAAAGCAATCACCTTTTGAGCCTTCTTAAGAAACAAGGTCTAATTCAGGCTTGAAACCCTATTTAACTTGTAACTTTATAAACTCATCTCTCTTCTCTTTGATAGCAAATAATTACTCCACAACAGGACCTCTTAAATCCAATCTAATACATTCTTTGATTAAATAGTGCATAACCTCATTAATTTATGATTCTGGAATATCTTCAAAGTTAAGAAACCTTTCAATTTTTTTCATAATAGACTATTTTCTTTCTTCTGTAATTTCCAAGTACTTTTAAAAGAATTCTAATTCCAAGCCTACTAGCTTACCGATCACTAATAGTTTAGATACGCAATAATGGTCTCTAATAAGCAATGACTATTAATATTAAAAAAATTTTTTTTTTGGAATTGAATGATTGAGAATATTACTTCGCATAACCTAGTCCAAACTATTTCTTAGAGTGGCTCTAAAAGTTAGAGTGGAAATTCAAATTCTAGTTCATCTATTTCTTAGCAAAATTTTAGTAGCTGCTCAACTGTAATAAACTTGTCTTTTTAAATTTTTTATATAATTATTCTGTAATCTTTAATCTTTTATATTTAAGCTTTTCTATAAGGAGGAGGTTTATTTCCAAATCTTAATCTCTGAATACTGATATCAATTTACTTGCTTTCTGTCCTACCTTAAATGAAATTTCTACTTTCCTGTTCTTAATTTTCTAATTTTTATTCTCCTTCTTAATTTTATCTCTTTATGTGTCTTATCTTTCTTAGTTTCTAATCTTCTTTGATCTTTAGAACTTTTTAATTACATAAATCAGTGTGTTATAAAATTATTATGGAAAGTTATTTATCAATAGTTATGAAAATTATTGATGAGTTTATAATAAAATATGTGAATTTTATTAATAAAAACTTCAATCTTTAACAATTTAAATAATTTCAAAAAATAATAGCTTACAGTTTTATCTTTTAATATCACTGTCCATCTTATTGAATATACGAATTGAGTCTTGCAGTATATCTTAGTGAAAAGGTAGAGGGAAAATGTTTAGATATATGTTGACATCATTATTGTGTTGCAAAAAATTGCTTTGAGTATTAGGATCCACACTTGATTAATCACCATAACTAGTTTAATCGACTTAATTGTTCATTTTTATTACTTATAAATATCCTTTGTATAGTCTCCATAAATTGTATTTGCTAATATTGTTAAAAGAAAGATCTAATGCAACTACTTTAGGCCTTATAGCTCTGAATATTAATTATTCTACCACATCTACAATATCATCCCCAATTTAATTTTTTTATAAATCTAATTTAAATCCAAATTCTTCAAATTCAGCAATAGTTTTATCTTAAAGAAGGTTTATCAAATCAATAAAATCATAGAAGTATTTTCTATTTCCTAAGAATAAATTGCAAGATAAATCAAGTACTTTTAAATTTGTACAATTTTCTATAACTTTATTAAGTAAAGGCAGGCACTCGTCAGTCAATTTATTCTAGCTAAGGTTTAGTGAGGCTAAAACAACGTTTGCACTTATTACATCAGTTAGATTTTTTAATATATTATAATTTATATTGCACCTAATTTTATATTTAAAAAATTAAGTAAATACAAAATTCAATTCAATTAAATTGAATTCAATCTAAAATTGTAAAGCTAAATGGTTTACTCATTAAAAACTAAAGAATATATTTAATCATATTTAATATTGATCAGTAAGTGCTTATCTTGTAGGATAAATTTATCATTTGTGTAGTCTCTTGAAAAGGTAAGGTAATGTATTGCTGATGATTACATTAGAAACATGCCTAAACAATCAACATATAATTCCAATTCTTCCTAGCTTTTTTGATTTATTTTAACTTAAAAGTGAATATTCTCAAATTAAATGCTTTCTTATATCCAATCTAGTATCTCGTAGTCTAAATCTAAATGATACATTTTGCATGATTAGCTGTATTTAATCCAAGCTGATGAAAGCTATATTGCTCTATTTATTTGCTAAAGATCTTCTATAGATTCAAAATATGCAATTTAAGTTGGTATACCTGGCTATTTATAAAAGATAATTTATTATTTATTAAACTATTTCATTTAATTTGTTTTTTTTTTGGGTAAATTCTAAGTGATTTTACCTCTTGTTAAGCATCTTTAGAATCATAAATATGCTACAAAAGAAGAGGAAATCTATATTCAGTTGGAGGCTCATTTACTTTAAGCTTCAAGCCGTCTATAACTTTCATTAAACTTTCATGAGTCAGCTAAATGGTTTTAATTTGGTTTGGATCCATTTAATCCTTTGCTAAAATAAAAAAATATCATATTAAATTGAAAATTTCTTACAAATGTGCATAAAAATACCCAAAGATTATGAAGTAATTGAGATATCTTCTACATCTTAAAAAGTTTTTAGCTCATACTCTGCTTAATGTTTATAGTATAAGATTTCTTTTTCAGTAACAACAAATCTTACAATTCTCCAACAACAGTGCACTACTTTATCCTTAATTTTTTCTTATTAATAATTTTAAAAAATATTTTGTGCATAAATCTTTATATAAATTATATGGTCACTCATTTTAAGATATTATTCAAAAAGACTTAAAATGAATGATCTATTTAATTTTTTATTCAAATCAAACCATGAGATAAAAGGGCAGCAGTTCTGATACATAAAATTCTAGTTCCTGGCTTAAGCCAGGGGTTATTTTATTTTTACTTTGTCTGCATTTCTAGATAAATTCTACTCCACTTATACTTTTCAATTAATATTTTTACTGTTAAAATTTTTCTTATTATCCTCTTAATATATGCAGTAAATAAATATTCTTTGAATGTATTTCTATTTTTCAAATAAATGTAAAATTTATAAATATTATTTTTTTAATAATTCTATGGAATTTAATGAAAAAAATATCATATTTACTTCAACAAAATACTTATTTAAATTACTGCATAGAATTAAAATGTATTTTATGGCAATATGGAGCATAAAATTCTTTAATTTTAATCAAAAATATTAAATTTTATAATAATAATCTCATTAAAATATTTCAAAACCATAAAAAAATTTATTTTATTTTTATTACAAGTGCATAAAAAAATATTATTTTAATTTTATTAAAATTAAAAATCTAATTTTTAAAATGTTTAGAATTAAGTTATTTTAATTTTATTTTGGAGGTTCTCTAAGCTTGAAAATTTTATTATTTATATTAGATTAATGTTATTAATTATATTAAAATGAATTGAAAATATTTCTGAAAAATTATTAAAAAACTTAATATCAAAATTAAAAAAATTAATAATTGTATTTCATCTTTTTTATTATTTGGGAAAATAAAATGTAATTATGCGGTTCATTTTAATTAAAATTCATCAGAAATATAGTTGATTTTAAGAATAATTGTTAATTTGTTAAAATAAAAGTAGATATCAAATAATTTATCATTTTGCTAACTTTCAAACTAAAAATGCCACCTAAAAAAACAAGAGCTTAAAACGGTAAAGTCTAAAAAAGACCTGTAGAAGAAGACCTTGATGAAATAGAAGAAGAGGTTAAAATGGAGAGTGAAGATCAGAATAAGAAAAATTAAAAAGAGAACACTACAAATGGTAAACCATAAACTGATGATCAAGATATTCTAAAAAAATTAGGAGATGATGATCCTATTCCTAAAGAATTTTACAATTGTTGTGTTGTAGATTTAGCATAAAAACTAATAGGTACTTATCTAATTAGAGTTTTGGACGATGGTACAGTTTTGAAAGCCATGATTGTTGAAACTGAAGCTTATAAAGCTCCTTTAGATAAAGCTTGTCATGCATACAACAATAAAAAAACAGAAAAAACTAAATGGTTTTGGTAAGATGGAGGCCATCTATATATGTATAGTATTTATGGAAATAATAACTGTATGAATATCGTTAGTGCTACCAAAGATGAACCAGAGGCTGTTTTGATCCGTGCTCTAGAGCCTATTTAGGGCATTTAAGTCATGAAAAAGTTCAGAGGAAGCAACCCTAAACTAAAAGATAAAGACTTAACTAATGGACCTGGTAAACTTACTTAGGCTATCAATATTGATAAAGATTATAATGGACACACTTTATTTGAAAAGGGAAAGTTATATCTTGTAAAAGGATTAGATAAATCTGCTGTATAAATTGAAGCTAGCAAAAGAATTAATATTGACTATGCTTAAGAGTGGGTAGATAAACTTTGGAGATTCACTTTAAAAGGAAATAAATTTGTATCCAAATGAAATTTCTCATAACATAATATTTGATTTTCTATAAATTTTTGATCAATGTTATACTAAAGTGTATTGTTAATTAAAATTAAATTGCGCCTTTTCAATTTTTTTAAGTAAAATAAATATCCCTTAATTTTAATTATTGATTGATTGATTATAAAATTAAAAAATTATAATTTTTAAATAAAGATTTTTTAAAATGGTATTTTAAAAGTAAAAAATATTTCTAAAATAAAAACAAAAATAATAAAAAAAATACAAATACTTTAACACATTTATTAATTGATTTAATTATATATTATTATATTAAACTCTAATTATTTACATATAGCTTTCCAATTTTTCTTGTATATGTGAAATTTTTTGCTAATTTCTTTATTTTTTTCAAAGTATATTTGCTTCAAAAAACTTTTTCTAATTCATTTACATGTATCTTACAATTACTTGTAGATTCAGAAGATTAATCACCCTCTTTAGATTATAAACTATATAAATTATGAATATCGAGATCTTTAAAGAGCTAATTTTCTAAATTGCAAGAGTTTTTTATACAGTAATCATAATCTTGAATTTCATCATCATACTATTGTTAAGCAGCAATACTAGTGTAGCTATCTAAAGTTTATTGCTATTCATAATTATTTAAATTTAAAATACTCTAATAATATCCACTTTAATGGTTATTATCTTCTAAAACATTTTAAACTGTTTCAGTTATCTAATTCTAGTTAACTTCATCAACTTTCATTTCTTATTAATTTGATTAATTTTCATCATTTTAAATAGAATTAGAAGAAATTTTCTCTTCTTTACTTTATACATAATATTTGCTTTACTAATTTTCTGCTTTGCTTACTGCAGAGACTTTTTTATCTTAATAAATTTACTAACTCTCAATATTTAACATCTAATCTTAAAATCTTTCAGATTCAATTATTAAATTTTAGTTATTCTTTTAATCTGGAGTGTCTAATTATTCATTTTCCTAACTTATCTAAAATTAATTTTAAAAATTTAAACTTTAAACAAAATTGTTTATTTCAATATTAAAATTAAATTAAAATAAAATCTTACCTTTTATTTTTACATCTATTAAAATCGACCTGACTAATCGTTTTCTAGATTTTAATTTTCTTCAATAGATTATTTATTTAAAGTATTATTTAAATTTTATGTTAATTATTTATTTTCATCTTATTATTATTATTATTATTGGTCTTTTATAGATGTAGACATCATCATAATGCAATCATTAAATTTGATATCAGTATTTGTTTTAACCTAATTATTTTCAGTAGATTTAGTTTCATATTCATCTCCTTACTTTTATTTATTTTCATTATCAAAGTTTATTTAAATTTCTTTTTAAATCGTTTAATTTGATAACTACTCACTTTAAATTTATAATCTTTATTCAGAAGAACAATCTATTTCGCTTTTGTGGTCATCGTAATGATCATCTACTGAATCACTATATTCATCTTCTTCTTCTATACTTTAATCACTTTCAATTTCTCTTGGTGAATTACTATTAATTAATTAATAAATAAATAATTAATTATTAAAATTCAAAAAAAAAAAGTAATTTTAACTAGATTCCTCTTATGTAAATTTCGTTGTGGATATTTTCGCTTGTATCATACTTATTATCCTTTGGATATAAGTATAAGTAGCCACCTTGAGTATAAGAATTCTTTCTGTATATCATGATTTCAGATTAATATATATTATATGTTTCCTTTAACTTTTTAGAAATAATTGCATGATTCATTTTTATAATATTTCTTTTTTGACAACGTTTCTTTTAATCTGAAGAAAACTTTAATATATTTTAAATTGATCTAAAGTAGTGCTGTTTTTGGAAGAAATAAAATGATAGGTAAAGGTATGCATCGAAGTTTGATTAATTAATATTAATACATTTTTAAAATGCTGTCTTTGCCTTTTGTAGATTTTTAAGCTCTAAATATATAATTCCTAGTTTAATGAGAGCATTATCATTCTTTTAATCTTACGAAATTTAGAAAAGACAAATCTATTTAGCCATCTCAAATAAATTTAATTTTATTAATGAATCTGTGATATTATTTAAAATATTGGTGTCCTAAGAAGCTTTAAAGCAAAGTTGTAAACACTTTATTTAGCTTTTAAAATCAAAATTTTAATTATATAATTCAGCCAAATATTTTCTAAATTATTCATTTTATTTATTTAATAGCACAGACTTCTTTTAAAAAAATATTGCTTATTTTAGAGAACTAAGTGATAAATATTATTATGACAAAGAATTATATAATTCACATATGTTTTACTAGAAAGATTATCCATCATCAGTAATTATTTTAAAGATATTAATTTTATCCAAAGTCAATTAGTAGCTATTTTATCTTTAAATTTAATTTTAATTTATTTTTCTTTTTTATTTATCTTGTTAAATATAAGAATCTTCAATATGTTGATATCCAGAAAGCTAAAACTTAAACAAATTTAGGAAAAGTTTGACATATTTTTCATATTTCTTTCTATTTTAAATCCCATTTTGTATTGAATTCTAGAAGGACTCTAAATCTAAATCATAAATACTCTTATTAATATCAAAAATGAGATGAATATATTAAAGAGCATCTTAGAATTTCTCTTGATCAATTAACATTTAGCAAACTAAATAAACATATTTAATTTTGTAATTGATTTTTAAATTGCAAACAATTAAAATATCTTTTAGAAAATCTACATTTTATGTTAAAAGGGGGTATTTATTTTTAAAAAAAAATTAGACTACTTTATGAATTTAATTTTCATCTAATTTTTTTAATTATTTTTAAAGGATTAAGTTGTATTAGGCTATTAACTTTTCAATTTGATTCTATGAGTTGATTGATTTTTCTTTTATATTTTAAATTAAATTAATTTAATATTTATGCTAAGTAAAAGGCTCATAATAATCTAAATATTCTTATTTTTCCAAAATAGTTTAGATGAATTTACTGAATTCAAAAATATTGCTCTAAAATAATTATTAATTTTATTATATTTAATTTTGTGTAGTCAACTGAACCTAATTATTTTAATTTTCATTTTTTTTTTTAATATTCCATATTTTTATTTAATGGATGTCATTTATAAATACTGTTTGATCAGAAAGCAATTCAACACTTAGATTTTAGCTATCCAAATATTTAAATACACTTAATATTTGTAGAGCTACATTTGAAACTAATATTTTGTAAAACAAAAATTGTTGGTACTATTCACACCAGATAAATGCAGTCTATTCAAATTTCTCAAGTTACACAAAGAAATAATTTTGCAACTAAAACGAACCATAAAACTTCGTGATATTTGGGTGATTAATTTCTGATAATATCTAGCTTCTTTATTAAGCATAAGCTAATTTTCTATGACATATATTTCCTTAATCGTTAAGAAGAGGGAAAATTAGCAAAGTGTATTATTTTTAAGTTGTCTGATCTTAAACAATAACTTAACAAATATTTTCTTAATTACCTTTTATTATCTTTATTACCTAGAAGTTGGCCTTTCTAAACAGCACTTTTTTAACTTATTGTAAATCTATTTGTTGTTGAATATCCAATTATTCTATGATATCCATTTTAGTTTCAAGTTTTATCAATTTTCTCGAATATTTAAAATAGCAGATTTATTATTTAAAAATTGATTATAAAATATATTTCTAACAAAAAAACTTTTTATTTTATAATACTCTATGCTTTTTCTGTTAGTTGTTTATAAATATAAATATAAAAATTTTTTATATTCAAAACCAAAAATTTGGAAATTTAATAAAAAAATCGACTAATTAATTGATAAATTGAATGATTGTTAATAAAAAGCCTTTACCATTTACCAATCAGTTAGTGAAATATATCTATTTCAACATAAAACTATTGATGTTTTTAAAAAAATTGATTTGTTCTATTTGCCTAAATAGACATCAACCCCTTTTCCTAACTAGACTCAGAAAATTGAATTAGATAATTTATGTTTTAGTTAGGGAAAAAACTTAATTAAAAAAATCAGGAAAATTTTTAACAAATTTAATATAGATAAGGAAATTTCCTGTCAATTTTTAATCATAAACTTCTTTAGAAATATATTTGTTTATAGTTTATATTATTTAAATTATATTTCGATCAAAATGATATCAAGATTTTTATAGACCATAATAACTAAAAAATATATATGGAAAGCATAGTTTCAGCATTTAATATTATTTTAATTTCTGTGAGTTACAATAATTATTTACTCATTTATTATTTGTAATTAACTTAAAATTAAAATAGATATAAATATGTTCAAGCAATCGAAATAGATTTCTAAAATATTGCTAGATTAAATTAATTAAATATTAAAAAATGAAGGCCGAATAATAATAATTTAACTTTTATTTTTGGCAATAAATTTTAAGATAATTTGATTTATTTTATGATTGATACCTTTAGTAAGGTATAAAATATATTCAAAATATTGTAAAAACCCTTTTTATAATTTACCTAGGTCAAAAGACTAAAATAATATTTATTGGTGATATTTATTAATTTGTTATTTGGCGTATATGAAAGAATTTTGTGGACAAACAAGATTCTAAATTTTGTACCTTTTGATGCTTCATTAAAAAAAAGATTTATAGCGCAAGAAAGATCCAATTATTTTTACATTTATTAATTAATATTAAAAAATAAAATTTGACAACTACAAAACTTAGTTCTATTGCTAATAAGTAGGATAAAACAAAAAGAATACTTCCAAAAAAAAAGGTTATAAAATTATATTCAAATGGAACAAAATTAGACATAATAAAGCAAAGAGATGAAAATTGGAGAATTCACAGTAAGTGAGCTAGTGTAAAAATACGACACTCCACTTTATGTTTACAATTCTCAAGTGATTAAGGAAAGATGCTAACAATTATTAAATGCACTTAAGCTGCTTCCTACTCAAACAAAGGCACTTTATGCTTGCAAGGCTAATACAAATATTGCAATTATCAAGTTGATGAAAGAGTAAGGAATCTAAGGAATAGATGCCGTCTCCATCTAAGAGGTGCTTCTTGCAAAAAAAGCAGGATTTGAAGGAAGAGATATATAATTTACTGAAAATTTCATTGGGTAGAAGGAAGTGGAGGATTCTTTAAAGGAAGGTATTTTGCTTTGTATTGGAGAATTAGATACTCTAGAGACATTGGGCTAACGCCTTTAATCTAAGAAGCTCGTTTTGAAGGAAACTGAAAATGGATAAAAGCTAAAAGTTGCAGTACGTATTAATCCTGATGTAGGAGTTGGAGAATGTGAACATACAATTACAGGTGGACCTAAAAGCAAGTTTGGTATTTATTGCAATTAAATAGAAGAAATCATAAAAATTAGTGAGAAATACCCAATTGAAATAGAAGGTATTCATTAGCACATCGGATCAAACATGGTTCAAAACCACTTGGATAAATATGTTTAATCTATTAAAAAAATATTTGACGTAGCACTTTAAATAAAAGGTCTTAAGTTCATTAATGTAGGAGGAGGTATAGGTGTTCCTTATGAAGATGGAGTAAAGCCTCTTGATTTAATTGAAGCCTATTCAAAGATAGCTGAAGAATATAAAATTTTTAAAGAAAAATATGGCCATGATGTTGAAATTCGTGTTGAGCCAGGCCGTTTCTTAGTTGCTGAGAGTGGTCATCTTCTCACTACTGTCACTGCTATAAAGAAGAACCAATACAGTACTTGGATAGGTACAGACACTGGTATGAATCATTTAATCCGTCCAGCTCTTTATGAGTCATATCACAAAATAGAAAATGCATCTAATTTTGAATCAACAAATAATGAAGACAGCCAAAGATAAAAAGTCAATGTGTGTGGTAATATTTGCGAAAGTGGTGATGTATTCGGTCAAAATAGACTCATTAGAACCGTTAAAGATGATGATATTTTAGCTATATATAATGGAGGTGCTTATGGTTACTGCATGGCTAGCAATTATAATTCAAGAAATAGACCTGCAGAAATTCTTGTTGATGGCTCAGTAGATAAACTTATCAGAAGGAGAGAAACCTTAGAAGATTAACTTGCAACTCAAATATTTGATTGATCATAAAAAATAGTTTATATTTCACATTGTTAATAATTTTATTTTCAAATTTCTTTTTTTGCAAGTAATTATAAAAATTAATTTAATTTATTTTAAAATTCAAAATAATACTTATAAAATATTAAAATATAACGAATGAATAATTTTAAAAATTTTGAAATAATAAAGTTAATCAAAAATTATTGCATTGATTTACTAGTTTATGACTTTGATTTTTAAAAAAAAGGTTTTATAAATGTTATCATGTTCTAAAATTAAACAAATATTTTCATGTTTATTTATTTATCAAATTTTTATTTTTGAAAAGAAAAATTAATAAATGAAATCATAGCTAAATAAATAAGGATTATATCAATAAAATAGATTGAGAATGAATGTAAATATTTTATATAATTTATTATTAATAGTAACTTTTATAAACTGGTATTGATTTTAAAAAGGTTAAAAGATTTTTTTAAAGTTTGATTTAAAATAAAAATATAATTTGATTTATTTCTTAAATAAATAAAATTTGTATAATAACTAAAGATATTATATTTAAAATAAAAACGAATTCAAAATGACTTTAATTGGTATTTGATTAAAAACATCAGAACACTATCAATTATTAATGAAATTTGAAATAATTTCAATCAATTAGTTAATAGGAATATTTAGATAGATAGTCTGTTTATCAAATTTAATGTAAAATTGAATAAAAAGAAGATACTTGTTAAATAAATAAATAATTCTTAATTTAGAAAGCAAAGTCAATAAACAAAAAATTAAAAATATTCAATATACTTTACTTTATTTATTAATTATTAAAAAAAGATTGAAGAAATTCAGCAATTTAACAACAAAAAGGAATATTTGAATAAATAAAAATAAAAAACGAAAAATGATCCATTGTTTGTTTTTAATTAGCAGATAGGGTAAAACAAGACTTACTAAATGGTTTTCACAATCCTTTACTAACAAGGAAAAGACTCGTTATTTAAAAGAAGTAAAGTTATTTCTTAAAATTTTGGAAAATGAATGAATAGTCAATCATTTTCTTTTTCAAATTCATAAATAAATGGCATCATTCATGTATTTTGATTTTCAAAAAGATGAAATTCTATAAATTTATCCTGACTTATTTGATTGTTTTATTATCAATAGATTAACTCAATTGTATTGACAAGAAGCAGTCGTTTGTGCAATTTCTTAGAATGGAATGAATACAAAATAGTTTATAAAAGGTAAATAATTAAATTAGATAGATACCAAATCATATTTGATAAAATGTTTATAAAAAAGAAAATATGAATTTTTATGCATAATTTATAATTTTTATTTACTAAATTAATAGATATGCAAGTCTTTATTTTATTACAATTGTTGATAAAGAAGAAAACGAATTGGGAATTTTAGAAATTATTCATCATTATGTTGAAGTGCTTGATAAATATTTCGGAAACGTGTGCGAATTAGATCTTATTTTTAACTTCCATAAGGTAAAATCGTTTTAGCTTTAAGAAATTCTTACAAAGACTTTAACATAATTATTATTAGGCCTATTTCATTTTAGATGAATTAATGGTAGCTGGACATATTATGGAACCTAGCAAAAAAGTAATCCTAAAAGCCATATAATCATAAGAAGCATTTGAAGAAGAAAATGCCGAAACAGGAAAAAAGTGAATGAAAAAATGTATAATAAGCTATAAAAATTAGTTTAAATTTTTTGTATTTATGTAAATCTACTAAATTTTAAAATTGAAATATAAGAAATGTTTATATTTTATTATTAAAATTTTCATGAATTAAGCTAATAAATATTAAATATTCAATTTTTATATGGTAAAAGCTCAATCCTAAAAATTTAACCAATTAAATATGATTTTTTTTATATGTTAGAATTGCTTTATATTTTCTAGTTTTTTTAAATTTAGATAGATTTAATTATTGAAAACACAAAGTATATTTATTCAAATGACAGATTTGTTATCTTTTAGTACTAAAATTGAATCAATCTTTATGAGATTAATAAATAGATGCAGAGAGAATATATTAGGGATGAGAATATGTAATAAAATAGATAATTTTTATAATATTTAATTATATATATTACAAGAATAAGCAAATTTTAAGATAATTAACTAACCAAAAAATGTCTGGAGAAAGTTTCCAATTTTAATTTTTTAAAATGCTTGAAAGTTTAAATAATTATTTCTAAATAGTTTTTTCAATCGTAATCAACTAGCTAATTTGCTTTATTATTATTACTTCCATTCCCATTATCTGTTACAAATTTTGCAGTTGAAACATTTTTAATCTAAGGAAATTCTAGTTTTTCAGATAATTTGTCTTGACTCCACAGTAAAAGTTTGATAAGAGTAGGTAATTTATTTTCTATTTAAAGAATAATTAGATTCATTTTGAAAAAATCTTAAATAAAATTTTTATTGAATAAAAAATATTATTTTATTATTTAAAATATACCTTTTTCCTACTAACCTTTTAGCATTTCATAATTAATTTAACTAGAAATCTTAATTCTCTATGAATTACTGACTAGATCTTGATAAGGGCTCTCTTATAGATTTTCAAATGCTAACAAGCTCATGACCTTTTCCATGCTATCTTAATACAGTTCTTTTTTTTCATTCTTTTTGATAATATTGAAAAATAAAATCTATTAATTAAAATACTAATAAAATACACTAGATTCTAAAATAGGCAGTAATTCTTCTTAAGCAAATGATATTGCTTTATCTATTTACTCACTTCTGATCAACTCTATACATTTTTATAATTTTATATTAAAATTTATGTCTTTGTTCTCTTCTAAAACCTTTTTAATATTTTACAATTATTTTATATTTAAATATTTGTTTAATTACTTTTTTATTTATTTTATCGAGCTCATTTATAGCTTCATCTATTTATCCATTAAGAATCAACTTTCTTATATCTATGCGTGGCTACATACATTCAAGATCTTGTTCGCTTACTTTTTAATTAAAAATGATTATAATTGTAAAATTATTGCAAAAGACTTTTGGAGTGCTTTAATTTAATCTTAATATCCTTTTTAGAAATTATTACTTTCAGTTTAACTCTCTTCCCTAAACTTTTCTGCTGCTTCTTTATATCCTGTTTAGAATGGTAAATATTGTTTATTTATTAGTGAAAAACTAGAAAATGAAGATTACCTTCTATTAAAAAAAAATTCATAATAAGTTTATTCATATCTTGTTTAGCTATTTTAACATTTTTTAATTCCTCCTTCCACTATTCTAAAGAAATCTACTTCTTTTTATTGCTATCAATACTAAAGCTATTCATATTATTAACAGAGTTTCTATTAAATTTCTGATATCTGCTTTTAAATTATTTGATTTGTATGATGAATAATTTTTTTTTTTTGATTTAACACTTATTAATAATAACAATAATAATTAGAAAAAACATTAAATTAAATTTTCATTCTATTTTAAGTTTTTAATTAAAATAAGAATAGTTGAAAAATATGAACATAATAATTTAAAATTTAGATATTATAATATTTAATTGCTTTCCATTCGTTTTCACATAAAAAGAAATTTCAAAAATTTAGAATGATTAAAAGCTTTATTCTTAATTTATCAAAAATGCAAACTTAAAAGTATTCAACAAATAAATTATATTTATAAAAATTTTTTTTAAATTTTCTTGAAATTAATTTTTCATTTTGAATTATTTTAATTTTTTTACATAAAAACAATAATATTATTTTTTAAATATATTTGAACTTGTCAATTTAAACTATCTATATAAGAGTTGTATTCGTTTGCCTTGATTTAATTGAACTTGTGGGCTGTTTATTTAAATAAAAATGTTTATTACAAAATTCATGATTTAAACAAAATTCTTAATTACATCTTCCTCTCTTTAAAAATTTATCTTAAAATTATCTAAACTCCCTTTCTTATTTCTCTTTAAGTGCTTCTTTTGACATTTTCTGCTAGTTTTACCTAATTAAATTTTATAATTGCTCTTAATAAATATAAATATTTTCATAATATATTTATTACTTATCAAAATCGTTTGAAAATAGATCATAACCAAACAATTTTTTCATTCTTGCATCTTCAATTTATGCCAAACTTGTTGCCTTTTAACTAGAAAATTAAAAAGTAGTTTAGAATTGATACTTATATGTTAATATCTTACTCATAAGAAAATTTAACTTCTGAGAAACCTGGTGCTGAAGTGTTTATCACAGGCTTAGTAGGAATCTAGAATTAAAATCTTTTTTGATTTTATGAAATCTTTATTAAAAAAAATAATTTAAAACATAATGATCTTCTTGTTTGTTTTTATTTATATTTACATTTTGCAAATTTTTAATAAGAATTTAAACTTCCTCAGCCTTATCTTGTTATATATCAGTAATTATATTTTATTCACTACCTTCCTAGTTTTATTCTTAATGTCTCAAATTTAGGTGGTCTTAAATAGTCTTTATCATATTTACTTTTGTATTATCTTTTCTAAATTATATAGAATTATTAAATTATTATTATTTTTTATCATTTAATTTACTTTTTTTATCCATTTTCTTCTCCTTCAGCTTCATCATCATATGATTCCTTCAAATATTTTTTATCAATGAGACCTGTAATATCTTCTAAACCTTATTTTGCACTTTTTGATAATGTTTCTTATATTCTATTAGATGTTTACGGATTTTGCTAAAATTTTAAAAAATGTATCATAATAAATACACTCAATATTTATATAATGAATTTACATCTTATTTATTCTTTAATTTTTTAATTCCTCTACTTTTTAGAAGAATAGATGAATCATTTGTCTCTTAACTATATATTTAAATGATTGAGCAAATAGTATATAAGCTGATAATTTTACTTATTCTCTACTTAATTATCATTTGTTTCAATTTTATTTTCTTCATCTGTATATGCAACTTCAACTGCTTCTTTTTTAGCCCTCTTTTTAAACATTTCTACTATTTATTATTACTTGGTAAATTATTAATAATGCTACTAATAGATACAAATTGATTATAAATATTTTATTAAATAATTGAATCCAAACCAGATTTGTATTAAATCATTCATAAATTATTTATTTATATATTGTTTTAATATAAACGAATTATTTTTATTCAAAATCTCAATAATTATTTTATATTTAATCTAAACTTTTATAGATTTATTTCTATTTTATATTCTATAATTTTAAATTGTTGAAAATATAATTTGATAGCTTGCTGCAAATACTAATTCACCCAAACCAAATACTTCTTTTTTATTACTTTCATTTTTTGATAAAAAAAGCTTTTCTTAAATGAAAACATGCCCAATAGATGAATATCTGCATAAAAATTAAAGAGATTTAATTTCATCTAATCAAATACATTTTTCATTTAAAGTTATAAAGTGGAGATATAAAATCATCTGGCTATATATACTTAAATCCCTCACATTTTTTACAAGCCCAGCCATTTAATCGCTATGTAATTTTAAATGTAAAAATAAAAACATTTAATTGATTAAAATATAGGTAAAATTATACTTTTTGAATATTATTTTCATTTTAAAAATATTAATAAATACTTATTAAGAATAACAATTAAAATTATTAAAATATCATTTCTTTGATATTATTTAAAAATTTTTTGTAATATGCATAAAATATTTAGCTTTAAACCAATCAAACTAATTAATTTAAAGTTTTTAATTTTTTCTTTGGTGTATTTATGATGCTGTAGGGCGACTATGGTTAAGCTTAGATTTTTTAATAAATATGTATTCCACTTTCACATATATGAAAGTAGAATTAATCTAAGATAATGAATTAATTAATTAAAATGGATTGTCCACTAGAAAATAGTTTGAAGTGTTAAAAAATAGAGAGAAGTAAATTGGTTTGATTAAAATAAAATTAGTGAAAAAAGAAATTAAACAATTTTTATTATTATTTTACTTGATAAATAAATAATATAAATTTTTAAAGAAAGATAGATCACCAAACAAAAATTAAATTTATTCATTTATAAAATACTGATGAACTTATTTCTTATTTATAACGAATTTGAACTCATAAGTTATGTAAAATTTTAAAGCCAGCTAAATTATTAGTTTTTTATGATATCACTTATTTGCGATTATTAAAGAAAAGTAGAAAACAAGACTGAGAGTTATAGTTCCTCATAAATATAAACAAGAAGCTAATTGAATTAGTTTTTGCTTAAATGAAAAATAAGCAAAATAAATTATGGCCTATAAACGCGATTATAGATATATAAACCATAAAATATTGTAAATTTAACCAAAAATGATGAAAAAATCAGCAAAGAAATTGCATAGCTTTTAACAAATATATTAAATCCTTCAAAATTTTAATTATTCACATATTTTATTAAAATATCATAACAATATTAAACTAAATTATAAAAATTAATAAATAGAAACAAACATCAATTATTAAATAAATAATAAAAGAAACAAGCAGCCTATTCATCAATAAAATTGCATAATTAAATTATATATCAAATATTTAATAGTTTAGGAAAGAGACTGTGAAGGCTCCAGCATACATAAATACATAAAGACAATCAAACATAAATAAAAACACACTTTTTTATTTAAAAGAATTTTTACTTTGATCAACTGAAAGTAGACTTATTTAAAGCATAATATTGTTAGGAGAGTGGTTCATAGTGCCATTTATACAAATAATTTCAAAATCATGAATACTAATAATTAGTTATTAAAACCCATCTTACACGTAGCTCAGAGCAGCAGCGACTATTCTAAAATAAATAATATGAGTGGAGCAAATAACTCAAACTCTTATCATAAGATAGCTGCAAATCTTTTTACTAATTAGCTCTAATCCTAATAACAGTAGCAATAACTTTAGTAGCAGTAGCAGTAATAATAATATTTGTATTCAAGTCCTTAGACTATACAAAAAAAAATATTACAATAATAGTCAGATTCTTCTAGGTAACCTTAGAATTTCTTGTATGAATCAGTTGACTATAAAATAGCTACATAGTCATCAGCTTAAAATTCTCCTTTCCATATTTAGCCAATTAATAGCTATCAAGCTGGGGCTCTGTCTTAAAGCAATAATGGTGGCTGCAGAAATTAATCTCCTTATTCAGGAAACAATAGTTATCTCTTTAGCAATAATAATAACACTTCTTCTTAATAGCAAAATATTAATTAAAATCTACTTTTCGATAAGACAGCGAGTTTGATGAAATAGAATAGCAGTAATTAGTAAAATATGCAAATAAGCGCAACTCCAAGTATAAGCAACATTAATTATTTAAATAGTAGCATGAATTAAGGTTAAGCTAAATGTCATAGTGCAACAAGCATCCATTTTGAATTGCGTGATTTATAGCAGGAGCGCTTTCAAGTTAAGATGATGACCAATTATTCTGGCACTGAAGAAAACTCACCTATGCAAGCTAGAATTGCAGATAGATTTAATTTGCATAAATAAAGAGATGTAAGTAAAGGCAGATAAAATTCAGAAGATCAAAATAAAAAAATACATCAGTCAATAAACGAATTGGAAGGAGAATGGAATAAATTAAAATAAATCCATAACTTAGATAATAGAAGCCAATCACCATTTAATAATAGTTTGAATAATAGCGCATTGAATATAGCTAAAACAAACAATCTGCAAGCAGGCTAATAAAGATTAAGTGATTAATTGAATAGAGATTAATGGAATACTTAGGTATCAGATAATTGTTCTGTTCATGACCAAAGGTATAATAAATTTAATTTTTTTAAAATATTTCATACTTATTTTAGAAAATTGAGTATCATAAATAAATAACAATTTTCAAAATATTAAATTTTTCACTCTAAATACATAAAATAAATGAAAAATATTTTAGTTATAAAGAATTGGTATTTAATTAATGATTGCAAATTATTAAAATAGTATGGCAAATAAATGGTATTTGTAATATAAAATGGAGATAAATTTCAAATATTAAATTGCCTGATTTCTTAATCTAAAAATTGATCACTTTTGAATTTAAAAATAAATCAAAATTTGATATGAGAATAGAAATGAATAAGTTATTATACACATTAGAACTATCTTATTAGTTTACAAAAAAATATAAATTAAATTGATTATAAACCTCTCAAATTTATTGCTAAACATTAGAAAAAAGTATAAAATATTAAACTCTTTTCAAACCTTCAAATTAAAAGGAAATAGTTTTTACTTTAATATAAACTATAAAAAATAGAAATTAATTAATTAACTTCAATTATTCTTTGAGTGGCGAGTTAGTTATTTAGTTTGTTAGTTTGATATTTTTTCTAACATATAGTTTTTTATTATAATTTGTGAAAACTTTCTATAATACTGATTAAGAGATTAAGACGCTTATAAATTGTAGTTTTAATCATTTTTTTATATTGTCTACATTTTTCAGCAAAAATATGTAACTTTTTTCTCATATTATTAAATAAAAAGTTATGATAACACGATTAAGACTTAAGGCTCAATAAAATCTCTCACTAGTAGCTGTAAAAGGATTCGTACTTAAGGAGATTCTACTAACAATGGAAGTAACAACTCTCTCAAATAAATTGTCCACACTCCTTCAAGAAAACAAAAGGATTAAAGTGCTAGCAGCATCAAAAAAACATAAATTATTAATAAATCTATTCCTTTAACAAAAATTAATTTAGATTAAATGAGAACAAATTCATACTCTAGTCGTTCACAAGGTGAGCAAGTCACATAATATATAGTAAAGAAGGATTCTAGATAAAATTCTTCTTAAATCTCAAACAGAAACAGTTTAAATAACTCCAATTCCCTAATATCTACAAATACTAATAATCCTAACTCTAATCATGTTTAAAATAAATCCCCAATAAGCAGAAATAGTTCTTAAGATGAATTCGCAGCTCCTAAATCACCTGACACTACATTCTTAAAAATTTAAGAGAAATACTAAAATGTACATAAGCAAAAAACTGGAAGTAAGCACCAGGATTCAAGCAATTAATCTATAAATCTATCCTAAAATTAACAAAATAACTCATAATACTAAGTCTATAATAACCAATAACAACTAAGCACAAATTATTCTCAAAATATGCTTAATCTCAACTAATAGAACTAAGAGACAAATGCTAATAGCAATCAACAATATTAGAAAAATTCCTTTTCAGATTTGAGCGTTTCACCATATCAAAGTCAGATTATGTCTCATCACTCCTCAAATATGATAGGAAGTAATACACTACATTAATACCCATCAATTATATCTTAGTCTTCTGCTTACCAAGCTAATCAAGCACCTTAAGTTTAATAACCTAGCAGTTACCCACTTCCTCTTAAGCGCTACTCTTCTTTATAAAACGACTTAACCAATAACTTTAATAATTAAAACAATAATATTTATATTAATAATAGCCAAGATTAATCTGATATTTTCCATTTTAATACATAAGCAAGCGGTGCTTCACCTTTTAATAACAATAATATAATCAATAACTAATTGAAATCTCCAGCATCTTACCGTAGCAGCAATTAATAAAGTATAAGCATTCAACAGAATAGCAATACCCCTTAATACAATAATAATATTTCTAATAATTATGATTCAAACAATGGCAATAACTCTGCTTTGAGATAATTACATTAAAATACAATTAAAATCAATGAGCAAACTAATTAAATTAATTAAGTGCCACATTCAATGCAAACTATAAATTAACTTTAAAATGCATAGTCTATGAACTATTTAATTACTTAAAATTATGCTGCAAATAACCCATCAACAAGAGTTTCAAATGCTTACTAAATTTCAAAAAGTGGTTAGCATAGTAACAGACAAAGTGAATAATCTCAAATTTAGTAATAATTTGGAGAAAATCAAAATCGTATCTTGCAACAAACAGCATCACCACCAGGTGGATTTTCTGATGCTCTAAGTTAAGTAAATTAAAAAAATTAAATTCCTAACTCAAAAGAAAAATCAATAATATAACCTGTAAGAGCAAGTCCTGTTAAAAAAATGATATCAGATGTAAAACCTCAATATCAATCTCAGTAATCGCCAAAATAAAATGGTTTAGTTAAAGGAATATAAGGTAGCAATTGTTACAGCAACAACAATAACAATAGTTTAGGAACATATAGCAGCAATACTTATAATTTAAGCTATACTCCTTAAATGAATGCTTCCTCTCAATAAAATGCATACTAAATTTCAGGTAAAAAAGACATGACTTAAATAATCATGAATAAAATTAAAAAAATGAATGTTGCTAGAATTTCTTTGAATGAGGATGATGACTTACTTTTTTAATCTACCGATGCTGAATCTTATAGTAATTTAACAAATGGCTCAAACAAAAACTACATCAATGCTAAGGGTAAAGCTAACAGTAAGATGGTTGACATGAAAAGTATGAATGGAAATAACAATAATAATGACTATCTTTAATCTCTTTAAATCTAAGAAATAGACCATATATAAAAAACTATTTAATAATAATAAATGAAATCAAAATAGGATTATATCTATCAATTATCGGATAATTAAGCAAATAATATTGAGGTTTTTTCTACAAACTCATAAGCAATGCATCTGACTGATACAGTATCCCCACGCTCAGTTCCCTCTCAAATTTAATAGATGACTAATGATCCTACTAAGATATCATATAAAACTAATATCTTATCAAATCAAAAGTATTTCATAACAAATGAAGCAAATGATAAAAATATTCCTTAAAAATCTCAAGAAGAAGTATATAGAGATTTAATGTAAACATTCTTTTTTTATTTGAATAATTTTAAATCATTTTTAACTTATTAAATAAAAGGATGTATAAGCAAAAGAGTAATATAAGTCCTGTTAAACAAAATTAAATTAGCCAGAATTAGCTTGAGAATAATACAGCAACAAGCTCATTTTTAAATTCAAATGGACAACAAGTAAAAGAAAGTTTCATATAAAGTTAAACTCAGAAGCCATATATTATCTCATAAAATAATTTGCAACTAACTCCAATAAATTAGAAGAAAGTTTCAAGCAATACTAACTATTCGCAGAAGTTATTGGATTCGATTTAAAAGCACTCAAGAATCCATAAAGAGAATTAGTAAAATATTTATTCTAACATTCAAAAAATATGAGAAATTCAATAAAAAAAACAAAATTGATAGAAATTTAAGCAAATTAAAATTATTTAACTTAACAATTATTATCTTAAAAAACGTATACTAATAAATTAAACAAAAAAAGCTTAATAATAATAACAGCAAAAACTAAAAAAAAATATTTTCGAATTGGTTTATTCCAATTAATTTTCGCTCTAATAGTGTCAAATAAAAGCTATTTGAGAACTTAAATAATAAAACTTGAAAAATATTTAATATTTTTTTTTAATTTGTTAAAAGCTCTTAATATTTATTTTTAAAATAAAAAATGTAGTTTAATCAGTTTGATTAAAATTAATTTTAACTATAAAATATATAAATAAATAAATATGTAAAAATATATTAAAAATATTAAAATAAGAAATTATTTATTAAATCTTATAAGTGAATAATTAACAACAGAATTTTTTCAATAAAAGCTATACTTTAAGAATGTTTTATTTCAAGCAGCTTAATTTAAGATATTTAGGAATAAAATTCTTCTCAGGAAAATAATTCTGTGACTATATAAAAAAATAAAAATAAATATTAGTAATTGACATTAAAATCAATAATTATTATTTAAGATGTTAATATAAATTGTCTGTATGTATACTTTAGTAAATTTTTAATTTGAATATTATATTTAAATTTATGTATTTATCATAAAAATAATTTAAGGCATAAAAAGATATATTTTTTTACTTTGCTAATAATTAAAAGAAAAGAAAAAATATCTTAAAGAATACAAATAAAATTTTAACAAAAATAAAGTGGAAATTTTCAATAAATATAAAAATATTATTTATTATATTCGTTAGATAAATAAAAACTAAGAAATGCTTACGAAACTTAATAATTTAAAAAAAGACATAACTTTTATATTTGTATGAAGATATTTATTTTTCTTGGGTGTATTTTTATTATTATTTATCTTTTTATTTCATTTAATTAATTAATTTATTTTTATTCATTTTTAGTTTTGGTTTTATTAAGCTTTCTTATTTTTTTCTTATTTTTTATTTTCAAATTTTTTTTCTTATATTTATTCAAAATTAAATTTTATTTTTTTATTTATTTATTCTAAGAGACTTATGAAATGAATCTATGTTTTATAGAAAAATCAAGTATTTAAATGAAGAATTATGAGAAAAATTGAATTTATAAAAAGAAAATTTAAGATAATGATGATGTTAGTTGGGTGGTTTTAGGTTTTTTGATTATACAGGCGATATCAAAAATCATAATTCATTTTTATATCATTTTTATTATCAATCAAATCAAAAATTTAAAATCTATTCAAATTGTATTTGAGCGCATCAAAAAACTAGCTTTATGTGAATGTCAGAGTATATTTATCACATGTGTGATAGGAAACACATTAAGGCTAGTTAATTGAATCAAAATAGCCGAGAAAGGTAAGAGCTTCTTATTCTTAGTAGATCAAGAGTATGCTCTTAGTTTAGTATTGGGGATTTAAAAAACTTTTCAATTTGAGAATTGTAAATTTGATTTGAGATTTTATTTTTCCTTTTTGTTTTTTTAATTTATTTCTTAAAAAAATTATTTGATTTTTTCTTTATTGAATAAGAAAATTTTTTAAACTTATTTCTTGAATTAAAATAGACAAAAGATATTTTTTTATTAGTCCTAATTAAAGCAAGTAAATATTTCTTATTTATGAAATATCATTCATTATTTTGTCAAAAAAAAAATTTTTTTATTATTTTCAAATAGTTTATAATAAGTGTGAGAGTGATTCTTTTTTTAAATAATTTTTATTAAAAATTTATATTTTCAATCAATAAAATTAATTAAGCTTTTTTATAATGGAGAATATAGTTTGCATGATTATAAATACAAATTACAAAATAAAATAATTTTAAAAATAAATCTTAATTTTTTAAATGAGGGTAACATTATATTTTTATTCATTTTTAAGCAAGGACAAAGTCATCTTTAGGTTCTACTTATGCATATATTTAATCTGGTGTTAGAACTATGACTTCATTATGTCTTTATAAATTGTGTACTGCTAAACATCTATTGTCAAAATAAAAAATTTTATATTTTAGTAACAATTTTAAAGATTTTACCTTTCACATTATGGGAGGACCAATTGCTTGAGAATTCCATATCCGTAATCAAAATAATCAGTATCTAGTTTTAATCCATTGTATTATGGAAGAAGCTACTCTTTGATATATTTTGAAATTTCTGTAACTTCATAAGAAAGTTAGGTAAAGCTCTTAGCTTTAAAACGATCATATTCAATATCTTATTAATGTAAATTGAGTAAAGCCCATAAACCATAGCCTTTCCAGAATAGAAGGGCAGATTCTAAAAATACCATAATATCATCTCTAATTTCTTGTTTTATTTCTAAAAATCTAGAATGAGCTTAAGTTAATTTTGTAAAAGAAGCTCTGCAAATCTAACTCAATCCTTTGAAGTCTTTTTACAATCTTAATTTTTCAGCATATAAAGAGTTAACACTAGTTTCTAATATTCTAAAATTTAAAAAAAAAAATTATTATTTACTAAAAAAATACTTAACAAAATTTTAATAAAATATTTAATTGAAAAAAAAAATAATTACAATTTGACAGAATAGAAAACGGTTTATTTGAACTCTGGAATCAAAAATTGTTATCTTTAGACCAAGAAATATAAAACATCATTGATCACATTATATAATCTTTCTATAGGTTAAATTCCAGTTTTAAAAGTCTCAATAGCTGTATCGAGTTCAGCGCTATGAATATTATTTAAAAAAAAATTAATCAATACTATTTTATTTATTAATAAAATTATTACATGAACTTATTCATTTCTTTATATTCTTAAGTTAAGTTGAATGTATTATGAATGTTTTAGAGAACGTAGTTTAAGTGAGGGAATGCATCTAGTTAAAAGCTGAATGCATAAGAATACCTAGCCATCATTATTTCTGCTGCGCATGCTTCCTAATTTGCTAATAATAAAATTTTAATATATTCGTCATTTAATTATTCTTTTAATCTTACAATTTTAGTTTGTTGTGTATTCTTATATGTTTTTTGAAATAAATGTTTTGTATTTAAAGCTAGGGACATTGTATTATCTAAAGCCTACAAGTGCCAACTATTTGTTTAAAAAAATATATTTTAGATAAATAATGAGAAAATAAAAAGTTTTATTACCACTTCAACGTTTGTCTTTAGATAATCATCAAATATTTTCTTGTAGTTAAGGATACCATCATTTAATTTCATGATTTCAATGATTTTTTCTTTTGTCATAACATTTTTATACTAATTTCTTAATGAATCCACATGATTAAGGTATTGCTATGCTTGTTAATCTGCTTTAGCTTCAGGCTTAGCTAGTTATTCTATATTCACGTTATCCTTAATTTCTGGTATTTCAAAGAAAAATATCATTTTTGTATAAATCTTTAAGCTTTAATATTCTTTAGAATCTGATAAGAATTTTGATAGTTTTTGTAAAATTAGAATTATTAAAAATCCTCTTAATAGCTTTTTAATAATACAAATAATTTATCTTAGGCAATGTTTTTCCTTAGATAAAAAGATATTTTATTCAATTTTAATAGAAAGGCATAGTTAAAAAAAATAAAGGTCATCAGATTTATTAAAAATAGTAATAATATAATTTGATATAGAGCAATTTTTAGCAGCAAATTATTTGATTAGAAATGCCTTACCAGTAAAACTTATTTATTCTAAAAGATTAGATGAAATGTAATAGATACATTTCTAATTTAAATTAAATGAAATTTCAAAATAATTCTTTTTATTTTTAAAATTTCCTCATAAATTTTGATTTTATTTCTTTTGAAATTTAATTTTAATTAATCAAAAAATCAGTAAATTATTTTAAATTTAAAAATAAAATAGATTTTTATTATCTGATAAATATAATTCCTTAGAAAAAGAGACTTCAATAAATTTAAATAATTTTCATTAAAAATTAATGATTTCTAATAATTAATAGAAATTTTTTATTATTGAAAATAAATCTATTTGTTAAAAGTACGAAAAAATCTATTTCAACAAAAAGAGTTAATCCTGGTATGATTTCTCAAGTTTGTTTTTAAGTTTTAGTTAGTATTTAAAGTATAAGATGTAATTATTGGATCAAAGTATGATTCTTCAGTGATTCTTCCATCTTAAAATTGATTTTGTTACTTTTTTTCTTCAATTGAGTAATTACTAAGACCAGTATTAAGTTTTTTAAGTTCTTTACCAACTCTTTTATATCTCATTTATCTTTAATAATTGCTATTTTAAGATTATAAATTTTATTAAAGAATTTAATTTTTCATTTTAGTTGACTAGTTTTGTGGTTTTTCAAAATTTGTATCTACATCTTACTCGTTTTCTTCAGTTATAGCAGTATTTTTATGAATTTATTTGAATACAGGTTTCTCATTTAAAATATATTATTTTGACTTTTGAGCAAAATGAGAGTTTATATCTATTAAATGGTTATAAATTATATCATTCATTTATTTCTCATCAATAATCTTTCCTAACTCTAATTATTATTTGATATATTTTAAAAACATTTTTTCATTTTCTTCAATATGCTTTTCATATTCTTCTTTTAGATAGATCAAAAATTGATTCAATTAGTAGGATTATATTTTATTTATTTATATGCTCTGGCTGAATTATTTGCTGAGTTTTTTCTTTGTTTAAAACCATTTTTTAGTTGATAGATTTTTAGTAGAATCCTAATTAAAATTAGAAACAGAATTAGTAGATAATTAATTATTATCAACTCCATTATCTTATAGAAGTTATGATTAATCATCAATTAGTTTTATCTTTTAAATCATATTGTCCTTTCTATTCCATATCTGATAGTTTAAAACGTTTTAAGTGTTTTTATTTAAATTTTCTGTTTTTAAAAGAGTTATTTTTAAATATATTTTAATAATATAATAAATTTTCTTAAAAAAATATAAAAATGAGTATGATATTTACATTTTTGTTTCTGTATTTTAATCATATTTTATGCAAAATAATGAAATTATATTCTAGAGTGATCAATATTATTTTATTTAGCTTATATAATCTGATCAAAATCTATATTTTTGTAGTTTTAACTAAACATTTGTTTGAGTTGGTCTTCACTCACTTAGTTGTTAAAGAAATCATTAGAAGAGGAATATAAATTATTTGGTGTTTGAGTAGGTTCTGATTTCTCTTTATCATTTCTTTTTAAATGAAAATATAATTTATAATTTAATAAAAAAATATTTACTTAAAAGTTTCTAAAAAAGAAATATTTTGAGCTAAAAGAGTTTAAGATAAATCATTTTCAAGATAAGAACTCCTATCCATCTCAGACTCTAAGTTACTATAATGCAATAGCCTCCTTGGAGCTTTTGATTAATATTTCTATAAATAAGTTGATAAATATAAATATTATACAAAAAATTAGCTAATACTTAGGTTAGTGGTATGTTTTATAAAAGTTTTTTGTATGGATCATTTTTATAGAGCTAATTAATTTATATTTTATCATTTTCAAGCTTCAATACCATATTGCTTAATCTCTATTTTAGTTTTTAAATTAAAATTAAAATTTATTCTTACTTTTTAGATTAAAACTATTTGTTTAATGTAATGTTCAATTATTTTAATTGAAACATTGTAAGTTAAATAAGTAATTAATTTACAGATTTATGTTTTACAGTTTGTTTAAAGAAATTAATTTTAGTTTTGTCTTTTAAAAAATCATCTATGGAAGGTATCTCTGTTCCATTTTCATCATTTATATAATACTCTTTAGATAAATCATCAAGATATTTACCCTAATTTAAATGTAGGTAGTTAGCCTAAATGCTACTTTCAGTCTTTTGCATTTTAGATTAATTTTAAACCGATTGAGATCTTATTTTTTAGCCTATAACATTCCCGGTTATAGTTTATGTTGTGAAGATAGATGAATTTTTAGGGGTGGTTAAAGCTATTTCATTTTACTAAGGAGAATTAATAGCAGGAAAACTTGGAAAATTTTCATCATTTTTATTATTTTATAGATTTAATTAATTCGGCTAATTATGTATTGAGTGCTCCTCGAGTATGAGCTTTAATCTTGATTAATGATTTTAGCTTTAAGGTTATGAAGAAAACGAAGGTGAAGCATTTCTTATCCTAGATATATCTGTAGCTTACTACCTAATATACTTTTTTATGCTAGGAAAAGCATCTAAATCAAATGTTTTCTTTTTTTCATGATTATGGGCAGCAGAGAATTTAGCCAAGTCTGTTAAAAACGATTCGTTTTTATTTTTTTAGATATCCATTGTTCCATTATTTATATTGTAAGCTTACAGATCAATTTCTTAAAATTACTGTAGTTTCTTGTCAAACTGTTCCTTTTCCTACTTACTTATATCAGCTTGGTGATTCTGATTATCTGACGTTTGTGAATTAAGATTTTTATTTTTTTTAAACTTAATCCTTCTTCTTGCTTAAAGAGTCTCTATAGCTTACCTTTTAAGGTTTGCGGGGCTACTTTTGAAGAAAGAATCTGAATTATCAAAATTTTTGATATAAGTTTAGTTTAAAACATATTTATTTAGAAATAATTTTAATTTTACTATTCATTTCCAATTAAATCCTTTATGGATTTGGAGATTCTGCTACTTTGATATTCATATATCTTAGATTTGATGAGTAATGTAATTAATATTTTTATTAAATGGCTATTAATTTGTTAATCTTAATAAATATCAAATAATTAGAAATTTGATGAAATATCAGAACCTTTTACAGTATTATTTATACTAAAAGTCTAGATAGATATAGCTGGTATAACTTTTTTACTCAAGTCTATTATAATTTTTAATATTTAAATAGTAAAAAATGATAACACTTTAAGCAATGCTAATATTTTAAACTAGATATTAATTAGAGGTGTAGTGGTATATAGAAATAGATTTTTAAAAATATCGATAGAGCTCGATATTTATTTTTGGTAAATAATATCAAAATTTTTGATATTTCAAGTATTAGTATTCTATTTATAAATATTGGTATCAATTAATATAAAAAAATTAAATATCCAACAACTCTAAAAATTTTCTTATTATAATCATACTATGATTTAAGAAGAATTTAATAAGACTATTTTATATAATCCTTAACTTTTTATTTACTAAAACCATCAACATAAACAAACTTGTAAATAAATAGTTAATCAAATAAGTTGAGAATTTAAGCTTATTAATTATTTGCTGAAGAGTGTTTATAAAATTTTTCTTGCTTTAAAAATAAAAAACCTAATTTTTTTCAAAGTATTTAAAAGTATAATTAATAAAAATATAAAAAGAATAAAATAAGTAATAATATTTGATATATCAAATAAATTTCAAGTATATTATAAGAACAGCTAAAGAACATTAAAATAATTTTAATTTTTAAACTTTTTCAATTTGAATTAGGATAAAAAATGTTTGAATTGTTTAAATATAATGTTTTTTATTCTAATAATTTAAAAATATTTTTCAAAAACTTTTTAATTTAAATAAATAAATATCTCTAAATTGAAAAATAATTTATTATGAAAATATTATTTGTTAAATAAATGTAATGTTATTTTAGTAAAGTGTTTATAAAATATTATTATTAATTATTCTTCAACAAAATATTATATATATTTTTTGACGTTAATATTATCAAAATTATCTTTCTATTTGTAATACTATTATTATAAACTTTATCAATATAATAGTTATTAGTTAATTAATTAAAATCTTACTGCACTAATTCTCACTATATAATTAAATAAAATCAGATGTTAGTTATGTAAAAAGAGATGAAATAATAACAATAGAGTTAATAGAAATAGCAGACAACTAACGAAAAAGATGGAAGCAAATAAAATATTACAATTAGCAGTACAAATATTAAACAGAATGATAAAAAATTTGATGAAAAAACAAACATAGAATACAAAAGATTGTATGATTTGCTATGTGAAGAGAACTAGGCAAAGTAGAAGAAATACTTATAGATAAAAAACATTTATCAAAATGGGAGTTATCTAGTTTAAGAGAAGGAGAAAGATCATTTGTCTGAAGGACTAAAATTTAAAGGAATAAGAGGGCTAGTAAGCACAACAGGTGAAAAGAGTGAAGATATAATTCTTAAGACCATATAATAAAAAAAAGCTGAATTAGAAGTTATGGAGAATTAAATTTAAGAATAGATTATGTACAATTAAACATTAAATTTTATGGCATTAAGAACTGATTCAATTTTAAAAGACTAAAGAAAATTAGTTCTGAAAATGGAAAAATTGAATAAGATCGTTGACAAGAGAAATTAGGATTATACTTAAATCCTCAAGGACTACAAAAGCTAATAACAGCTAACTCAATTTAAGATGGCTGAGCAAGTTGCTTAGCTTGTAAATAAAGAGGAAATTTACAAAACGATTGATTAAAATAGGATAAAAGCTTAAAAGATGTAGAATGAAGATATATAAAAGATTAGCTAAGAGTATGAGCAAATTGTTAAATAAATTACTCTTTAAAAGTAAAAAGTAGAAGAATAGGTTAATTAAATAACAGAATTAAATTAAGTTGTTTCTAAGGTAGCTAATATGAAAACAAGCTTTCCATATACATTTTAAAGAGGAGAAGCTATGCTATATGTTGTTCATGTTTTTGATCATCCTTTGATTGAAAATATTTTAGGAGATCTTTTTTATATTGGTGGGAAAGAAAATAAAACCATAATCCTCGATTCATATCAAAAGATTCCTTACTAGAGTTCCAATACTTCAAATAATACTCCTACTTCTAAAAAATTAAAAGATGTTTTATAAAAATTCAACAAAACAAGTCTTAACTTAATTGTAATGCCCCAAGAAGAGAAGAATCATAAGAAATTTGAATACAAACATTAGGTGTCTAATTCATTTAATCATTCTCAAATAATTTTGAAAGATGGTTAAATTTTTTGTAGATTGCTGGATTTAATCAGTTAAAAAGAAAAAAAAATGAATAACTAGTTAGATAATTAACAACAAAATTTATAAAAAAGTGAAAAAGGCTCGAATAAAATGCATAGACCTTCAATATTTATTAAAAATAGGAGTTTAGGATTTAACTCAGAGCTAATAAGTGGGAAAACTTCTAAAAAAACTTACAATTACGACTACCAAAGTTAAATTTAAAATAAATTGGATATAAACACAATTGAAGACAATATATTTAGCATGGTATTAAAAGCCAAAGATAAATTTCTCAGTTTCGCTAGACAATCAAGAACTTATTATTCAGATGTCGAGTACAGATTTTTACTGAAGGATTTAATTAAGTTAGACTCAAACTCTAATGGATACATGTCTGTTTTAGTAAAATTTACTAGATTTTATAAAATATTTATAATTTTTTGTTGTTGCAAAGTTAAGTAGGATAAAGAGATACGAGAAGGTGCAAAAAGTCAAAATAGACTAAAAGATTTGTGATATGTTTCAAAAAATGAGCAATAAATTTATTTAACTAAGAAGCTATTTATCTTAAAGAATATAAGAAAAAAATTTAAAGCAAGAAAAAAATAAGAGGTTAAGAGACAAATTGTGTTAGCTGAAGATTTAGCAATAGAAAAAATATAATATATCTGATGAGAATTAATTAGATAGTAATTGTTTTCTCATATCAAACATATAAAACTCAGTAGCTGATGAAACAGAAGATGATTAAATTTAAGATAGTAACTTAAATGATGATTTGTTGAATTCATAATAAATATCAAAGGAGTAAGAAATGAGAAATTTTCGTTTAATGGATAAATCATTAGTAATTTAAAAAACTCAATCGATTTCACCTTTCTTAAAAGGTAGATTTCAATTCATTTGCATTAAAAATGTTTAATTTATCTAATTTATTAAAGAAAAAAATATTAATAAAGAAATAGGGAAATCAATATCAACCTCAAATATCTTTGAAAGTGAGGTAGAACCAGTTGAGGAAATACGATTTTTTAAGGGTCGTGTTAATAAGTAATATCAAACAGATTTTAATTCTATAAACATTTTAAATAGTAAGCTTGATACTTTGAGGTACACGAATATCCATATGTTTACAGAAAGTATTAAGACTAACAATAGTCATCATCCTTTTGAGTCATAGTTTATAGTACTAGAAAAAACCTTAGGAGTAATTAAAATTTCATTTAAATTAATACTAGATTTATTGTATGTTGAATAAAAAAGGTTGTTAAAAGGATTTTGTAACTAATGAATACCTGTCTTTAGTTAGCTTAGGTTGTCATATAGAATGAGGCTGAATTTTACAGAGATATTTCTTAAGCTTCCTAGTAATTTAGTTGCTTTAACTATAAAATGCAAGAATTTCTCAAATAGTAAGAAGGAAGATTTTTTGGCTCCTTTAAGTTTAATTAATAATATAAAAAGAACTATACAGGTGGACTTAATACATTACTAAAGCAATTTAAGATGATTTTTCCTTCTAACTTATCATCAGCTCAAAAAATGTTTCATAGCTTAATTGCACATGATGTAGTAGTTATAAATTTTTTAGATATTGAGTATGTTGAAAATGAACTGAAAAATATTAAACAACGCTATGACGAAGAAGTACTTCAGTTTGTTATGAAGTTTAACGATGAATAAGATTTCAATTTAGAAATATCTTAAACTAATAAAAATAATTCATGGAATCCATAATCTTTATTTGACGTGCTTTAGCCATTGAAAGATAAAGAAGATAAAATTTTAAATTATGCATAAAAATGCCTAGAGTTTAAGCTGATGGACATGATTTAAGAATCGAGCAAATAAATTATTGAAAAGGCTCAATATTAATGCCAATAAACAACAAAAAATCTATTTGACTTATGTTCAGAACTTTATTTAATTATATTTCAAATCTTAGTTAAAAGAAAGTAAATTATAGATTAAATTAAACTCAAAAAAGAAAGGGAGAGTCCAAATAATGCTGTATCATTTATTTTTGATTCAAAAATCTATGGTGAAGAAAAGCCAAAAATTCACAACTTAACTATTAAATTACCCATAGAAAGTAGAAAATCATCACATACAACCTAACACTAAAATAGGCTATTTATGGAAAGGAAGTCTATTTTAAGAATAAGTGAAAACGACAGTTAAGCAAAAAAGAATATTATTTCAGTTCTCAGCAAGGCTATTAAAGAAAAGAAAAAGATACAAACAGAAAAGGAAAAATCTCCTTCTAAAATGAAAAGCGATAAATTTTTTGTTATAAATGAAGAGGGTCAAAAAGAACAAGGAAGTAGCTTTCAAATTCAAAATGCAGAATCTAAAAATTTTGATGAATAAAAGAATGAACCATCATTTAAATAAAAATAATTTAAAGAAGAATATTCTTAAAAAAGCGATTTGTTAAAAGTTAATTAGAATAGCTCAACTCAATTAGATATGTTAGAAATATAATCACCAATAACAGAAAAAAGGAAACCATCTATTTTAAGATAATTAGATAAAAATTTTAACTTTTAAGAAAATATTTTACTTGATATTCCGAGAAAGAAATCAGTTAGTGTAAATTCTGATAAATCACTAGAAAAAATAAATACTGAACAGTTCTAAAGTTAAGTAGTATCTAAATTTCATACTATGGAAAGCGATCTGCATCGGATGAGTTTAAGTTAAGAAAATAATTCAGATATTTTATAAGAAAAATAAAGTTTATTATAATCATTGAGTCCGAAAAAAGAAAAATAGATTTAAAATCAATCTTCTGATTAACTTTTTAGGACAAGCCTTTTCTATAATAATGGAACAACAAACCCATTTTAGATTTCTCTTTATAAAGATAAAACTAGCTCAAATAGGTCTTAAGAAGAATCAAGGATTTTAATTAGCTCATTAGGCTATTACAAAAATAAGGAGAAAACAATTAATAAAGTGATTCAAAAAAAGTAAATTGAAAATGGAGAAGTTTATGATAGTTTTAACTCATCACTATTAACAGTGGACCTAAAAACAAAATAAAATATAATAACATTAACTCCAAAAATAAAAAAAATTAATGGTTTTACAAAAAATCAAATTATTGAACTTTAAGATGATCAAAATGATGTAAACTTATACAAAGAAGCTGTTTTCTTTGAAGAAGAGCGTAAGAATATTAAACACATTATATCAGAAGAGAGCAAAATTTTTTATCATTTTAATCCTACTTCTAAATCAATCAAGGAAATATCATCTCCAGAAAAAGTAAAAAAAATAGATGAACGTAGTAGCAGGCTATCTTTCTTAAATAGTCCTTCGCTTAAATAAAAGAATAACTCTCTAAATAATTCTTCAATAATGAGCTAATCCAAATTTATGATAATAAATAAATAGTCAAGCTTATCACCTTCTTAATTGCCTTCTATCTTGAAAAATTTTTCTCCACAAAATTAGTCATTATAAGATTTGAAGGTTAAAGTTGTTAAATTCCCAACAGTAAGCAGTAATAAAAAAGAAGTTTATTTTAAAGATTAGCCTTTAACAGAAAAATAAGCTGAAGAAAATGCTAAATAAAATATAATTGATCCTTTAAGTACTAGTATACTTCCATTAAGTGCACGTGAAAATAGAAAAAGTTTGGTGCCTCCTTATAAAATTAAAGAAGGAAGCAGAGATAATTTAGTTAAATAATATGCAAACAAAAATGAAACTAGCTAAAAATAAATTAATAACTAAAATATCACCCACCAATAGCAACATCATCAAAACTCATAATAGCACAGGGGAAGGTAAAAATAGAATTTTTTGGATAAAATTTCAAGTAATAAAGAAAGGCTTTACTAATAATTTAATCCAGAAACACTATAAGGTGAAGAATTTGTTTTAGAGTAATATAAGAAAGATTTTTTGCATTTAGATTAAGTTTATAAAGCTACAATTTAAGCTAATAAAGAAAAGTTAGAAAATATGAAAAATAAAGTAAATAGTGACCATTAATCATAAGAAAATAACAATAATGATATACTTAAAAAATATTATGAACCTAAAAAGAGAGCAGACCTTTAACAGTTATTATCTAACACAGCAAGTAAATAGTTTACACAAAAGTAAAAAAGTGAAGAGTTTAACAGAGAAACATCTTCTAGCTCCTTTAAAGAGGAAGGTACTAATAAGGATTCGAAAACAAAAATTAATAATGAATAAATTTAACATGAGCATTTGACTAATAAAGTAGCTTCTTTCAACAAAATTAAAATAAAATCTAAAACTAACAAATAATAATCAAATAAAAAACAGAATAAAAATGCAGTTGAAAATAAAACCAAAACAAAAAAGAAATTCTCTAAAAAAAAATCAAACAAATAAAAGTAATAAAAAAACTAAGAAGCAGATAAGCTTTAAAGTGATTAATAAAAAAGCCAAAATTCAATGGAAGATAGTTCAAGTGATATGAATGATAGTAAACTTGATATTTATAATGACTTTGGTACCAGTAGCAATACAAACAGTAGCACTAGCAGCCTTAGCAATGTAAGTATTAATTAAAACAAAAACGATGATTATCAAAAAATAAATGAACTTTTACTACCAAATTCTTGATTTTATTTTTGAATGATGAATATTATAATTTATTAAAATTTAAATAATTTACATTGAACAAATGATAAAATAATATTTTAATCGTATTTAAATAATATTTATCTTTAACACAAAAAAGTATTATTATTAATAGTATATTTATTTTTAACATAATAAAATAACTAATTTATAAAACAATTTTAAAAGAAATTAACACAGAATTAAGTATTTTTGTTAATGTATTTATCTTTAGTAAATAAAAGACTTAATTCATAAAATAGTTTAATTTGAAAAGTAATCATTAGCAAAATTTTTTTTAATTATAAAATTAATATTTTTTTATGTTATTTGGTAAAAATTTAAAAATATTTTTATCTAAAATGTTTATTTATAAATTTAAATAATAATTTTAGTATAATAAAATAAGGTTTAAGCTTCATTAAAATTATTCTTTGATTGCTTTATATTCTTGTTTTGTAAAAAAAATCATTTTTGTTGTTAATCCTCCAATATTTTGTGATATTTTCAAATAATTACTATATATGAATACAAAACATTGTTATTGTTATTATTATATATATATCTTTAATAATTAATTAAAATTCAAATTTTTATCTTGATTTGTACATATTTTAAAAAAGCTGTTTCAAAATTTATTTTATTTTTTATATTAAATTCTCAATAAATATTTTAAAGCATAAAAAATATAAAATTAAATTATTTTACTAACAAAAGCTTTCATAATTTTAAAAAAATCCTTAAATTGTTTGATTTAAATTATATTTTATAGCTTAGAGAGTAGATCTGTCTAAAAATAGTTATACAATTTTTAAAAAAAACAAATATTGATACTCTTTTACTTGATTATATAATTTGACTTAGAGTTAGCTTCAAGCCTTCCAGAGTAATAAGCACAATTCATTAATTTTAAAGAAAATATATTTTTTGGTTTAGTGAATGATATGAGATCCGAAATTTCTTCCTACAATACAGTTCCATCCATATCCATCAATCTTATCAAATTCATATTTAATATAATGGGCAATTTACTTTTCTTGTTTGTATTCTTTAACAGCATTAATAGCTATTTCTTTTACTCTTTTAATCATATCTTCTTCCATATCAGTAGCTTTCACTTCAGGTTCGTGATTCATCTTCCCTATCTAAATTCAGCTTTTTATAATATTTATTCGAATAATGAATATTCTTGCTTTTATTAGGAATTAACTAAAGTTTTTATCTTTTTATTTAGATATATAATTGAATGAATAGAAAAACTAAAAAATATTCTTTTCTTAATTTGTTTATTTATTTATTTATTTGCTTGCTTGCTTGTTTGCTTTCTTGATTATTAACTAATTAAGTTTTAATATTTATGAAATTAAAAATCTTAATTTTTAAAACTACTTCCACTCCATTTTACATATTAAATTTCTTTGAAACATAACTACAATACAAAAAAAAAGAATTTATTTTATGATATAATATATAATGGATAGTGGGAACACGAGCC